ATGTTCCCGCACCACCACCTCCATTTACAACATTTTGTTGTTGTTGTTGTTGTTGTTGTCGCACCATAGCTTGAAGAGCTGCATTCTGTCGCATCGCTTGTACTGCTGCCATTTGCTGGGGAGTCAAAGGTGTCTGTCCCATACCACGCCCACGTCCACGCATTGCCGTACCTGCCGCTGCTGCCGCTGCTGCCCTTTGTTGCATCAATAGTTGGAAAGTATGAGCTTGATTCGCTTGGTTTGCAGTCATTCCTTGCATCGCAGCTACATTGGTATGTGTTTGTAGTGCTGGTGATCCTTGCTGAACATTGGGTCTTTGAAGTTGAGGACTGGCTTGCACATTGTTCACAAGAGGTGATTGTTGTTGAGCGTTTATATTCGGTTGTTGGATTGTTTGATTTTGTGATTGCTGCCCTTGTTGTTGATTTTGTTGTCCTTGAACCTGTTGTTGAACTTGCTGTTGTGCCACTTGTTGTTGTTGTTGTTGCTGCTGCTGTTGCTGCTGTTGTTTCTGCTGTTGTTGTTTCTGTTGTTGCTGCTGTTGCTGTTGCTGTTGTTGTTGTTGTTGTTGTTGTTGTTGTTGTTGTTGTTGTTGTTGTTGCTGTTGCTGTTGCTGTTGTTGTTGTTGTTGCTGTTGTTGTTGTTGTTGCTGTTGTTGTTGTTGTAATTGGGCGACTTGCTGCTGTTGCTGCTGCTGCTGTTGTTGCTGTTGTTGTTGTTGTTGTTGTGCCACTTGTTGTTGTTGTTGTGCCACTTGTTGTTGTTGTTGTTGCTGTTGTTGTTGTTGTTGTTGCTGAGTCTGTGTCTGTGTCTGTTGTTGTACTTGTGCTTGCTGTTGAGCCTGAGCTTTTTGAAGAGCATGTTGCTGTTGTAATGCTTGATGTTGTTGTATGATGGATTGATGTGCTAATTGCAGCTGTTGAATATGCGCTGATAATTGTTCTTGTGTAAACATACCCTGTTTGGCTTGATTGATGAGATGTTGTCGTCGCATAATAATGGCCGTCATTTGCTGTTGATGATGTGGACTAAGCTGCGCAAAGATTTGTGTTGTCGCATTAGCCTGAGCTGTAACTGGTGTGGTGTTGACTTGTTGTGTTTGATTGGGTATCCATGGTTGTTGTTGTGTTGGAGATGATTGGGCAGTTGCATTTATTACATTCATAGGTTGAGACTGTGTCGTTGTTCTGGTATTTACTGGTGATTGTTGTTGTTGAACAGATTGCGTTGTTTGAGCTTGACTATTCAACATTGCTTGCTGTTGTCGCTGTTGGAATTGAAGGGCTGCTTGTTGCTGCTGTTGCTGTTGAATGCGTTGTTGTATAAGAGCACTTGTAACTGGATTACTAAGTTGGTTGACTAGTTCTTGTGCTGTTGCCAAAGGAATCACACCTGAAGCTACTAATTGTTGAATACGTTGTTGCAATATCATCGGCGAAGGCATTTGTTGAAGTCCTCCTAATCCTAAAGCACTTATAATAGCCGCTTGTTGAATACTTGACAAACCTTGACCTTGATTCACTCCAATATTCAAAGGTGCAGTTGTTGATGCCGTTGCTGTTGATTGTCCGGAAACTGGACTTGCGTTGCTTTGAACTGCTTGTGGTATCGTTACTTGCGGTTGCGTAGGTTGATGTGAAGTTGCCGAAGATTGCTTCATCATATTGGTTGCTGCCACAGCAGATGGTAAAGACGTAGCTGCTTGATTGATTGCTGATGTTGCTGCGGTAACTTGTGTTGTTGGTGATTCCGTTGTTGCGTTTGTACGTTGTATTGCTTGTTGTTGTGCTTGAGCTTGCTGTTGAGCTTGTTGTTGAGCTTGAGCCATAAGAGCCCTTTGTTGTGGCGTAAGCATCTTTCCTTGTTGTGCTCCACGAGCTTGTTGTTGAGCTTGTAACTGTTGTTGGACGGTAGCATTTTGCAAAAGAGCCATTTGTTGTTGTTGAGCCGCTGCAGCCGCCGCCATTCGTGCAGCAACTGATGGAGAGTGAGGAACTGGATTCGCGAGGTTGTTATCACAGATTAATGTATTGAAATAACCATACGCCGTCTTTAATTGAACTACATATGTTTCCATAAGGTATTCAGGTCCAATCTTGAATCTATGAAACGAATAGAGATATATTAAACTATCATCCTATCACTAACTCTATCTCTGTCTTTTTTTTTTTTTTTTTTTTTACTTACTCCAAATTACCACCGTTAAGACTTGTATCACATACTGTTCCCCATCGAAAAACACCATCATAGATTCCGTTTGCCACATATAAATTGACAACAGTATATACTTTTCCTATTCAATATAAAAATAGTCGGTTAATATGTACATATATCCCACAGTGTACACACTGTCTCTCTCTTCTTTCTTTTCAACTTACTGTTGCTTCCTTCTGATCGTTCAAATCGAATTGTGCGTACGCATTTCCTTCCATCTGGTAATAGAGGAGGTTCAGACATCGTCTTCCGATCTAAAAAAAAAAAAAAAAAAAAAAAATAGTGAGAAAACAAGATATCAATCAATATATATCACTTACTTTTCATTTTCTTCGTTTCAATAGATGGAATAGCTTCATGATCTGCTTTTTGTTTCTTTGACCGCCATTCTTGTAAAAATGAGATATTGCCAAAACTAAATTATAATTTCAGAGTGTTCAAAAGTAATAAGGAAAAAAAAAAAAAAGAATGAGAAAAAGGAATAATTGATCACAGGAATAAATGATAACTTACCTAGGTTCAAAAGGAAATGATCGTTTTGAGCGCTAGATATCAAAAAAAAAACTAGTCTTAGTACAACTAACAGTTTCTTGATTGCGTTTTTTCTTTTTTTTCTCTTACAGCATCCAAAATAGTCATTAGTTTATTATCTTCTTTCTTCTGAGCCAATTTTTGTTCTCGTTCAAGGGAATTCCACTTTTGTTTCTTCTTGACATGGCGTTTTCCACTAGAATATTCGATTGCATTGCTGATACGAGATACATTGAAGGAGGGATCAAGACAAAGAGGTTCTTCCGTAACCAACTATAAAGATAATAATAAAAAAAATGAGGACAAAATATATAGGAAGATATTTTATGATCATCTTACCAAAATCTGGGCTTCGACTTCCAATGCTAATTCTTCAGTCCATGGACCACCCCATTCTTCATTCAAAAGTTGTATATCAGACCATATACTTTCTGCTGTCGGTCGCATAACCACGCGTTTGATATGTGTCTTGTTATCGCTATTGTCATTGTCTTTAGTTGCCTGACGATGATCGTGGATTTCTACAATCAAACATCCTATTTTTGATATACAAATAAGAATCAATATCGTCCACGTACCATTTCTTTCTCCTACCTTCATAATACCGGCAAGATGCTTCATTAAATACGTCCATCAAATCAGACGGTAATTGTTTTTCCTTGACACAAGATAAAAAATCCTACGATCATTAAAAAAAAAAAAAAAAAAAAAAAAGAAGAAGAAACAGTAAGGTAATGAGTATTAGTATCTGATTCATAGACTTGCGATCTTGAATTATGAAAAAGTATACAAACCTTGAATTGACTCTTGTAAGAGAAAAAACCATCCTAAAGTAGAAGTAAACAAAACTAGTTAATAAATGAATAGATCTACTATATTGATGCGTCTTTTCTTTGTTTATGTTTATATTCTCTTACCTCGTGTTCAAACTTGAAGTAGGTAGAGTACAGGTGTAAAATAAGTGATGGTGGTTCATGTGTATGTCGTTCAATCAAACCTATTCAATATAAAAATATAAATCAATATTCAATACCTATGAATAATATGTATGAAACTTACATTGGTCATCAAACTTCAACGATAACTATAGTTAAAACAATTAAAACGGAAGAAAAGAATAAAAGTAAAAGAAAATAACAAAGAAGAAGAGCATATATTAAAATGAAAATACTTGTATACAATGTAATATTATTGCATTACCTTGGCTTCTTGTTGCTTGGGAGAGGTCGATATAGAAGATACGGGTTGAGTACGTCGAATATCCTTTTTTCGAGAATAATCCGTCAATGTTGATGCTTGTTTTGCGTGGAAATCAGCCATTTGAACAACATTGTTTTGTTCACTTTGCAACTTTGCCATGATTTTGGCAGCTGCCATTATTTAAAAAAAAAAAATAAAAGGAAGAAGTAAATGCAAGAAAAAAAAAATAGAGACTGAAAAGGAGAAAGAAAGAAAAGGAAATACAGTGTAGACCAAAGAAAACAAAATTCACTTTCTTCACCTATTCAATGACTAATTCAAACACCGATTCATTTTGGTTCTACTGATATAAAGCAATCATCATAATATGATGATGGATGATATGTAAAAATGAATGAAATGTGATAATAAAAGAACCTTTTTCAATCTCACTTCAAGTCATTCTAGGAATCAGATCGCTCTGATACAAAAGTATAAGTTGATCTGAGATCAAGCATTTTCAAACTTCATATAATCTAGTTCAAAAGATCTCCCAAACGATCCTCAGTTTAAATAATTATTAAGAGTCTTCATCGTAAGAAATTTCAATCATTATCAATTATATTAATCTATCATCCATCCTTTCTCCTATTACCCTCCCTTCAATGCTAAGCAAATCACATAAATGTCAACATCATTCTTTTGATACCTAATAATAAAATAAAGAAAAGGAAGCACTAGTTCATTGAATACAAGGAAAAAAAAACGATCATCTCTAATATGTAACAAAATAACTGGTAATTTAATCAAACAAGTATCGGCATATTAAGACCTTCGTATGGATTTAAAAAAAAAAAAAAAAAGAACATGTCATTATTTTCTTCCACTAAACATCGTTTATTAAGCTGATTATAATTCAAAAAAAAAAAAAAAATGAAGGGACAAAATGAAGAAAATGGATATCAGGTAGATAAATAAACACAAACATGCGCACACAGGGAGCAAGACAAACCAAGAATAAGAGATAGAGAGAGAGAGAGAGAGAGGATAACTTAACTAATCATATTTTGACTTCCAAATCCAAGAGTTACCCATAAGACCATGTCCTTGCTTATCCGCTTTTCGATAATACTTTGCTGCCAAATGTAAATCCTTCTTAACTCCATTACCATGATGATAACAATGTCCTAAATCATTTTGTGCATCTGGATCCCCTAAATCAGCCGCAATTTTGAAAAAGTGTACAGCTGTTTCCTTGTTCTTTTTGCACTACAATATATATATATAAAGGAGACAGTTCGTAAACATTTTCAAACCAAGATGATGATTTTTGTTTTTTTTTTATTACCCCCCAACCATGTCGAAAAGAAACACCCATTTCATAAATAGCCATAATTAGTTCCCCTTTGCTAGCTGAGGTATTGACGGTACTTGATAAACTATTTAAATCCAATACTGCGTGTTCAGCTGCCTTTTGAAGATATTGAAATGCCAGATGTTCACTCTTTTTGCAACCCTAAATGAAATGAAAATATATATATAAAAAAAAAAAAAAAGATATGAGATATAAAGAAATACATCAAAAAAAAAAAAAAATTACCCATCCATGCCGTAAGGATACACCATAAAGAAACATGCCCATAGGAGAATCCCTGCTAGCTGCTTGACGAAAGTAATCTGTTGCTTTTTCCAATTGGCCAGCTTCATGATATTGAATACCCGATTGAAGCATGGCTTCAACAGGATTTTGAGGTGGTGTAAATTGAGATTGTTGTTTGTGTTGTTGATGTTGGTTGGAGGAATACTCGTTATGAGAATGAGATGTCATTTGATGTGGTTGTTGTGATTGCTGTGGTGGCGGCTGTGATTGTATTTTCTGACCAGGAGAATGAGGTGAAGGAGGTATAACATGATTTGAAGGATGAGTGGGTGGAAGAGAAGACGCCGGCGTCAAAGGACCTGTAGAATGTTGACCAGAATAAGATGATTGTAATTTTTCAATGATAGCAGTGGAAGGAGCAGCAATAGGAGCCGCTTGTCGCATTCGTACAGAGTCCTGGCGAACAAACTTGACTGGTGCAGGAGTGTCAATGGATCGAGTTTCCGAGTCTATTTCCATATCATCTTGGTCATTGAAGAAATCTCCAATAGGAGAAGTTGGCATTTGTGTCGAAGGTACATATAAATTGGATGGTTGTACACAAGAGGTTCTCATGGTTGATACATTGGCTTCTATCATTGATCATATAAAGAAGACGAAGAATCTAAATATCCGGACGAGAATAAAGTTGTATATTATTTATTAACCTTCTTACCAATATAAGTTTCTCTAGACATGCCTTCCATTATCTAAAAAAAAAAGGAAAAAGAAGTGAATAAACCTAACAGAAGCTTTATATAGTAGCTCCTTACTTTTTAATGTTGTTGATGACTTTATGAGTAGTGATGATATATATATATATAGAGAGAGAGAGAAAAAAAAAAAAGACTGAGTGAGTGAGTGAAAAGGTGAGAGGACAAGAAGAAAAAGAAGAAGAACAGAAAATGTATACGATAAATAAAGTATATACGAGACACTGAAAGAAGAACCAGCTAAATCAATGCCTCCCTTTGTATATATGGAAAAGAAAAGAAAGAGAAGGGGGGGAAAAGAGAGGAGCAGGCTCTTTTTTTTTCCCAATTTAGTTTTCAGAGTTTTTTGTCGGGTCACAAAAAAAAATAATTTCGTGATGTTATAAATAAACTATTGGTTTTTCCCAAAATGGATGTTGCATTACCACTTTTTCAGATATGGCTCCAGAGTATGTCAAAACACATTGATTGATGATTGATGATGATAATACAGTATTAGTTAAAATAAATATAAAAAAAAATAGATATGTTGACTAAATATATATATATATTTTCTATTATTATTCAAAAATCTCTTATATACTCAATGGAACTATTACCATTCCTTTTCTTTTTCTTCTTGTATTCAATTTGGATTATGCGTTCAATTATTTCTTTTTTTTTTGTCATCTCTTTTCTATCCTTACTACACTTTATTTTCTATTTTTGCGATATCTTTAATTTTTTGAATTCCGTCACTTACTATTGAATAAAAGTGTAAACAGCGGCTCTCTCCCCTTTTTTTTTTTTATTCTTTTTTGTGTTCTCAAATATATATATATAGAACTCTTATTTTTATCTCTTACTTTCTCCTCTTCTTGGTAGTTAGATCTCAGCACCGTTGTTATGATGGATGAATACGGCACTCAGTATACTCAAGATAATAATGATATCAAATATATGTCTTTAGCCATTGAACAAGCGAAAAAGTCAATACCAGCAGAAAAGGCTTATTGTGTAGGGGCTTGTCTTGTCAGCAAAGATGGTGAACTCTTGACTACTGGTTTTTCAAGGGAACTTCCTGGCAACACACATGCTGAACAGTGTGCTCTTTTGAAATTACAAGATCCAAATCTGGCCTCAGGTGGTACCATGTATACTACTATGGAACCCTGTTCTACTCGACTATCTGGTAACATACCTTGTGTACAGAATATTATCAACGCTAATATTACTCGTGTTGTCATGGGTGTGCGGGAACCTCCAAACTTGGTCCAGTGTGAAGGTGTCCAATTATTAGAACAACATGGCATTCAAGTCTTTATTGTCCCTGGTGTCCAAGAGGAATGTCTCGCACCAAACAAACATATTCTTCATTAGTATATATATATCTTATTGTTTAGTTTGTTTATAGTCCTTCTTTCTTTCTTTTTCTTTTTTTTTAATTCTCCTATATATATGAAATAAAAAACTGTAATTATGATGATGATTCTTACAACTATTTTTCCCTATAAAAAAGTATATATGATTTATCAAGATTTGTATTCTGATTATTGTAGACAGATAGATGATCAATCCAGTAATGTTATTTATATTCGCCTGCATAGATTAAATGTATTTATCCATCATCATTCATTAAAACCATGAATTCATTTTCTGTTTCCTGGCTTGTCATTAACAGGGAATCATCAAGATTCAGGGTCCATTGTTATGCAATGTAAAGTTTCTCTTCTCTTGTCATATCATTTCTTTGTCCGCTGTCATTACTTTTTTGCGGACAAAATCATGTACGCGTCACCACATTACTTTCTAGTATTTGAGCTCCACCAATTTTTTTTTTTTTCGTCCTTCATACTACTTCTCTTTCTTTTCTTTTTTTTTTTTCTTTAAATACATATATACATATATATATATATATATATATTCGATATTACCATGGATAGACTTCAACGATTATTCGGAAACTCTTCGGCAGGTCTCGGTCAGGTACTGATATGGCGAAATAAAAAAAAACATTATATGATTCAAGTTAATGTATATATATATATATTATTCTTTTGAATAGACAATGCAACCCGGTATGGATACACCTACAGTTGATAATGCAGAAATGGTTTATATTTCTTCACTAGCTCTTTTGAAGGTATATTAATCGATTTGAAAATTATGATCAAAAAAAAAACCATAAGATAGCATACTAATTAACATTATTGTATTACCTCCTTTTTTTTGGATTTGGAATAACCTTTTAGATGTTGAAACACGGTAAATAATCTAATCTAATTATTATCAATATATATATATATATATATATAGTACTAACTCTATTTTGTACCTTTCGATTTGAAAAAAAAAAATAGGACGCGCTGGTGTACCTATGGAAGTGATGGGTTTGATGCTTGGTGAATTCGTGGATGATTATACTGTTCGAGTGATTGATGTTTTTGCTATGCCTCAAAGTGGTACTGGTGTATCTGTTGAAGCTGTTGATCCTGTATTCCAAACAAAAATGTTAGACATGTTAAAACAGACTGGAAGGTAAGAACTATTTATAAACGATTATATACAAAATTGGAAAGAAAATCTAATTCATTTTATTTGGTATATTATATATAGACCTGAAATGGTTGTCGGTTGGTATCATTCTCATCCTGGGTTTGGTTGCTGGTTATCTAGTGTTGACATCAATACTCAACAAGTAAGGAACTCACAAAAAAAAAAAAAAGAGAGAGAGAGAGAAAGGTGAAGGATATTCATACAATATTTTTTATTTTTTTATTTTATTTTTAATTAGAGTTTCGAACAATTGAATCCTAGAGCAGTAGCAGTGGTAGTGGATCCTATTCAATCTGTTAAAGGCAAGGTAGTGATTGATGCTTTCCGATTAATCAATCCTCAATCTGTGATGCTTGGACAAGAACCTCGACAAACCACATCCAATATTGGCCATCTCAACAAACCATCCATCCAAGCATTGATTCATGGTCTTAATCGACACTATTATTCCATCGCTATCAACTATCGAAAAAATGAACTAGAAGAAAAAATGCTACTCAACTTGCACAAGAAGAATTGGACTCACGGTTTAACATTAGACAACTTTATCGAACATACTGAAGTGAATGAAGCCTCCGTTAAACACATGCTATCACTGGCTGAACAATATAACAAATCTGTACAAGAAGAACTCACCATGACTCCTGATCAGTTGAAAACACGACATGTCGGCAAACAAGATCCCAAACGTCATTTGGAAGAAAAAGTAGATGCTGTCATGGGAAACAATATTGTAATGGCTCTGGGAACTATGATTGATAGTGTTAGTTTTTAGTTAATTTAGTCAAAATAGTAGTTATCACCTCTCTTTTTTTTTTTTGTTTTGCTTGAATCAAATATATATATATATGCGTTTAACATACTTTATTTTTATTTGTCTCTATTTATATGATGGATGATAAAGGACTGTGTTATTGGGAGATTGTATGACCATACTATGGTTAAGGACGGATGATGATTCATGCTGATAATCAAGATACCAATCTACTTTTTTTTTCTTGTCTATCACCTTAATGTATTTCCATTGAGCCTTTTTCCTTCCTCGTTCGCTCTATTTACTGATTTTTTCCATATGAAGCGCGTTTATTTTTTTGTTTTTCTGCATTATGGTTAGAGACTTGTTTGCATTGGGGTTTGAATATATTTGCAGTGATCAGTATTGTATGTATTCTTTATGATGATTTTATTATTGTTGTCATTTAGGTGTTTCTTTATGTCTTTTTTTTTTTTTTTTTTTGTAAAAATAACTTTTGTTTAAATAAAATATTTCATTGTCTAAATTATTTTATATCTTTTTTTATTAAATTTATTGATACAATGAAGAGAAGTAAAAATAGGAAGGATATAAAGGTTATTATATCGTAGGAGAAGAAACTAATCTAAGAGCAGCCAAAAAGTAATACGAGAAAAAGAGGAATGTAATAGTGTAAATGATCCTACGAGTATGTGAAATGGGCTAAAAAAAAAAAAAAGGGGGGATAGAATGAAAAAAGGTACTCTAATGTACAAAAATAATGTGGAAGATGAAAAAAAAAAAAAAAAATAGGAGAAGGAGAGATATTGGAGGAGAAGACAGAAGGGACCAAAGCGCACATACATCAATAACTAGATTACTTGAATCGTAGGTAAAAATTGACCTAAAAAAAAACAGTGGTTAAAAAAAAAATGTTTCGTGTTGACAAGTGGACCCTATATTGGGGTCCTACATTCACATGGACTTACAATCAATGCAATCACCAAAAGGAAGCATAAAATAGCAGGTCCCCTATAAAAAGAAAGAAGAAGAAGAAAAAATGGTGTTTAGAACAAGAAGCAGTATATACTTTTCTGGTAACATGAAAATCCACAAATTGACTTACACAAGATCATCATAGCGTCCATCCACTCTATTATTGATCATCCTAAACAAAAAAAAAAAAAAAAAAAAAAGAATCAATGAAAAAAAAAAAAAAAAATACAATGACACAAAAACAAAAGATACTATCATTACCAAGCACGTTTTTCGAATCGATACAAAGCATATATCGCAACGAGCGCAGAAAGACCTAAAAAGACTCCACCAATGGTACGAGAAGTATTATCACCGAAATTCAAAAGATTAAGAGCCACAGTCAATAGGAGAGCACAAAATTGTAACCACGAGATAAATGTACGTTCATTGGCAAAGAAAGTCTTTGGTTCCGCCCTAACTTTGACCTTTTGACGTCTCCCTTGACCAGATATATCTTCATCCACAGGAATGCCAATTAAAGAATGAGACTTGGGAATTGATATTCGTCCACCATCGTGATCATATTTTTGCTGAGAACGTCTAGGAGGTTTCTCTTGATTGGTAGATGGACGGCCAAAATGAATGGAATCACTGTTTCTGATACGCTGTAAAACCTTGTCAGTGAATTGTTTTGTCGCTGCTGATACTTTGCCCGTATCCAAAAAGGAAGGTCGTTCAGGATAATTACCATTTTGTAAAAGTGATATCGATTGTCGATGTGAGTAGTCTTGCTGAGAAGAAGGCGAAACGGATGGAGATACGTTGACGATAGTGTAATCCTTTTTGGGTGGTGAAAAATCGACACCAGGGTCATCTGATGAGAATCTATATGGTAGAGGTTTGGAATTGCTTGTACGTGCTGTCGATTCACTAGATGATTGTTGAGTACCTAGTGTGTTTTTACTAGACGGTCTACTGCTGTCACTGTTAATATTGCTATTGTTACTTGTTCCTTTAGCCGTATTTGAATAATCAGACTTGTCGTCATTGACCACGGCCTCTTGATTAGCCCTTTCCTTTTCTTCAATCATTGCTCGACGATATCGACCATCGATGAGAGGCTTGAAACTACGGGATCTTGTAAGACCAGTGTTTTCTGCACGAGGCTTTCGAATATCCACATTCAATTCTGCTAACCACCAAGGTAACAAAGGAAGTCGGTTACGATAAAAATGACAAGCACCATGGAGATATTTTGAGAAACGGGGAACTTCATGTACCAAATGAGATTCAACAAGAGAAGTCAACCATTGAGGAGGCTGTTGACCAAGATGAGTTTGTAGTTTGGTTTCCAAAACAGCATAAGGGAACCGTAAGATATCTGTTTCTTTTACTTGTTGGAAAGGAAAGTCAATGCCAATATCGTTTCGTCGCCAATTGTAATCCGGAACTCGTCGTTGTTGTCCATCCAAATGATCTTCACGAATAAAAGTCAAGTCAGTATCCAAAGATATACGAAGTCGTTGGTTATCTGGTAGTTGAAAAGCAGTTCGATTGTAAAAGACGCGTATCACTGGTCCCAAACGTTTGTCACGAAGAGACTTTTGAACACCACTGGCAATAAAATGTATATTGTCTATCACAGAAGGATCCATATCTTGTTTCCGTAAATTATTCACTATATCGTCAGCTGTACGTCTTCCTACTGTAAAAGCATTGACCTGAGATTCTTCCAAACGAAACCGATCTTTAACAGAGGCACCATCCAACCAAGAAGCATGATGTGTTTTTCGTTCTATGAAGATATCTTTGTTGTCGGTGTTTCCATACCTTGAAAGAAAAAAAAATAAAATAAAAAAAAAGAAGTGAGAATGGGAAAGAAAGAGAAAAAAAAAAAAAAAAAAAAAAGCGGGACTTTTTAAAAAATTACCATCTATATCGAATAGCTTCTGCACCTTCATCTCGTTGTAATCGAGCAGTATATAAATCAAAATTATTATTATCAAAATAAATACTTGATATAGCTGAATCGGCAGGTTCATATTTCTTTTCTTTGTTAAAGATAAGTACAGGTAAGTGAAGCATAATAATAGCCTTGACCTCAGTGATATTATCAGGATGAATCCAATATTTGGCAGTAGCTCGCTCAAAGGCATTCTGATCGGCACCAGCGGTATTATCTCCAGGAGATTGATGACCATGATTACGGCATATATCATGAAGAGCTGATATATAGATGATGGCAACATCAAAACGTTGTTTATCCAAAGGTTTATCACGGAGTTTGGAAACATAAGTCTGCTTCAGGTTCAAGTGAGTCCATTTATCATGCTTTTTCAATATTTTTTGGATGGCGGTAAAGTTAACTCTGGTGAATCGAGAAAGATCATTCACATCAAAAAGAATTTCAGTCAAAGCTTCATCCATGATGGTATAATTTGTATCAGATGCCATGTTTGGATTCTTCTGCAGAGTTTGTATAGTACGTTCACAATACAGGATGCGTGCATCAATCTCCGTTAACTTTGCATTGATGAAATCATATACCTTGGTCAATTCATTTTCCAATAACGTATCAAAAGCCTTTTCATCCTGGTCTGTCCATCCATGATCTAATTGACGGGATTTCAACTCCTTTTTTAAAACATCATATGATACATAGGACAAACGCCAAGGTGTAAATATATTTTGCTGCAATTCCAAACCGTATTTCATATGTTATTATCTTTACGATGATTTGATCCTTTTATACTACAGGTAAATAAAAAAAAAATGCTGATGATGATTGATATTGATCGTGATGATGGTGTTAATGATTGATGATTGATTAGTAATAGGTAAATTTTAAAACAAATCAATAAAAAAAAAAAGGAAAAAAAAAAAGAGGAAAGAATAAGAGAGGGAAAAGAAAGAGGCACGGATAGGTTAAGAAAACTGGGGATTAAGGAAAAAAAATAGGGGGAGAATGGACAAAGGGAGCCTTTTTGGACATTTCAGTCGAAAAAGCAGGGGGGAAAAGAAGGCTTTATTTTTATAAATGGAACCAACTATAATTCAATTTCGTACAAAAATAATAAATACGTAAGTAAATAAATAAATAAAACATAACCATCATGTTTTTTCTATTATTGTCCTTTCTTTGAACACTCATATCCTCATAGCAACATCCCATAGCAATTACTTTATTGGCAAGCGGTATTTTAAATGATTTCCAAAAAAAGAACGAGTAAAAAAAAAATCCCAGGGGAGATGAGGAATATGAGTGAAATAGGCGGATTGACTCTATTTTGTTATATGTTTGTCTCTACTATACGCAAACTAACTGACTTATTAACTACACTTACAATCTTCTCCTCTTTTTCTCCTTCAAAGTCTGATTCACTGTATCTCTTTGATCTTCTCCACCAATCAATATTAAGGATGTCGTTACGACATACTCTTTTTTTTTTTTTTTTTTTTTTGCCACAATAACGATCATCAAATAAATAAAAGTCTCTTTTATAAACTATAAGTAGAACTTGGCATCTATGAATGGATATATTCATGCAACCAATCAGAATGAGTGGAACGACCTCACGATTCAAAGGGATTGTCTTCTAACATATTGTTGTCGTATGCAAACGACAGTCTCTTGCACTCCTGCATAATTTGTTCACCTTTATGATAAAACTGGTATGATTTTCCTTTTTTTGATTACATATGATCATCATCATCCTCATCATCGTAAAAGGTAAGGGTGCTAAAAAAAGAAAAGAAAAAAAAAAACAGATACATATACACACGAGCTCACACGATAAATTAAAAAGGAGTCCTTTGGCTTGAACACGGAGAAATCATCTCCCCTCTTCTTCTCCACTATCATCATCCTCAATTTCAAGTATCTTTTTTATTCATAATCTGGTAAATATTGAATTCTTATATATATATATATATATTTTAATCATCCATTCTTCCCCTGTATCTTTCCCATTTCCATGAACATTTTCCATCTTCCATCTATAAATATCATCAGCTTATCACATCATCGTCATTACCATCATCAACATAAAAATAATCATCATCGTAGATTCAACCTAAAGTTCATCTCCAATCATTATGAAAGCCAACCTACGATTCATCACAAACACCATCATAGACAGTCATCATTTTCATAGAAAAAAGAAGACAACATTTGATAAAGTAGACAACGTTTGATAAAGATAGAGATAAAGATTTTTGGACCAAAAAAAGGGAGATAAATTTTATTTCATTTTGGAGTTTTTTTTTTCTTGTTTTGCAGGATTCTATTTTACTTTACATTGCCTAAACCACCAATGGATTGTTTAGATCCTATAAAGAAATAAAGAAGTGAGTATAGACGCAATTCATCATCATTCTTTTTTCTATTTGAGCTTTCTTTTTTATTTCACTTACAAATCGGCAACGTTCAAAGGCATTTCTTCGATTTGAGTGTTGTAGAATTGTTCAATATCACGCATCATACGGACATCTTCATTGGACACAAAGTTGATAGCAACACCCTTACGACCGAAACGACCACCACGACCAATTCTGTGGATATAATTTTCACGGTTGGAAGGAAGATCGTAGCTAAGTGAGTAATAAAAAAAAAAAAACATTGGTTAAAAAAAAAAAGTTCAACAAGATCATCATCCGCTTGTACTTACTTGATAACCAAAGACACTTGTTGCACATCAATACCACGAGCCAATAAATCAGTAGTGATCAAAACACGAGAAGAACCGGAGCGGAATTCCTTCATAATAACATCACGTTGAGCTTGATCCATATCACCATGCATAGCGGAAACAGTGAATTCACGTTCATGGAGCTTGTCAGTAAGCCAGTCAACCTTTCTACGGGTGTTACAGAAGATAACAGCTTGGGTGATAGTAACAGTTTCATACAAATCGGAGAGAGTATCCAATTTCCATTCTTCCTTGTCGACGGCAATGTAGAATTGTTTGATACCTTCCAAGGTCAATTCATCACGCTTGACCAAGATACGGATGGGATCACGCATGAACTTGGTAGTGACTTCCAATACATCAGCGGGCATAGTGGCAGATAAAAGGACAACTTGAGTACTACCAGGTAAAAGTTGGAAAACATCATAAATTTGTTCACGGAAACCACGAGCCAACATTTCATCAGCTTCATCCAAAACGAACATCTTCATAGCATCAGTCTTGAAAGCACGACGGTTATGAATCATATCGAAAACACGACCAGGAGTACCAACAACAATATGAACACCAGATTGAAGCTTGGCAATATCTTCACGGACATTAGTACCACCAATACAAGCATGACATTCAATACCCATAAAGTCACCAAGAGCCAAGACAACCTTTTGGATTTGGAGGGCCAATTCACGGGTAGGGGCAAGAATAAGAGCTTGAGTTTGCTTCAAGGATACATCAATTGATTGAAGGATGGAGATCGAGAAAGTGGCAGTCTTACCAGTACCAGATTGAGCTTGAGCAATCACATCATGACCCTTGACAACTGGCATAATAGCACGTTGTTGAATAGTAGAAGGACGTTCAAAACTATAATATATAATAAGTATTTAGTTCAATTGATATCTTGATAAATACAGGAACAAATATTTCAATCCTACTTTTTTTTTCTTTCTCTACTTTCTCTTTCTCTTTTTTCTTACCCATAAGCGTAAACACCACGGAGAAGTTCAGTCTTCAAGTTCATGTTGTCAAAGTTATCGACAACTTCATCCCAGTTGGACTAAAGAAAAAATAAAAATAACAGCCAGTCAGTATCAAAGATGATGCATCCTTTATCTTTTCATTACAAGTTTCCCCCTTTTTTTTTATTTATTATCATCCAGCTTTTATTTTTTTTTCTTTTTGGAAACTATTAACTTACTTCGATTTCAGTTTCAGTGATTTCGTTTAAAGGTTCGCTATCAATATTAAAAAGTAAATAAAAAGTTTAGTTCAGATCAAGAAAGTCTCTCTTTTTTTTTTTTTGTTTCTCTATAAAGTCAACCAAGAGTTAGCTTTGAAGAGAGACAGAAAAAAAAAAAGAAGTTCAATTGAATTGAATGATAGAATATTATAAAGTATATATATAAAACCATTCTGTAATAATAATAAAAAAAAAAAGGTCCATTACCTCATTTTGGCTATAAGGAAAAGGAAAGAAGAAAAAAAAAAGGAAAACTTTTTTTTTTTTTTTACTTGACTTCCAAACAAGAATAACAAAAAATTTTGAGTGGCTGTATAATCGTATTATAAAATCTTTTTTTTTGGCTGTCACAACAAATCAGGTAGAAATGAATCCAATGAGCTTTCACATTCCGCTTTTCATGCGGATATGATTCAAGCAAGTGATGACCATCTTATAATAATTTAGCAGCAATCATTATTTATGTTCATAACAAAAACTATACAGTATCTGGAAACTGAGTCTCATCCGTCTCACCCTCAGTTTTGGTGTTGTACAGGGCCAAAATGCAAAAATACTGATGCCAAATACTTCCGTATTTTGACCTCTCGTTCTCATCTGAGTCTCAAGCAATGGGTCACCACTCCTTCTGTATTGATTAATATCATTTGGATAGGCAATGTTTCTTTTTCCATTTTCATATGTCCATCTTGATGATTTGAAAAATAAAAATAAAAAGTAAATTTTTCCTTCTCTTTCTCTTTGTTTCTTTACCTTCTTTCGATCTCTTTTTTTTTTATTTTTTATTCTATATACATATACACGTGATCATGGATGATCAATAAATCCAACAAGACAATGATGTTCACACATTGATAAAGTATGAAAATGAAGCCACATTGACAAGAAATCGGGCACAACGTCACGATCAACACAATTATAAACTATTTACCAAAACAAAAGGAATGGCAGGTATAAAATCTTTTTTTTTTTGATTTACAGTACGATGGACGACCGATGATGGATGATGGATGATGATCGATGATGGATGATGATGGATGATGATGGATGATGATGGATGATGAATAGAATGGATGATGAATAGAATGGATGATGAATAGAATGGATGATGAATAGAATGGATGATGAATAGAATGGATGATGAATAGAATAGATGATGAATAGAATAGATGATGAATAGAATGGATGATGAATAGAATGGATGATGAATAGAATGGATGATGATGGATGGTGGATGGTATGAGATGATAGATGATAGATGATGGATGGGAGATGACGGATGATGGATGATAGATGATGATTTTTTTTTTGTAATCTTATCTTCTTTTTTTTTTTTTTTTTTTGTACTTTTATGATTCTGTACTATTGAAGAAAATATATCCTGACTATTATCTTTGATCAGGATGTGTTTTTTCCATTTTATATTAGCAATTCGAAGACCAAGTGCTAAAAGCACAAGAGAACGATGAACAAGCTTTCACTTCAAGTCAAAAATCCAGTTAGCTTTACCTGAGTTATCTTCACGATTGACCAGTGGGTTTGACATAGCGAGAAATTCGACGAGTAAGTACCATTTATACTATACTGTAACATCACATGCGCCTCTTTATATTTCTGTAATTCACTCGCAACCTATCATCATTGTACCAAATTTGGACTGAAGACGCGTGATGACATTCTCTTTCAGCTGTATTAATAGCAATATGCACCTCGTCTCCCAATTTATAAGGTAAACCAAGAGTGAAAAGTCAATTCAGTCATCCCTCAATCAATTAATAATGATTATCATCATCAAAAAAAAAGAGCCATGGAAGTGTAAGTGTATTGTTGTGTATCATAAAAAGTAATATAATTTTTATTTCAAAAAAAAAATCCACATACTAACTAACTAAAACTATTACTACATGTATCTATTATAGTACCAACCAGAAGCCTTCGTCCACCACCCAGATCCTAACAACAAGCTGCCCTTCCTAACCAAAAGAAGTTTGCCATTCAGTCAGTTTTTCATTCATATTAACAATAAAATAAATCCAGTCCAAGTAATTCACATCCTATTATAAAAATATTTTCTGTCATTTACCTGTACTAAATCCTACATCCAAAATGAAAGAGTTTCCCCATGTATTTTGTAAATCCCTTTTTCAAAACGCTCCAAATCTAATAAAATCTACCTTGACAAGATCGCACAAACAAAGAGGACACCCAATGTGGAAAAAAAAGTGGATGGAGAAAAGAAAAAGAAGAAAAAAATTAAAATTGCACGAAGGGGTAGTTATTTTTTTTTTTTTTGAAGCCCGTCCACTAACGACAATTTGGCATGATTTTTTTTTTTTTTGCTTTTTTATCCCAATCCCCAATCTTGCCAAAATCCATGCTTACTCAAGTGTATATCTTTTTTAATTTCAAGGTCGAATGGAATTCTCCCAAGAATTACATGAGACCGTCGATACCAATCTGATCATTTTTCTTTCACTCCCAAATTCATTTTCCCTTCACTCCCAAATTTGATATTCCTTCGCTCCCAAATTTTATTTTTTGTCTCTATCTTTTTACCCTTTTGTCTGAATTTAAAGTGAATAAACTGTATTCTTTTTATTCTTTCTCTTTCTTTCTGTGTAAGCAATATGAAAGTACTTGTGACTCGTGAATTACCAAAACATACCCAAAACCGACTGGAAAAACAAGACCTGGAACTCATACAATGGAAAAAGGATTGTACTATTCCTCGAGACACGCTTTTAAATTGGGTGAAAGGTAAATTCTCTCCTTTGTTTTGACTCAACTGCTCCTATCCTCAAACACACTCTTTACTCTCTTTATTATTTTAGGTGTGGATGCTATTATTTGTCTTCTTACAGATAAGATTGATAAGGAATTACTAGACCATGCAGGTAGTAAAAAAAAAAAAAAAAAAAAAAAAAAGAGAACATCTTTCTCTCATTTTCTTTCTATATGTATTAACAAACGTCATCTTTTTATATTTCTTCTAATCCACTTTAGGTCCTCAACTTAAAGTGGTGGCAACTGTTTCGATTGGATATGACCATTGTGACATTACTGAACTCAGGGCAAGAAATATTCAAATTGGTTATACTCCCGACTGTTTGACGGATGCTACCGCTGATTTGACTTTATTACTCGTACTTGCTGCTTCCCGATGCTTTAAAGAGGTAATAATATATAAAAACACATTGATTATACTTTATTGAAATCATCATTGATCAAGATATCATTATATACCTTCGCATATATCTAGGGAATCCGTGCTGCAGAAAATGGAGAGGTAAGGATTACAATTATATGATTTTACTAGAGTCAAGACTGATTTTATATATTATAGTGGAGAGAATGGCGACCAAACTGGCTCTTGGGTTCTCAATTCTCTGGTAAAACATTGGGTGTTATTGGATTGGGTCGTATTGGGCAAGCTGTGGCAAAACGCTTGAAAGCTTTTGGTATCACTCGAATCTTGTATCATGGTCGTAGGTAAAAAGAATTAAAAATTTTTCTTAAAAAAAAAAAAAGATTACTGATTATCTTGTCATTCTTCATATTTTATTTACCATAGTCAAAAACCTCAAGCTGAAAGTGAACTAGGTGCAGAATTCAGTTCATTCGACAATCTTTTGAAGGAATCTGATTATATTACTGTATGTTGTGCATTGACCCCTGAAACTCAAAATCTGTTTGACTATGTTGCCTTTTCCAAAATGAAATCAACTGCGGTAAAAGAAAAATAAAATAAAATAAAAGGTAGTGTAAATATATGATAAAGCTTTTACCTTTATCTCAGGTCTTTGTTAACACAGCTCGTGGTGGAATAGTTAAACAAGATGACTTGGGTAAGTGTGAAATAACCGGATGAAAAGTTGACATTGTTGAAAGTCTGATCATTCTCTTTTTTTTTTTCTATACACGTAATTCGTCACCGATACTAATGTCTCTCAAGTGCGCGCTTTGGATGAAAAACTAATTGCTGCCGTTGGATTAGATGTTACCACACCAGAACCCTTACCTACCGATCACAAACTTTATCAATTCAACAATTGTATCATCTTGCCTCATGTAGCAAGTGCAACGGAGGAAACTAGAGAAAAAATGGCATCAATGGCTTTGGATAATGTTTTAGCTGCAGTTCAAGGGCAACGTATACCATATGGTGTTTAGATAGATTTTGTATATTAGTGTAGTTACAGCTCTTCCGTATATCAACAATATTACTTTATTTTCTAGCGTAGCATATATATATATACTCTTTATGATTCAGACAATTAATAAAAAAAAATCCAGTTTATTTTGTATAGACAAGTTCATAGGTAGAAACTTCTAAGCATAACTAACGATATTATATAGATGGTCTTTAATGATTATATGAACGTCGGTAGACCTTATTTTTTCTCTATGCTATCCTGCAAATCATTATCCATCATATAACCATACTATGATTATACGTTGGTATTTTCATTTGTCCAAGGTAGTAGTAATAGTAGCAGTAGTAGTAGTAGTAGTAGTAGTAGTAGTAGTAGTAGTAGTAGTAGTAGTAGTAGTAGTAGTAGTAGTAGTAGTAACAAAAATAAATAGAGATGCAATCGCGCGTTTCTTATTTGAAATAATCTAGTTTGACATGGGTGACTTTGAAATAGCTAGTCCATAGCCAGGAAATAATAGTTTTTTTTGATCGATGTTACGATAAGATGATATCAGAAAAAAAGTTTTATTTATATATATAAAGTAATCAACATGAACAATATATTATTTTGAAGGATGGGGATAACAAGAGAAAGAAAAAGAGAGAGTATAAAATAATGAGAAAACTAAAAATAAAACAATAATACAAAAAGGATAAAGATCAAAAAAAAGGCACTATACTATGGTAGCTTTCAAATGCTTAGATAGATGTAACACAACTGCCAAAGAATCGTCGAATGATTTCACGGCCATAAGGAATATAGCTTGCGCTAGAAAAAAAAAAAAAAAAAAAGAAAGAAAAAAGAAAGATCAGCTCTAGTAATAATAATAATATAATAAAAACGGTATTCCCCTAAATGCAATCACAAATGTCAAAGATATGATTCACTTACGAGTACCACACCAAGGCAGCGAACTGAACAATGACTAGAATCAGGGACAAGATAAAGTTGTGTAACTATGAGATAAAAAATATTCAATCAATACAAAATAATATATATTCCCTTTTTATCATCTTTCTTTACCAAAATAGAGAGGACCAAAGTGACTACAAGTAATGACAAGTATACAGTAGTTGCCCAGAATCGTACTACAAGAGAATACAAAGAGTTAAAAAAAAAAATAAGAAAACTTGATGTAATTTTCATGACTTACCAGGTGCAAACATTGTTTTCACTTGCTTCATAATACCAATAATAAAAGTCAAACTACACAAAATAACCCAATCATCAATAAAGAACAAAGTGGTCAGTTATTTTCAAAAAAAAAAAAAAAAAAAAAAAAAAAAAAGGAAAAAAGGAAAGGAAAAAAGAAAGAAAAAAAAACTCCCGAATACGAGGTTACCTGAAAATAGAAACAAGGTTTCCAATACTGTAAAGAATCGCAAAGCCAGCCACATTACCACCTATAAGAATAAGAGACGACTAAATAAATGAAAACAAGAATTCTTTTAGTAAAGAAACATTCTTGTCATGTAAAGAGAGATATTTACCACAAGCGAAAGAATAAAACCAATGACGAAACTAAATATATACGTATATATGAGTTATATTATCATCTAGTGTATAATATATAAACATCTTGTATCGTATTTCTTTACCAGGCACCAAAAGCATAAAGACGTTGCATTCTATCAAGACCACAGAACTGCCAAGTTCCTAAAGAACAACCAAAAGAGAAAATTGAGTATTAAAAAAAAAAAGACAATAGGTTCGCCCAACTAATATAAATATATTACCGTCGTCCATGGTTCCTTGGTCACTAAACGTCTCTGAAAAGAACCCAAAAGCCATTATTGTATGAGCAAAAAGAAAAGAAAGAAAGAAGAGAAAGAAAGGGTCAAAATACAAAAAAAAAAAAAAAAAAAAAAAGCCGGCGCGCGCTGAAATTTTGGAGGTAACTGTGTTACGACATTGTTCAAGCCCAGATGTGGCATATCTTTTACATCTTTCTCTTCAAAAAGAAAAGAAAAGAAAAAAAAAGAGATAATCTATCATCAATCATCAATCAATGACATACTCTACCGACATCTCTAGAGCGATATCTGAAAAAGTGGTAATGCGACATCCATTTTGGGAAAGACCGATATTTGAAATCTCCCTTGGTGTTTCCAGTTCAAAGTGGATAATCAACCTGAAAACAGCAACATATGAAAATATGTTATCACCTCTTATGTCCATACGTAAGTTAAAATAAATATAATAAAAAAATGGATATGAAATATATATATTTTCTTTTCTGTTATTCAAAATACTCATTGGAACTACTGCTACTCCTTTTCTTTTTCTTTTTCTTCTTGTATTCAATTTGGATTATGCGTCAACTCTATTTTTTATATTTTATTTCCTATTTTTTGCGACATCTTATTCTTTGAATTCTGTCATTTATTATTGAATAAAGTATGTACCTTTCTCTTTCCGTTATATATTTTCTCAGTAGTATTGACGTTGGCAACACTATGTTGAATAATGATGATGATCAAATATTTACATATGATATAAATTAATCCTATAGTCTACCCATCTGGTTGATCTATCTTTGTTGTTCATCCTATCATTGTATATTATCCAATCGTCCTGATCGTCTGTCCATCTAGTTGATCCTTTTGTATCCTTCTTCCATGGATCATATCGTAAACACACTCAACGTGTCCTGACATATATCCCATTTTAAATTGTCCCATCATCCCATCATCACATATCATCCCATCATCACATATCATCCCTTCAGCCCTTCATCCCATCATCCCATCATCCCTTCATCCCTTCATCCCATCATAAAATAGCATACTGTTCAATTGTTTACTTTGTTCTTTATTCACATATTTAACAAACTGATTGTAAAAGGATTCTTGTGTATCGAGAGTATTTCCTTTAGGAATGTTTCCATCATTGAGAGCCCTTTTCTTCCCAATAATCTTAATGAAAGGAGTTAATAAAAGAACCAAATGAGAAAAAGACGAACCAAGATAGTTGTATTATCTGTCGTACAAAAGAGTGATGACAATATCGATGCTGCATATATAAAATAATGAAGAAACAAAAAGAGCAGGATCAATTTATTTTTTTTACAAAACACTTACTTTTTTTTTCTTTACCATTTTGAATACCATCCAACGATAACTGAGCCACCATTATATACAACGTATAGGATAATATAATTCTTGGTTATTCAAATATTCCATCCACACTAGTTTGATCAACAGCATGTTTTCTAGACAACCGGTTCAACTTTTCATGATTTATATTCTTGACATGTTGGTGCCTAATAAGAAGGGATGAATAAAAAGAGCATATAATGGTTCCAAAATTCATTTCCAGCTACAATATATTATGGTATCCAAAGAAAATATTGAGCATAATGTTCATCAAAATAGTATAATTAAAAGCAAATCTTACCTCATCAATTCGATCGTGATTCAGTTATAACAATGACATGATAAATTGCCAATCCATAAGTGTTTCCACTTTGTCAACAATCCTTTGTAGATTTGTCAAAGTCACCAGAGTTGTCCTTGTTATAAATTCAGTTATAGAACCATTGGAGAAGATATTCCTTGTGAATTTGGTCTTGCAATCGATTTTGTAGGTGACTTGCTAATTTACACTTCTTTGCTATTGTAGTTATTGGTGTCAATGTTAATGATGGTATGCTTGGTAATGATGCTGAAGTTTGCGATGACGAAAAACTGGCCACGTCCTAGAAGTGATTTGGCTGCTGACGATACTGTTGAGAAAAAAAGAAAGAGAAAAGACATTTTGACACAAGACCCTCAGGCAACGCTTGCGGGGATTGAAAGATAGGACCCACATTCGACTCTATTCTCTCTCTCTCTCTCAAATTGTTTCGCTCTTCCTTTCTCTCTTTTTTTTTTTTTTTTTTGGCTGTTAGCAATGGAATCAACTACTGACTTGACTAGTCGACCGTCTTCTTTTACCGATGATGAAAAGAAACAACCTCCATCCAACGACCTTACTTCTCGAAAACAAACTCCAATACCAACTCCACCTTTTTTAAATAAGTTTGCTACTCTTGCCACCGACAAATATACCCAAAGTTTACGTCGTGATCTTCTCTTATCCAACTTTGACCGCAACTTGACTGTAGAACAAGCTCATTTTGATGCTACTCTTCAGCTTGGTGTTCCTCAAGAAAACTTTTCCACTGTTGGTCAATCAACTCAACCTACCACTTCTCCTTCTAATACAACTATTAGCGATAACAATAATAACGGTCATTTAGACAACCACTATATCAACAGCACCAACGGTAATAATACCAACAACAACAACAACAGCAACAACACAAACAATACCAACAATAGTAATAATACCAACATCACTAGCGATAAAAATCATGGTTTATATCCACTCCATTCTAGTAATACTTCAACAACTGCTCACTCACCACCACTAGGACCAATGTTGACACCTCCAGCTGAATCGAACCACATCATGCGACGTACTTCAAATACCAAGCTTGACTCGAAACGAAAACAACCCAAACGAACGCCTATTCATAGTGCTGCTACTCCTTCTGAATATTTTCACCGAAATCTCGTCGATGCTGTCTCCAATGTCGAAGGTAAAAAAGAAAAAAAAAAAGAATCATTTTTTTTAAGATACTTATTTATATTTATTATGTAGATTCTGATGAAAATGAATATTATGTTTATCCTTATAGTGGAAGTGAACACAATGGGAATACGTCTGATCACTATTATCGTCCTTCTGCGCCTAGGTCACTTCGATCCAAAAAATCCAATACTGGACCTCAATTACTAAGGTCTTCTCTATCTTCTCATGAACTCAAACAATCAACAACACAACCACATCGACCAAAATTAAGAAGTTATGTAATGGATCCTCATTCAGCCAAGAAGGAATATGGAGCCACAAAACATGATGGACAATGGCGATCTTCACGACGGAATCAATCAAAACGATATCTTCCCACTTATCAACAAGCTACTGATGGATATGCAAGTGATGATGAAGAAGATTCACTTATCTGGCATGAAGGTCGACGAAAACAAAAACGTCAAGGATGGTAAATAAAATAATATCAAAGTTATTGGGATATATCAAATTTCATTCATTCCTATTTTTTTTTTTTTTGATAGTGCTCATATTTTATGGACTATATGTGGATCTATTCTTCTTTTTATTTTGATATGTTTTTTAGTCATTATTTATGGTGGAGCCAAGCCTTTACAAGATGTGACTATTAGCATGGGCCGTGTGCTAGCTTCTGACAAGGAATTGATCTTTGATTTGCATGTGACAGCATACAACCCAAATGGATGGACAGTAAATGTTGCTGAAGCTGATATTAGTGTATTTGCATTCTCTCGTATTGTACCTTTATCTGCGCCTGATTGGATTCTAGAAGAAAATGTGACAGATATAGCCAACTTGTCATATACAAACTCTGGTAAATATAGATATAATACGTTTATATATATATAGATTATAGATTAATGAACTCTTTATTTTATTTGATTTTATTTGATAGGTGCAGATCCAGCAGAATACCTGGGAAGCTTTTATCATTTTGATGAACCGCTGGCGTTTTCGTCCTCTATATTATCTTCTCAACCAACACAAGCTGTTAGTCAAATTCGTATCAAATCACCTGGAGGTGATCAAGGTGGAAATGAACGATGGTCTCGTATTATTCGATATTCATATGGCTTATTGGCAAGAGGTGTCCTATCTTATCATTCTTTGGGTCTACCTGGTGTACACTCACAAACAGTTGCTATCTGCAATGTTGCCAAAGTTGATCCTATTACTGGTATTGTCTCGGGAGACCCTGATCAAGGTTATTGTTCCATCACCACCTAACCAACAAAATTACTTTATTTATTCTTATTATTCTTATTATTATTATTATAGTATACATATTTTTTTTTCTGGCAAAAACCAAACCAAATATATCTCTTCTTTTTTTTAAAAAAAAAAATGAAACCCTTAACAAACTGACCTAGGCTCTTTTCTTTGTGTGTATATCAATCTTTGTTTTTTAAAATGCCGCATGATGATGATGGAGGGGGGGAAGGTTTCCCACGGGCTCTTTTCCCTTTTGATTTTTCGGTTCTTTTTTTTTCTTTCTTTTTCTTTTTCCTTTTTTTTTTCACTGACTTCTTATTCTTCAATTTACAAATAACAATGAACACTCTTGCTGTATATGGTGGTGCTGGTGCTTTAGGACGTTCTTTGGTATCTTACTTTAAAAACAAAGGCTTCGTAAGTATCTACTATATTCGGAAGAAGGATCCGATATTTGACTCACTAGATCTTTGCCTCTTCTTTATTTTTTTTTTTAAAAAAAAAAAAAAAAAAGCGCGTTGTTAGTATCGATCTTGTTGAAAATAAGGAAGCTGATGCAAATACTATTACTGATGTCAATCATTCTTTGGAAGAACAAGGCAACTTTGTGAAAAAATCCTTGGATGGCGTCTTAAATGGTACTCAACTTGCTGCTATTTTCTGTGTTGCTGGAGGTTGGGCTGGTGGAAATGCTGCTGGTGAAGGTATATAGATAAAGTTAAAGAAGGGGGAAACATGACAGTAAGAGTGATAAAAACATGTGAACGTTCATTATCATATTCACTTATCTATCTATCTATAGGATTCTTGAAATCTGCAGAATTGATGATCAAACAAAGTGTCAATTCATCCTTGGTTGCTGCTCATGTTGCTGCTCATCATTTAAAAGCGTAAGAAATATGACCAAAAAAAGAATGGACAAATATACTTATACTATTCCTTTTTTTATTATTATTATTATTATTATTATTATTATTATTATTATTATTATTATTATTATTATTATTATTATTATTTTATTTGTTTTTAGTGGTGGATTATTGACTTTGACTGGTGCATTGGCTGCAGTGGATGCTACACCTGGGATGATTGGTTATGGTGTTGCCAAAGCGGCTGTTCATCATCTTACGAAAGATTTAGCCCAAAAGAATGGGGGATTGCCTCTAGATGCGAAAGTGATTGCTATTTGCCCGTAAGAAATCTATCTTTTTAATGAATACGAATACTTTTTGATATGCCGTTTCTTAATTATTGTTTTTATTTTTTTTTTTTTGTAGTGTCACTATTGATACCCCCATGAACCGTAAACATATGCCCACTGCTGATTTCACTTCTTGGACCTCTCCTGATGATATTGCAAAGTAAGTTATTATATATAAAAGAAAGAAAAAAAAGACTATATTTGTTATACTGATAACATATTATTAGGCAATTGGATGGATATTTGTCTGGATCGATCAAGGTCAATAGTGGAAAATTGATCAGTGTAGTTACCAAGGGAAATCAAACTACTTTTAGTGAATTGTAGAATCGTCATTTTTAATAAAACCTTTATGAGTGGTTTTTTTTTTTTTTTTTCATGTCTTTTTGATCGTGTTACTTGAAATGTCTAAATCGGGAAAAACTTGACTCAATTCAAAGTGAAAATCTGTAACCCTATACTTTTTTTGTTTCCATGAAAAAAGATTGGCTCTGTGTTTGAAATGATAGGGGAGAACCAAAATTTTTATTTTTTTTTTTTTCTGGCACTCTTGTTAATATATCCATTCTCTCTCCCCTTATTGCCTTTTTATCCATTTTACTTCTATTGGATTCTTCTCTCTTTTCTTTTCTTTTCTTTTCCTTTCTTTATTTTTTTTTTTTTTTTTGTTTTGTTTTTTGTTTCTTTTTTTTTTTCTGTTTACTTATTTTGTATCTATTAAAAATATACCTCACGTCTATCATACACAACAACTTTACACCTTTAAATTTCGACCACGAGTAGTATCTCCCCTTTTTTTTTATCATCCTTTTTTTTTTTTTCATGCTAGCCAAAGGTCCTTTACGAAAGAAACGCAATTTTAAAAACCTAAAACTATCTGACTCACCTGTGGTTGCAAGTCCTTCAACAACATCTACAGGTGACAAAAATGGCCATGGTGGTAACAATAACATAAAAGATGACTACGGCAAGGTATGCAATCAACTCAATGACCTAGAAATTGGACTGGAATTACGACTAGATTTACGACCTGAAGACTTTGATACTGTGGATGAACTTGGACGTGGTAATGGTGGAACTGTTTGTAAGGTATTACATGTACGAACTCAAACTGTCATGGCCAGAAAGGTAAATTTATATATATATATATATATATATATATATATATATTGATGACATTATGACTAACCTTTTTTTTTTCTTTTTTTTTCTTTTTTTTTTTCTTTTTTTTTTCTTTTTTTTTTCTTTTTTTTTCTTTTTTTTTTCTTTTTTTTTTTCTTTTTTCTTTCTTTTTTCTGTTTTAGATCATTCACATTCAAGCCAACTCCAACGTACGGAAACAAATTATGCGAGAAATGCAATTCTTACATGATTGTAATTCGAAACATATTGTCAGTTATTATGGAGCGTTTATGCAAGGTGATGATATCTCTATCTGTATGGAATACATGGAAGTTGGGTAAAAAACATCAAAAAAAAAAAAAAAAAGAATTGTATTTTGTCATGATTCTGATCTCTGTTATTTATAGTTCATTAGATGCAATCTACAAACGAAATGGCCCTATTCCTTTACCTGTACTGAAAAAGATTGCATATGCTGTAAGTTTGATGATGGGAAAGAAAAAAGTGAATATAAAGAAATACTCATTTATTAATTTATCTAGATTGTAGACGGTTTAATATATTTATATGAAGCTCATCGCATCATTCATCGAGGTAAAGAATATGGGAAAATCAAAAAGCTGTCTAAATGGATTTTTGATGATATTTTATTTGAATAGATCTGAAGCCATCTAATGTACTTGTGAATTCTCAAGGACAAATTAAATTATGTGATTTTGGTGTATCTGGTCAATTAATCAACTCGGTAGCGGATACTTTTGTTGGTACAAGTTCTTATATGAGTGTAAATGGAAAAAAAAAGATATGATATAATATAGTACTATATTTTTTATTGATTCATTCTCTGATTTAATGTAGCCTGAACGTATTCGAGGATCACCTTATACAATTCAATCTGACGTGTGGTCTTTAGGAATTACGATTATGGAACTCGCTCTGGCAAGATTTCCTTTCCCGGCCGATGGTACTCCTTTGTCTATTTTTGAATTATTACAACACATTGTCAATGAACCTGTACCGACCTTCCCACCAAACAAATACCCCAAAGATCTAACCTCATTCGTGGAACAATGGTAAACTTGAGATATATATATATATAAAAGGTTGATACAATAGACTGATGATTCAATATATTCATGTTAGTTTGATCAAGGATGTAAATACTCGGGCAACACCAAATGATCTGATGGTAAAACAAAAAGAAAAAAAAATGATTTATTGGATGGAAATGGTATTTTTAATGAATATATATATATATTATAGAAACACGTTTATTTGGCTACTGCGAAATACGAAAAAGTGGATTTGGAACGATGGGCACGACAAGTATCTGATAAATCCAATGATCAAAGGAAATCCAGTAGTAGCAACTTACAACTCTGACTCTAGCTTATTACTACTACTATTATTATTATTATTATATTTATTATTATTATTATTCCTCACCCTTTCCCCTTTTTCTATAATTAGACAATTCAAATTATAGTCTTTGATTCCATCCCTTCTCCCTTTCTCCTCTTTCTCCTCATCCTCCTTTTTTTTTATCACTTTTCTTTTGTATATAAAAATTTATGGTTGAAATGAAATCTTATTTTATTATCATTGCATGCTGATTTTACAAGGTAAAGATAGAGATGAGGTTGCCTTATTGGGTACTTTACCACAGTGATTACTACCAGTAACATGAATTAATTTTTTTTTTTTATAAAACTTCATGTCATCAAGAGGGAATATTGTGATGCAGATATAGTGTTTGGACTTTTGTTTGATTCATTCTTTATGGCTTAAAATGTCATCATCAGATAGTCATTCTATTTTATTATAAATACAGTAGTTTTACATTGTCAAAACCAATCAACATTTCTTCAATAAAAGGGTTGTATAATCAAACCCTTTTGGCCGCACTTAAGCTATCAATCATCCAAAGTTTTATCTTTATATTTTTTGATCATCATCAAGAGTGACCATATCCAAGATATCTGCATTATTTCCATTTTGGGACAATATTGAAGGAGAGCAGTCAATTGTTTTTAGCAGTGGTGATCTTTACACTTGTGATCTGACAAAAAAAAAAAAAAAAAAAAACTTTGAAAACATTGTAAATAACCCCCATATCAATGCAAAGAAAACCTTTATCAATCATGTCTTGAAATAAATCAATGATTAGTTTTACATATATATTAACAAATATAAATCATCTTGGCCACTCTATTGGAAATAATCATCCTCTAGTTTCATTATTCTTTTTTTTTATATTTTATAACAGTCATCAATTTATTGTTAATATTATTTTACTATATATGAAATCAACAAGTTATTTGGTATCTTCCTTTTTTTTTTTAATCTTATCTAATCATCACTTCACTGTGATCATCGTCATCAACCAATTTCCTCATCCGAATCTTTTTTTTTTATTACTATACGTACACTTTTGTTCTATCATATAGAGAATTGGTACTCACTACTACCTATAAACTTGATCATCATTCTCGTATCAACGTAATCCATAACCATATCCATAAAATAAAAAATAAAGAATGCATTCACAAATAAAGAATAAAAATAAATGGTAAGATGGAATCAATTACATTGACGTGTAATAAAGTAGTAGGAACAAAAGTTTTATTAAATAAAAATATAACTACTATAGGTCACTAATTGATATACTATAATTAAAATTAATATAAAGAAAAGAAAAAAAACAAAAGAAATCAAATATTACCACACATAAAAAAAATAAAAATACGGACTTTAAAAATCATTATGCTCATGGTTCATAATCACTACCAAGGAAGATACATACTATATTTTGTTCTTTTTTATAAAAGGAACTGGTGCTCACTACAAATCAATCATCATAGATATTATCATATTAATAATATTATCCATCAACTATATAAATCAATTGTTAGGATGAAATCACCTTTGAAGCTGACTATGAATCAGTCTTTTTTTTTTTTTATCTTGCTATCTGTCAAAATCTTGACATTTGTCCAATTCACACACTTTAACCATTTCTCACACTTTTGACCAAGACCTTCTTTTCTTTTTTATATTTTTGGTCTCATCTGAATCACTATTCTTACACAGTTTCATCCGTTATTACTTTTTCATCACATTTATCAGTTTCATCCGTTTTATTTTCACATTGTTTCGTATGATGATTAATCATCATCATCCAAAAATAATCTTTATTTTTAGTATAAATACGTCTAGTAGTTTATATATTTTTTCTCTTTGTCAAAGATTAAATCAATTTTATAAAATAAAAGATTGTATAATCAAATCATCTTGGCCACTCTTAAGAAATAATCATCTTAAGTTTTATATTTATTATTTTATTATCAAGTTATATTCAAGTCTTTATATATTATTATTTTATTTGATCATCATCAAGAGTGATCATCATCAAGAAATCTACTTCCATATTTGGATTACTTTATTTTTTTTTTCAAGATACAATTTGTTCTTTTTATTTAAAAGAACTGGTGCTCACTACAATCAATCATCAACAATATTATTATAATAATAATAATATCCATCAACTATTTAAAACAATCATCCATCAAAAAACAAATAAATCCCTAACACAATCATCCACTCAAGTAAAAAAAAAAATTCTTAGCACCCCAACATATTTAATTTTTTTTTATTTTTCGCCCTGACAAAAAGATCACTTATCACAAAGGCAAACCAACACCTTCGTATCTGATTGGATGGATCGAAAATCACATATTATGCAAGAAAACCAAAAAATAAATGCTCACTACAGGGGTCGAACCTGTGACCTTGGCGTTATTAGCACCACGCTCTAACCAACTGAGCTAAGCGAGCAATTTTTTTTCGAAAAAAGAAACAGCATTATAAAGCTAATATTAATTTTCGCGCAATATGATTGGTCGGAAAATGCCGGTTCTTTGTGATTGGACAAAAACATCTATATTTTTTATCCGTGCCGACTGTGGTTTTTTACTTTTTTCTCTTTTACGCCCTCCTGCCTATCTCCACACACTTTTCTTTTTTTTTTTTTTCTTTTTTTTTTTTTTTTTTTTTTGCTTTTTTCTTTTCTTGATGAAAATAGGTAATTTTGTAATATTTCCTTCAAGCTCCCATTGATATGCATTTTGTTTTATCTCGTATATTCAATCTATTATTTTCGACTCTTTGTAGCTTGCTGTCAATTTAACCCGACATGGGGTGAACGTGAAGCCAACATGACTAAAGCTGATCAACTACTTGCTGGGTAAGTGAATTAAAAAAAAAAAAAAAAAAAAGAAAAAAGTCAACATGGTTGAATAGAAGCAATTGGACAATATATATATTATTTCTATTGTAGCTATCAAAAAGGTGATATTGATATCCTTGTCTTACCCGAGATGGCGTTTACTGGTAATGAATGAAGAAAAGGAATTCAAATACAATAGTGAGTGTATTCGTTTTTATTATTAGGTTATGTTTTCAAGACATGTCAGGAAATTGAACCCTATTTAGAGGATGCATCTAATGGTCCATCTGTTCTATGGGCAAAACGACAAGGTAAGAAAGAATATTAGGAAGAATATGAGTATATTAATGCATTGTTACATATCTAGCTATAAGGTTATCGTGTTATGTAGTCGTAGCATATCCTGAAAGGTACGGTAAGTAATGAAAGAGGAGTAGATTGGATAATTCAAAATAGACTTAAATATATATATTTTAATAGTTGATGGTGATAATATCAAATTGTACAATAGCCAATGTTTTGTCAATCGACAAGGTGAACTTATCAAGACGTACCGCAAATCATTTTTGTATGAAACAGATGAACATTGGGCAAGTGAAGGGCCTGGTTTTGAAACAATAGATATCCCTGAACTAGGCAAGGTAATCATGATGATAGTTTTTTTTTTTTTTTTTTTTTTTTTTTTTTTTTTTTCCTCTAATACTGTCATTTTAGGTTGGACTAGCTATTTGTATGGATATTAATCCTTATCAATTCAAGACTGATTTTTATGATTTTGAATTTGGTCATTATCACTCGGAAGCAAAAACAGATATCATATTATGTAGTATGGCATGGCTAAAAAACGATACCAAAGGGAACGACACAGTGATGGATACAATTAACTACTGGGCACTACGTTTATTACCATTGATGAGACAATCAGTGGAATCAGATCATCAACATCATACGTTATTTGTGGCATGTAATCGCATTGGATCAGAGAGAGGTAAAAAAGAAAAAAAAAAAGAAAACAGCCATATCATTGATTGTTGTTTCAATTAGGATCTACCTTTGCTGGTGGCAGTTCCATACTGGATTTATCTCACTCGGACAAGGCTCAATTACTTGGTCATATGGGATGGAATGAAGAAGGGGTGCTTCTCGTAGAATCTTAGTATCATTAGGATGAGATGAGGAAGGGATGATAATCTATTAGTAGAAATTTTTAGTTATTATATCTTTTGAATAAAACTATTATTTATAGACAGGTCTTATATTTGAATTGATGATGATGAGCAATGATTTTTGAATGACAGAGTTGTATAGTGACTTCAATGCATAAGACAATGGCAGCCCATGAAAAAAAAAAAAGACATAGCGGGGTTGAAAATGAAGTCGTAATGGCGCGCGTTGCTGATCTTTTTTTTTCTCTTTCTTTTTTTCTTTTCTTCATTGATTACGCTAGCGATACACTCATTTATACTATGGAGAACGATAACGACTCTGCCATTGCTGATTTTTGTGCTGTGACAAGTGCAAATCCTCAAGTGGCCCGTGATTATTTACAGGTAAGAAAAAGATTTACTCTTGATCATTACTATCTCTTTCTTTGCTTCGTCGTTATAACAAAAAAAAAAAAAAAAAAAAAAAAAAAAAAAAGAAACCTTTGAAAAAAAGAGGATATTGTTATTTGTTTTGTTAACAAGGATGAAAAAAAAAGGGAGAGAGAGAGAGATAGTCATTCCAATCAAGAAGCTTTATACTTATCTTTTTTTTTTTTTTTTTTCTGTTTCAGATTGCTGATAATAATGTACAAATGGCCATTACGTTATATCTTGAAAGTGGTGGAGCCAGTCTGACCTCAACAACAACCTCAACAACACAAGAACCAATCACAACCATTGAAGATGATGATGATAATCATTCTAGTCCAGAAGGACTTTCTGATGAAGCATTGGCAAGACAATTACAAGAAGAAGAAGAATCTCGACAAAGACGTCAACCACCCGAAGTACGTGCACCCATTGCTCCTCGAACTGATATTTTGGCTGGTGGAGATATGTTTGATCTTGGTTTTGGTGGTGTAGGTGTCGGGGGATTATGGCAAGCTGGTGGACGACGACAACAACAACATGACTTACAACCATCAGTATTCAACCAAGGTGATTCATCTAGCGTACGTTCACCCATCGATTTATTGCGAGGAAATATTAGCAGCAATAATAGCAGCAGTAGTGGTAGTGTTGGTCCTTCAGCAGTTCATGGCGGTCGTCGGTCTGATTCAACATCTACATCCAATTCATTATCGTCATCACCCTCTGGTTACAACGATCATAGCAGTTCTCCTTCTTCAACGGCAGCTACGGCCAAGGCGAAACGTTTAGCTGATTTATTCCGTCCTCCTTTTGATATCATGTTTCGTGGTGGCTTTGAAGATGCTCGTGCTGCCGCTCGTGATCAAAACAAATGGTTACTTGTCAATGTCCAGGATCCTACTGAATTTGCCTGTCAAGTTTTGAATCGTGATTTATGGAGTGATACTTTTGTGAAGGATATTGTGCGTGAATCTTTTGTCTTTTTACAATATGCTAATGAAAGCTCCGAAGGGAAACGGTACTTGACTCTATACCCGGTCATACACTACCCTCATGTGGCTATCATTGATTCTCGAACAGGTACATTAAAAAAAAAAAAAGATGAAAGTTTTTTTTTTTTTTTTTCTAATCTTTCTTTTTCTTTATTAGGTGAACGAATCAAATCTTGGGAAAAACAACTATCTCCAACAGACTTTATGATGGAAGGTATATTATTATTAAAAAAAAAAAAAAGAAAAGAAAAAAAAAACAAATGATGATGATGATCAGGTTGGACATCTATTAAACTTTAAATTTTTGGATACGGTGATGATTTCTTTAGTGACGGAATTCTTGGAACAACATTCACCAGAAGCAGCAAAATCGGTCAACATGAAGAAACCAAGGGTAAGGAAAAAAAAAAAAAAAGAAGAAGGTGAATCAATGCTAATCATTTCTTTTCTCTTGATAGCAAAATGTCTCCGACATGAGCGAAGAAGAACAACTGAATGCAGCCATTGCAGCCTCTTTACAACCAACACAACAAGAAACAGCAACAACGTCAGAAAATGTCATAAATAAAAAAGATGAACAACATGATAATAACAATAAGATGATGGAATCAGATGCGGAATCAACAACGTCATCGATATCGGCAGCTGTTGACGAATCATCCTCATCCGTTTTGGATTCAATATTACCAGTCAAACGACAAGAAACCACTGATTTGGCCAATTCGACACGAATTCAATTTAGAATGGCAGATGGCTCACGTCTGATTCGTCGTTTCCTGAAAACTGATCCTGTACGTTATCTCTTTGAATTCATCAAATCTCAAGTACCTGAAACTCAAGATCGTGCCTTTGAAGTAAGTCAAAAAATAATAATAATAAAAAAAAAAAAAAATAGGATAGGGATGATAATCTATATGTATTGATACTCTTTTTTTTTTTTTTTAATTCTATATATAGTTGGTATTTAATCGACAACAACTTATTGATATTTTAGATCAAGAAATTCAACAAGCTGGACTCCAAAATGCTGCCGTCAACGTTCAATTTGCTTAGATATATGTTTAAACTTATTATACATCAATAAATAAACTATCTTCTTTTACTCTTTCTTATATGCATATATATCTTTTGAATCAAACATATTAAAAAGATCTTATTTGAACGGATGAATGAATTGATAAGAGAATGTTTGTTTTTTATTTCTTATTTTTTTTTTTTTTTTTTTTTGGATAAAACTATCTACAATACAATACTATCCAATCTTCCTATATGGTTTTACATTAAAAAAAAAATGTCATGCGGTAGAGAGAGTTGATTTCTTGTACAGCCAATACTTTTTTCGAATAGGATCGTATTCCGTAGCCAGTTGATCACAATACTATTTTTTTTTTATTAAATGGATATTAGATTCGTCTCCTTCTTTTTTTTTTTAACATTTTTTGATACTTACTGTTAAAGCAATGGTATCCACATTTGTATGTTCCAATTTCGCCTTTTGAAGATGCATGTCAATCAAGGTTGAATATAAATGAGGAGAGATAATATGATTTGAGATCAAATCTTGGAAGAAAGTTTCAATGGTATATAAAGGTTGATTGGCTTTTTCCAAAATTCTACCATTAAAAAAAAAAAAAGAGAGATGAGTCACATGTATCAATATGAAATTTCTAATGCATACGCTTTAAGATAAGACCATCCACATGGATTATTTGGAGCTAGATGTATTTTATTTTTGGTGAATTCAATTTCTTGTTGAATTGTTTCCTTGGTCGGCTTGTTAGGATTAGAGAATAAGACATAGTATCGATAATTCCATGCAGAATTGTTTCGTACGTCAAGTAATAACATATCATCAGTGTACTTCAAATCTTGATCCCATAAATTAAATCTTTTGACTACCCATTGTCTATATATATATATTTAAAAAAAATAAAAAGTAGGTGAGTATAAAGATGAATCCATTCATCTATTTATATTTCTATATACCTATATGACCAAGCATGATAGTTCTTTGAATCATCATCCAGAATACCATTAAGAAAAGGTAATTCACGATCACCATTATTCAATTTGTCGACAATAACAAGACGATGATGCCATACTTGGTAGTTCTTTGCTTGACCACCTGCAATCTCATCCACAAAATTCAATTCTTTTTGAAGATCAGCGTTCAATTCAAATAGCACTTGTTGTCGATATCGCCTAGTTTTCATTTTACCCAATTACAAAAAAAAAAAAAAATCATATGGTGAGTCGAGATAGAGAATACATATGTTCGTTCAATAAAGACTTTACCATACAGTATAATGAGCAGGATTCATTTCAATGATATCACTGATCAATCCTAAAACGCGTTCAGATTTTTCATTGTTTCTTGATACAGCTCGAAAGTAATTCATGGCATCAATATCTACATAATAAAAAAAAAGTGATAAGTGAGAAAGTTTTTCTTTTTTTTTTTTTCAATTGGGTATTACAATCTGAAGAATAGGCAATAGGTACAAGAGGATTAGGACCATCATCCTGTGGAATTGGTACAACATCGGACCATTCAGGACGTTCACTATAAGGTAGATCCATAACTTAGGAAAATGAGATGAGATATAAGAAAGAATGTAAAAAAAAAAAAAAAAAAAAAAAAAAAAAGAAAAAGAGGAAATGGGAGTTGAGGAGGTTGAAATCCCGGGGACAACCAGTCAAAGGTGAAAAGAGTAGACGAATGTTTTTTTTTTTTTTTTCTTTCGTGCAATAAACTTTTTCTTTTTGTCATTATCATTAATGACGATAAGAAGAGTTTAATGCACTCTTTATTCATCGTGATGATTCTCATCCTTGTACAGACGCAAATAGCATTCTATTATTTATTTGATAGGATGGGTTTTTGTAAAGCTGATATTTTTTGGAGTTGGCCAAGATATCTTTTTTTGATATCAAAAGAATCTGAATGAATAACAATACTTAGAATAGTTTTGAATAAAAGAAAATAAAATCATTATTCTATTATATACAATCATATATATATATATATATATATAAAAGGTTTTTATTGATCCAAAAAAAAAGTATTGAAAGGCGGGGAATATCATCTATTCACTATCACTATCACTACCATAATCTGCCAATCCACCAAGTCCATTTTTAGATACTGTTGATTTTGATGTTGTTATTGTTGTTTTGTTTGAGGATGATAAAGATTTATTCCCTGAAATTTGTTTTAGTGATTGAAGAATATTTTGAGGAATGATGCCATTGTTTGTATTGGATGATTGCGTAGAATTAGTATTTGTCATTGTTGCTGTTGGTTGTTGTTGGTGATAATAATAATCTTGATAATATTGTAATTGTTCTGGTGTATATTCGTATGTATTAACCTCTGTAGCGTCATTCTCATCTTCTTCATTCAATCGCTTTTGCCGTTTGATGTCATCCAATCCAGTTTCTTCTGCAGTACGTTTCTTGGTTGCAAATTCCACAGGGAGTTCGGACTCAAACTGCTGTTGTTCTTCTCCATAATATTCAGGTACTTCTGTTTCCGATTTACGTTCTAAGGCTTGTAAACGAGGATCATCGTCGACATAGTCTTGGAAAATACGATCTTTTTGTAATTGAGTTTCCGTTGCCCATCTTAAAAAGAAGAAATAGATAAAAAAATGAGTTAAAATCATAGATCAATATATATATATATATATTACTTCTTACCTAACATTGATAGTTTCATTGGCATCCATACTTTGGCTCATCATTGCTTCTTTTGCAAATTCTGCACTTGCTCTTGATACATAATCAACAAAAGCCACCCCACGATGTCGTAAAACGTGAATCCTTGCAATCTTACCCCAAGGTTCAAAATGTTTCCTTACTGCTTCTTCAGTCACATTGGTGATTCGACCTATATAAAGAGTTTTGTTCGTAGTTGAGAAAGCACCCACACCACCCATATCTTGTCGAAAATCACTAATAATATTTATAAAATACAGTCAATAATGGTTAAGATAAGAAAAAAAATCATAAAAATATTTTCTTTTTACCTGAATTTATCACGTCCAAAACAATCCACAGTTGTTTCTACTTCATCATCGACAGTTGGTACACGATGCCACATGGAACAACTAGCACCTTGAGCACACATACCTTTGGCAAAATAGATACAGAAATAAGCATTGGGATTTCGTGATCCTGCAGTGGTACCAGAATCTTTCAGTGGATCACAACGAAACTTGGCCTTTGCACTATAAGAGAAAAAAAAATTCGAAAGTCAAATAATAGATCATCCATGGTTCTTGGTTTTTTTTTTTAAATTACCCTTTCTTTGACCAATCCCTTTCTTGTCCACTATAACGATGATGCCATATATTATAAGTTCCACCTTCTGGTCGTTTCTCCCGAATAAAAGCGTCTAGAGTTGCTTTGTCAATCTAATCGTTCCAAAATAATAATAATAAAAAAAAAACAACAAGAAGAAAAAAGAGTTTAGTTGGTGGATTTAGATCGAATTAGTTGGAACTTTATTACTTCTTTAATACTAAGTTTCTTTTTCTTTTTCTTTTCTTTTTTCTTTTTTTTACCTGTTGTCTTGCTGGTGGCATTTGTTGAATTTAAAAAAAAAAATATTAGAAGTAAGAAAGGAATGGAAAAAAAAAAGCTTCAAGAAGGAAGGGAAATAACAATGTTTTCAATACCCGTCTGCCAATCAAAATTCAAAATTGATCTCTACCTATCAATCAAGTACAAAGTTGAAAAGATAAAGAATAAAAAGCTTTTTATTGATATGGTATTAAGTATAGTAAGGAAGAAAAAAAAAAAGAGAAAGAAAGAAGTAAAAAGATATAATTAAGGCATACTATGAATGATAAAGGAACTGGGAAGGGGTAATGAAAAAAGAAAAGACAGACTATATATTTTTTTTTATAAAAGGAAAGGAATGCATATACACAGAATAAATAGATGAAGATTAGTAAAAGTAGTGAGAACGAGAGGATGAACATAGTGTTTCATTAAAAAGAATGATCTTCCAACAAGATTCATTTTTGTAAAACACTTTCTTGAAATCTATTCATAAAATAAAAATAAAATAAGATCAAGAACAATAAGATCAAAGGTTGACTTACTTTCGTAAATGTTCATTTTCAGTCATTAATCGTTCAAGTTCACCAAGAATTGTTATTTGAGTATTTTTGAGATGCTGAATATGTTGAACAGCTAAGAAAAGATTAAAAAAAAAGATAATCAAATGAGTTCCCTTTCTTTCAATCATGTAAAATTACTTCTATGTAAAAGAGCTACTTTGCTCATTTTCTTGTTCAAACAACTAGGTAATTCATTTCGTAGATCTTCAAATCCATCTAATTTATAACAAATAAAAATTAATCATCATTATTATCATAAGATTTGTTTTTGTCATTTTACCTTTTATTTGAGCCCTACGTTTTTGTTCAGATTGAATATGAATTTGTCTTCGTAATTCGCTATTAGAGGTCACGGAACTATATATATATATAAGAGAAGTTGTCAGTTATAGAAAAAAAATAGTTTATAAATAAAACAATATTTACGTATTGGATTGATTTTGAGAATGATCCATATTCAAATGATCACAATCTTTAGTATCATCATGAGTAGGGAGAGGAGATGATTGATACTGTAAGGAGTGTTGAAGTAATGGTGATGATGCATGAGAGTTGTTATTAATTGATGATGAAGTCATTGTTGTTGGGGCAGAGGCAGAAGTGGTCATCACAGGTAAATTTATCGTTGATCTAATGGTTGAATCATGTCGTTGAGAAGGATTAATAAAGGTAGGTGATGAACTAGTAGATAATTGTTGAAAGGGTGATGAAGAGTACGTCAATATATCAGATTGGTTTGTATTGGCAAGATGTCGGTGTAACGCTGTGCCAGATGAAATAGAAGGTGATACAGGTGATAAAAAGGGAGGACGCATAGTGTTACTCAAAGAAGAGTGAGAACCCATAGAGGTAGATAATGGCACTGATGTTGATGATGTTGGAGAAGCCGAATGAGAAAAAGTAGGAGAAGCTGAAGTGGTAGTGGTAGATGCTGAAATGGATGTTGTCATCATCATGGTAGTATCCGTTTCCATAGTGATAGGGTTTTCAGTATCCGTCATCATAGGTCGAGTTTGTTGTGCAGATGATATGCATGAGGCGATAATATTGGGGTTTGTAGTATTATAAATACTATGATGTTGTTCTTGTTGATGAGTTACAGGAGGAATCAAATTAGTCGTGGAAGTAGTATTTTGTGAGTACATCATGGTTTCCATATCTTGAATAAGTGAATGAGAGGTGGGGATATAACCAAAAGAAGATGGATCTAAAATAAAAAAAAAAAATTTTAAGTTCATATTTTTTCTTTCTCTGTTAGACTTTTTTTTTCTTATATATATATACATATTTACCTTGTTGATGATGATATATAGAAGAATCATTTAATTCAACTTTAGCAGTTGCGTAAGAAAGATCGTATTCAGTCATAAAACCATTTGATAGTACTATTTTATTATCAGGATTTGACATAATAATAATATAATAATAATAATAATAATAATAATAATAATAATAAAAAAGAAGGAATAATGATGGATACTGTTTTCAGCAAAAATAAAAAATAATATCGATGATAAATATATAAATAATGAGCGTTCAAGTTAGAATAAAAAAAAAAAGAGGGAGAAAAAGGGATAAGATTATAAAAAAAAAAAATGAAAAAAGGGTCAAAAGTATAAAAACTATGACATGATCTGAGTATGAAAGAAAAACTAAAAAAGGCAATGACTATGATTATGATACAACAGCAACATCAACAGCAACAACAACAACAACAACAACAACAACAACAACAACAACAACAACAAGAAAAAAAAAAGGATTTGTTAGTAGATCCTTTCAAAAAAAAAAAAGAGATGAAACAAACGGATAAATATTATACTGAACGATGTGGCAAAATGATGAAGATGCAGTTGTACTACTGAACAAAAAAAAACAAAAGTAATGCGTTATGCATTGACTAGTTTACCTTTGCAATCCGTTTCTTTTTTATGACTCCTGCATTTTCCTCTTTTTGATATCTTCCTTTTTTTTTTTTCGCCAGACCCTTTTTACTCCTAACAAAAAAAAAAAAAAAAAAAAAAGAAAACTAGTATCATAACTAAAAAGTTATTTTTCCCTTTTTAATTTTTTTGCATACACATCCACTTGTTGGAGATCGTCACTCTAGAATATCCTATATTGTTGATAACACTCCCATCAAAAAAAAAAATACTTTTTATTTTTATTTCTATTTGATACATATATTTATATACAAAGATGTAATTAAACTATCATTCTAAACACGAGCTTTTTTCCGTAATTCCTTCTTCTTCATTCTTGCTAACCGTCTTGCAGACATCTAGATATAAAATAATATATAAAAATAAATCACAATTCCTTTCTTCTTCTTCTTCTTTTTTTTTTTTTTTTTTTTGTACCTTCGCTGCCAAAGCTTCTTGTCTAGCTTTTTCTTCTTCAATACGTTTTCGTTCCAAATTGATTTCCCGTTTTCTCTGTCAACAATGAGTTAGTACCTTTTTTCTATTTTTTTTTTCTTTTCCTTATTGAAACTTACATCCTTTTCAGCTTGTTTTTCATCTTTCATTTGCTTTTCCAATGCTCGAACAGTTTTAAGTCGTTGACGTTCTTGTGTTCGTTTTTCCCATGATTTTCGAAGTGATTTTGGTTGTTGAGTACGTACAGTAGGCGTTTTTTGAAGTTTCCATGATTTACCTATAGTATAATAATTTAATCTATTGTATCTTTTTTATTTTAAACTTTTTTCTTTTTGTTATTACCAGAGACACGTTTAGTGATCTTTTCAACTACTCCTCCTAATGGTGCTTTAATATCTATTTCTTGATTACTGACATTCATGGTTTGAAAGAAGACAAAAAAAAAAAAAAAGGAAAAAATTTTCAGTTTGAAAGAAGACAAATCAAGCCTCTACCACATTTCCAATTCCGTTCATATAATTGAGGTTTTTTTTTTTTTTTTTACTTTTTTATCATAATAAATAAATGGTGAAAAATGAATAAAATAAAAATAAATAAATTGAATGATTATTCTTTTTTATAATCATTCAATTATATTTATATATTTCATTCACTATGTATATTATAATATATACTTTTCGATCAAGCAAACCAAAAAAAAAAAGAGGTGGAATCGTTATTTTCATTTTCCGCTCACACTTTTTTTTTTTCTTTTTCTTTTTTGTCTATTATTTAACTTCATATATATATATATATATTTTTTGTTTCATTCTTTATATACTATCTTTCTTCTTTTATATACATACACTTGGAGAAATTTGTCTCTTTTTATTATATATAAGAATAGATAGAATATACTTTCTAGTCTTTTTATTCTTTTACTTTCTTTTTCTTTTTTTCTTATTATTATTATATTGTTGTTGATCCAATTTGTATCTATTGTATATATCACTTATTCAGAAAAAACAACAACAACAACAACAACAACTATAATCAACACTTTATACAAAAAAGAATATATTACAAGCAAACTCTAAAACTATGGATAGCGAGGTCACGCGTCAGTATAGTTTACCAATACCTGTATCAACTTCTACAGCAGCTCATTATCGACAATTTCGAAATGTTGCTTCCACTTCTTCAGCTATTGCTACCACTCAACTTAGTGCCATTCCTGAATCTCACGATTTACTCAATATCAAAACTGATTTGGAAGGTCTTTTACCTCATTCTGAAGCAAGGATGCTTCATTTGAAAAAGGATTATTCTCATCTAGAAAAAAATGTCAAAGTCAAAGATAATGGTAAGGAAACAATAATAATAATTCATTCCTTTTTTTTTTTTCTTTGCTACTATGAACAAATACTCATATGGAAATCTTTATTTTGTTTTTTATAGGTTCTTCGGATACTACTAAAAAGATATCTTCTGGGAAAAATATGAATACCATGTTGGATAAGATGCGTATCAAACAAGAATCATCATCTACGTCAGGTATATATATAAGATTATCCATGAAAAATAATATGAACTCATTTTTTTTTCTCTTCTTTTAGATGATACAGACGAACTTTTACAATCCTCTTCAACAAAATCTGATCGACAAGTGTAAATAAATTAAAAAAAAGTAATATAACAAAAAAATTCCTTGGATTAATTGATCTTCTTGTTTTCCCGAAAACTGGATTTAGGGCATTGGAAACATTAAAACGACGAAGGCGACGTGAAGAAACGGATTCTGATCATGATACAAAACCAGGTATATTACATAATAAAAAAAAAAAAGAGAAAAAAGGTCATTTATTTTTTTATATTCTTTATATAATATAGCTGGACGACGAAGTGAATCACCACATCCCTTGGGTAAAGTTAAGAAATTGGAAAATTCTGCACCTGTATCAAGGAGTATGTCACCACCAATGTCTGGCAATTCAAAACATACATCAAAACCAAACGAGGTAAAGAATAATTAGAAGAAAAGAAAACTGGATCAATTTATATATATATATATATATTTATTAAAACATTTACTATCATAGATATTCAAGAAGAAAAAGCTGACTTCATCATCATCATCATCCAAAGAATCAACATCAAACGCTACAGCGCGGGCGCATCAGCTGACAAACGGTGGAATTGATACTCTAGGATCAACCAACAACAATAAAACAAAATCTTCTCCAGTAGTGAAAAATGGCAATAACGATGTGGATTTTGTACGTGTTAAACCCAAAGATCAAGTTCCTATTTTGACTTTTTGGACTTATTTGGAGCCCTATTTTCGACCGGTGACAGAAGAAGATCGTGACTTTTTACTACAAAAGGTAATAGATTTATGATAAAAAAAAGGAAGAGATTGTTTAATAATAACGATTGTTATCCATTTTTATAGAACGATGATTCAAAACCGTATTTAATACCTCCATTGGGACAACACTATTTGGAAACTTGGGCAGAAGAAGATAGAGGTTTACCATCCAGTAGATCTCAATCACCTGTACTTGGATCATCATCATCATCATCACGACATGACACTCATGATTTAGGGTCTGATGTAGGAACAAGTAATGGATTGGGAGGTTTACCAAGTAATATTAATGGACAAGGTGGTACATCATCAACATCATCAGCATCATCAGCACACGATCGATTGAAATATTTTAGCCCAAGCGAAACACTGACAGACGACTATTTATTGACAGAAGATCTTACATGTGGCACTTTGACTGAACGATTACTAAGTAGCTTGGTAACGGAAGATGTTGGAGTTGATGCTGCTGATATTGAATCTTACATTGCTTCAAGTCACGATGATGGTACAAAAGGTATCGATCTACATGGAATTGGCGGTGGTGATGACGATGATGGTAATGACGATGATGATGATTATACAAACAGCAGTGAAGGAAGGACGATAGTGGAATTATCATCACGACCTCCAGATGAAGTAGTGGATTTTGAAGAGCGATTAAAAAGAGAACTACGTTATGCTGGCCTTTTCGGTGATGATGAAGTAAGTAGCCAAAAAAAAAAAAAAAGGATTGAACTTTAGAGTTTTTATTTTCTTTCTTATATATTTTATAGGTTGATTGGAATGCCAAAGAGGATGATGAAATATGTGCTGAATTACGAAAACTATCCAGGGAACTTAAGGAGCAAGTGGAAATCAATGAATTTAGAAAGAAACGGTTATTGGAAGTAACGGATCGACAATTACAATATGAACAATATCGACATGTATTGGATAATTTGGATAGTCAGGTGGAACAATGTTATATCAAGCGCTTCGTAAGTATAGAAAGAAAAACAAATGAAAAAAAAAAACTTTGATCTTATAGTTAATGACAATTCTTTTTTTTTTTCTCTTATGTTAATGATGGTATTTATAGCGTACACAGAAATCTAAGAAACGAAAAACACAAACTACACCAAAATCAATGTTATCAGAAAATGCAGTACATGCTATGGAAAAACGAAAAACATGGATTGACGCTCTTGGTGGTATCTTCAAGGACAAAAATATGGTGATGCCTCAACATTCTATTTACGATACTGATCCTGATCCGTCTGCTACTGGGACTGATGGCTAATCTTCTATTATCCTAATATATTCTCTTATTATTCGCATTCATTCTCTGTCCATTCTCTTTTATTAGTATTATTCTTTTTTTTTTTTTTTTTTTATTATTCTTTCTTTTGGATATATTATTCATTTTCTCCTTTTTATTCCTTCATCATAATGCAACCAACTACGTAAAACTTTTGATTACCATTTTGTTCCGCTTCCTTTTTTGTTTTATAATATAATAAAAAAAATATTCCTCTTTTATAATAATTCCATAGTACGTAAAACGATTGACTTATTCATGCTACAGAGCGGACATTTGATTCCTCCCAAAAAAATATGAATGAGTCTCTTGTTCCTTTTTCAACTCTTTCTTTCTTTTTCTTTTTACTTTTTTTTTTTTTTTTTTTTTTTTTTTTTTTACTGATTTACTTTTATTGATTGACGTCAATTTCGCATTCGTTATCCTTTACTACAATGGCGTCCTTTAATTCACTTCCCTCTGAATTACTGCAACTGATGTGTACATTCATGAATCCGAATGACATTTTCGAACTATGTATGGTAAATCGGTTTTTCTTTGAATGTGGCTATCCAAATCTTTTCTATCAAGTCAAATTAACCTCGAATAGACGGTTGGAATCTTTTCTCACTCTATTGGAAGAGGACAAATGGAATGCTCAGTCTTATGCCCCTCGGATCGAATCTTTGAAGTTTTTATCTACCAGATTATCCCTATCCGATATCGATTGTATTCAAATTTATTGTCAAAATATCAAACACCTCGAATTTGACCGATTTGCATGGTGGTCACCCTTTTCTCAACAGTACACTGGATATAATCAGCAGCCTTCTGTGACACCCTCAATTTTCGATATGCTTGATCACTTCTTGAAATTCTATACTCAATTGGACTCGTTATCTATGGATTTGGGTGGAACTTCCAGACATTCTCACCTCATGCCTCGTATCATCTTCCCTTTTACACGCCATCTTACCCGTCTTACTCTCAGCGATATGTGTAATGGTTTTTCAATGCTCGAACTCGATGGACTCCACAATAATTCTCCCCAGCTTGAACACCTTTCACTCTCAGGTTGTGCTATGTTTACCTCTCGACGAAACATCACCACTGTACAACGTATACATACTCTTCGATCTCTGGAACTCCACTTTAATGTAGGCTGGGACTATCATCACGATTGGTTATGGTATTTTGCCAAAAAATACGAAGGTCTCACCTCCTTGATTTGTGAATGCACCACCACAACTTCTCGCTACTACAGCAGGCACACGAATCAACTCCCAAGTTATCAGCTGTTTGCTCAACAACATATGTCCACACTAAATCATTTGGAATTTATCAATTTGGTATTTGATAATGATCTGTATCTTACTTTATTCCATGCGAACGACTTTTCCAGTCACAACGACAATAATCAACAATTGATTACCACGACGACGACATCTTCGACTACAGCACCTACGATCGGTCTCACTTCAGCACGATTCAGCAGCACTACTGACATTATGGATGATGTTCTATTCGAAGCAATCATTTGGTATTTGCGAAAGACCATTCAAACTCTGTTTATCACTTGGACGTTGGATGATCTCTCTATTGGTGAAGGTTTCTTACTATGTACTCATTTGACCGATTTGACTATTGCACAACCTTGTCATCTATTTCGACATGGAACTAATGCCAAATTACCAATCAGCTTAATACTCCAATGGTGCCCACTACTTACTCGACTACACCTCATTCATGTATGTATTACTATCAGCGGCGACTCTAGTGTGACAAACAATCAAATTCAGCATCCTTTGAAAGAACTCGTCCTTGCTTCTTCAGATATCCCTACTTCTTTATTGATATTGGAAGATCATGGTCTCACAAACATCCGGCGAATGACTATCAACCATTGCTTTATTACCGATTTGAACTTTGACGAAAATGATCGTACCTCAACTATGATCTATTGGCTTTTCCCCACTTTTCCAGCAAGTGCTCCAAATTCTCCTGTTTCCATAGATCGGTCTATTAGTCTCTCTCTACATGGTCTCTATTTCCAACCTACTGCTACTACTCTTCCGAAACTGTCTTTTGATTACCTCTGCTTGTATCAAAGTGATAATGATTCTCATCAATTATGGAGTATTCGGTCACCGTAAGTTGTTTGTGGAAATGATACGAAACTTGAACATATCCCTGTTTTTCACCTTTTTTTTTTTTTTTTTTTTTTTATTATAGCCTCTCGCACAAAGTGAAATTGGTTTCCGTGTCGCATTCCATCGCAAGAAGAAAGGCTGGTCAACTCAAACGAAAATCATCCTACTCTCAAACTGGTGAACCTCCAGACTATACTGACGGCGAAGGTCATGATATCAGTGTTGGACTCTTGGTCAGTTGTCAATCCGTGAACAATCTTACAATCAACCATCGGCGTCTTATATGACTATCCTTTACTAGTTACTATTCTTATTCCTTTTGCATACATATTATCTATATCTAGTTACATACTCTCCCTTCTCTCTTATACTTTCTTCTAGTCCTTGTTTTAGCATATTTTCTCTCCTACTTAGTTACTTCCATTTCTTTTTATCTTAAAAAATAAAAATCATCCTTTTTTTTTTTTTTTTATCTCTTACCAAATGATTAGAAGGTGCTCTTTAATCTAGGTATTGGAGCGGACTCAAAAATTACTCAAGTCTTCAAATTGCCTTTTCAACTTTTTTTTTTTAAAAAAATCTTTTCTTTCTACTCTTACTTTTTTTCTCTCTCTCTTCACATGACCTCTGCTATCCGGTCTCTTGTTATTGAAGTGTTGATATGATTTACCATTCGGTGAACAAGTAACTTTTGGAATGACATTCTCTTTTTCCTATGATTGATTCAGCAGCAGCTCGACAGTTCATCTGGCGCGATCTAAAGGTCTCACTCACCACAGCACTACAACAACAACAAAAACAACAACAAATAAGCTCAACCTCTCTGATATTCTGCATTTTTTTTTTAAAAATATCTCGACAATAATCATTCATTGATTTCGGTCAACCGCCTTGTGAAACAAAACGGCATGATTTACAAGTAAGAGTGGGACAAAAAAAAAAAAAAAGGAAGACTAGGGAAGATGTTTTACTCACTACGATTTTGTTTTATATACATATAATAGGAAGGAAAGACCATGGAAGTCCATTCAACCCTCACTCTCATCAAGTTGCAAGAAGGCAATAGGACGGCATATCGTTTATCAGGCTCTATGCATCTAATACTATTGTGATTATCTCGTTTAGTTGTTGATTTAGTATTTTTTTTTTTCACTATGATCTGTTCGTTGTTTACTTTCCTCTTACTCTTTTTTTTTTTTTTTTTTTTTTTTTGAAATCTTGAAAGCAATTTGTTCAAATCAATATCAATAAAAATCATCATCTTTTTTTTTATTTTTTTATTATTATCTCAATCAAACGAAATATAAACTACAAATTATACTAAATCAAACTATTACTACCACTATTATTAACTATTGAGATTCATCCAAACAGGTGTCCAAACCAATGGATTTCATCTTGACAGCGATTTCAAATAGATAGTCATAACATTCAGTCATAGTCTTTGCCTTTTCCCAAGATTCACCCCATACATATACACCATGACGTCGAACAAGTACAGCATTTGTTTCAGGATATTTTTCCATAGCCTACCAAAAAAAAAAAAGAGTTGATATAGATAATGATTCTTATGGATAAATGCTTACCAAGGCCATTCGTTCAGTCAAATCTTCTTCTTCAGGGGTATTTTCTACAATAGGCACTACCAACTTATCAAAATAGCGGAGGTTCGTTTTTGTGGATCCTCGTCGAATACCCTTGATCATTTCTTGGTGAGAGATGACAAATGTGTCGCCAGGGAAAACCAAAGTAGCCATCACAGCATGTTGGGAATGGGTATGAATACAAGCACCGGCTGCACGCATGGTGTAGGCATTGTAGAAAAGAGGTGTGCATGCTGATGGTTTCAGGACAGGAGGTTGACGAAGTAATACGCGGTCTTGAAGTGTAAGAACGAATAGATCATGAGGTTGCATACGTTCTTTTTGAACACCTGATGGAGCAATATAAACGTGATCCCTGTTAAAAAAAAAAAAAAAATAAGTTACCTTTTTTCAAAAAAAAAAAAAAAAGAAAAAGAAAAAGCCTGTACCCTTTGCGAATACTGATCCCTCCTCCAGTCCCAGTTACCCATCCAAGTGAATAAAATAAACGGCAAAGTTCAGGAATAAGATTGGAAGGATGATAAGGATCTTCTGAACGGCAGAGAGCTTCAGCGTCATCGACTTTAGAGCTGGCCATGACGTTAAAAAAAAAAAAGAAAAGATAAAGGAAACGAAAAAAGGTGCAGAAAAAAAGAAAACAAGCCCGACACTTTTATTTTTTTTTTCTTTTTTTAAAAAAAAAGAAACAGTCAAAATCCAGCCAATTGGCACATTGATCCCAATGCATGGAAATCTTTTATCCTTTTTTGGTCATCGATCTATGAATAAGGTCACTAAACTAATGTATTGTATAGGAAATCAATCAGGCCATGCGATGTTATAATGTGTCAGTGCATCGTGGTACGTATCTCTCCATAAGCGATACAAAGGGTAATAGGCGTGATGTTCGAGGGTTTTATTGGACCAATCCACATCCCATGGTTTTGATAAGATATAATGTATGTTGTGAATACGATGAAGATCCCACAATGATGGATGACTAATCACCATTGGTTTAAGTGCATTGAATGTATAAGGCAGGACGGTCCAATGATCACGGAATTGATGATTCAAAAGATCTTGATCTGGGAATATATAATGTCGGATCTCCGGTTCTACTTCTAATCGTTTGATCATGGTTTCAAAAATGGCATGTCGAGGTTTTAACACAACCAATCCACTGTTGAAGTAATGAAGGCTTGATCGTTGAAAAAAAGTCGTTTGAAAAGATGTATCATCTTTGGACGTATAAGTATACGCACATTTTTCAGGAATCCTAAAACATAAAAAAAAGAGGACATGATGATGATGATGATGATGATGATGATGATGATGATGATGATTTTTTATTTTAACTTACCAGTCGTGGGGATAATTGGTTATTTTCTGAGGATTACATGTACAAGCAGGAGAAGCAGCAATCCAGTCATCTTGAGGAAAAGGTAACGTCATGATATCATCCATGTTTCGTATTGGAAGCATATCTGCATCTATCAATACTAAACGATCATAATCATCTTGATCCCAAGCTGCCAATTTTGTCCAAGTATTTCGAAATCGTTCTTGAGAGTACTGTACAGGCTCAGGAGGTTGAATATTGTCTACTTTCTTCATACGACAACCAATGGATTGTAAAAGATGAACAACCTGGGGTGGAGTAGTCGAAGTATATAGAACAAGTAAAGGATACATACTATGTAAGACATGTTGAAGGCTATATTGTAACGTGATAACTCCTTTTACATAACCATCATCACCAATAAGTGTAGTAATCCAAGCACATATCATCATCTATTGATCAACTCAATAAAGAAAAAAGAAAAAATATGAAATCGTTTATGCGTACTTTTTTTCCTTTTCTTTGGATTTTCGCATTGATGGGTTTTACAACAAAAAAAAAAAAGGTGAATTTTTTACTTCTCCGATACCTATTATTTCAACTTTTTTTGTTTCCAGCGGTTTCTGTCTGTTTCTTTCCTTTTCCCTCATACTTTTCTATTTCAAATTATGTCAGGTACTGATTTTTATGCTAAAGCCAATGATGCTTTCTTTGACGACGACTATGACGAAGCTCTTGATATGTTCAGTCAAGCTATTCAGATCGAACCTAGAAATCCCGAATTTATTCTGAAAAGGTAAAAAAAAAAAAAAAAAAGTAAAAAAGGGGACTATAACAAACTCAATTTTTTTTTTTTTTTTGTTTAGATGTGTTGTCTATCAAAAGCTTAAGAGATATCAGGATGCCGCAAACGATGCTGCTACAGCTCTGAAGATATTGGAAGAATCGCAAGGAGCAAGGACATTGTTGGCACGCGCTCATTTACAAAATGGGTAAGAAGTTAAGACAGGTTTAGACGTGTTATTGACATTTTTCTTTTCTTTTGACGTTAGAATCACTTTACATCACTTGGGAAAATATGCCGAAGCTCAGCTCCACTTTGAAAACTCTAAGGAACTGAATCCAAATGAAAAAACATTGGCAACGTGGTTACGAAAGAATGGTGAAAAGATACCAAAAGGTAAAATGACAAATAATGGACAATAGTTTTTTTTTTTTTTTTTTTTTTTTTTTTTTTTTTTTTTTTTTTTTGTTTGTTTTCATTTGTTACTCATCGATTTTGCTCTTGATAGTGGAATCTACAACTATTACTGAATCAAAAATTACCCCTAATCCACCAACCACGCCCATGCAAGCTCGCGTCAGGTAAAAATAAAATAAATAAATACGATATCAACCTTATCATTTTTATTTCGATAGACATGAATGGTTCCAGAATGAAGATTTTGTTACAGTGGAAGTATTTATGAAAAATGTCAAACCAGGTACCGTAGATTTGAACTTTTTTGATACTTCAGTAAGTATTGATGCTATGAAGGAAAAGAAACAATTGGAATTAATAGTTTTTTTTTTTTAATGATGATGATGATAGCTGTCATTGACCATCAAGTTACCTACTGGCGCTGATTATTCCCTAGAATTGGATCCATTATCTCATGAAATCTTACCTAAAGAATCATCCTATAAAGTCTTATCAACAAAAATAGAAATAAAGTTGAAAAAGAAGCAAGCTGGTATACTTTGGGGTGCTTTAGAAAGTGAAGATGATCAAGGTCGCACAAGTAAGTTCTCCATACAGATCAGAGATATCAATATATATTCATCCTTACCTTTTTTTTTTTTTTTTTTTTTTTTTTAGTGGCGACTTCAACAAAGACGACTCGACAAGCCAAAGATTGGAATAAATTAGTGAAGGATATTGATCAAGAACAAGAAAAAAACAAAGGACCTGATGAACTGAACAGTTTATTCCAACAAATTTACAAGAATGCAGATGAAGATACCAAACGAGCCATGATGAAAAGCTTTGTAGAAAGTAATGGAACTTGCTTATCAACAAATTGGAGTGAAGTAGGTGCCGGTCCTGTTGAAACCAAACCTCCTGCAGGAATGGAAGCAAGAAAGGTAAAAAAAAGAGTTAGAGGAACAGTTTCATATCATGCTTACTCACTCATTCTTTCTTTCATATATATAGTATTGATTTTTTTTCATTTTTATTTGATAATCTTTTTTTATGCTTCATAGTATTAGATATTTTTCTTTATTTTGATTTGAAATAAACAATTGCAATTTTTTTTAAGATAGGCGGTAGTTGAAAAGGTGGAAATGTGGGGTAAGGATGAAATCATGCTTGATGTAGTTTTTTCCCTCTGGTCATGTTGATTCGAATAAAAAAGGCAACACAATTTTTTTAGAAAAGAAAATTCAATCCCCACCCCCTTTTTTTTCATTTCTTTTTCTACTTTTTATACATATTACAATGGTGGCTGCTACACACACTTCCATTCATAAAGTACTTATTGCAAATCGTGGTGAGATTGCTTGTAGAGTCATACGTACTTGTCGACGGTTAGGCATTGCAACTGTGGCTGTATATTCTGATAGGTAAAAAATAAAATAAAATAAAATAAAAATAATAATACTCTTTTCTCACACCAAGGAACAAAACCTTCACCTTCCTTTTTTTTTGTTTTATAGTGATGAAAACGCACCTTTTGTGAAACTTGCTGATGAAGCTTATCATATTGGACCATCCATTGCAGCTGAATCATACTTGGTAGGTGATAATCTCATCAATGTCGCCAAACGATCGGGTGCCGATGCTCTTCATCCTGGTTATGGATTCTTATCTGAGAATGCCGACTTTGCCGAACGTGTTGGTCAAGCTGGTATCCATTTTATTGGTCCTTCTCCAGATTCTATTCGCGCTATTGGGGATAAGGTAAGATACATTATTTTTTTTTTCTAAAAAAGAAGAAAATCAATTATTCACACATTTTTTTTTTATTATAGATTGCTGCCAAGGTGTTTATCAAAAATCATGCATCCACTATACCTTTGATTCCTGGATACAATGGTGAAGATCAAAGTGTAGAACGATTAGAACAAGAAGCCAAAAAAATTGAATTCCCTGTCCTTTTGAAAGCCTCTGCTGGTGGTGGTGGAAAAGGGATGCGTGCTGTCTATGATACCTCAAAGTAAGTATATTAATAAAGACAAAAAAAAAAAAAAAGAGATTCTTTTCTCATATAATATATATATATTTTAATATAGATTACGCGAAGAAATCGAAGCAGCCAAGGGTGAATCATTACGTTCTTTTGGTTCGGACAAGTTATTGATTGAAAAATACTTTGAAAGTATCCGACATGTTGAAGTAAGTTTTGATATAGGGCATGTGAAAATGGGGTATGAGCGGATATTCAATCTTATAGTTCTTTTTTTTTTTTTTTGTTTAATCGACATTAGATTCAAATCTTTGGGGACAAGTATGGAAATGTATACCATATCAACGAACGTGATTGCTCCATTCAAAGACGACATCAAAAAGTGGTAGAGGAGACACCATCACCAGCTGTAGATGATGATTTACGAAAACGAATGACAACTGCTGCTGTAGAATTGGGTCGAAAGCTAGGTTATGTTGGTGCAGGAACGGCAGAATTTATCTTGGATGAAAAAACGAAACGATTTTACTTTTTGGAACTCAATACTCGTTTACAAGTAGAACATCCTATTACTGAAGCTATCTCTGGATTGGATCTTGTAGAATTACAATTATTGGTGGCTCAAGGTGTCAACCTGAAAGAACTTGGTATACTTGATCAAATCTCTTTCCATGGTCATGCAATTGAAGTACGTCTTTGTGCTGAAGATCCTGATAATGATTTTGGTCCTCGAACTGGTATCATTCAAAAATGGTCTCCTGCCAATGCTGCTAAAGATCTACCCGGCGTCCGCTATGATACTGGTATTGAAGATGGCTCTGAAATCTCTGTTTTCTATGATTCTATGGTGGCCAAAGTGATTGTACACGCTCCTACACGTGAAGAAGCTATTCGACGAATGGTGATGGCCTTGTCTCGAACTGTTATTTTGGGCGTTACAACAAATCAAAAGTTTCTTATCAGCATCATGAACAATCCTCGATTCCATTCTGGCACATTCGATACTAACTTTATAGCCGTTGAAAAAGATCGACTTTTCCACAAGACGACAACAGCTCTTATCCAGAACAGTGTAGTGGCCGCTACTTTGTTTGACTGGTGTATACGCAAAAATCAACAAATCCATCTTCGTAATGTAGCTCCCAACTGGCGAAATGTTCCCTGGCGTCATCCAAAGGTCCGTTATCTCATCAATCGTGAACAAGAAGTCTCTATCACTTATGCCTATCAAGGAAATGAAAATCGTGATCATCGTCATGCCTTCCAATGTAGTGTACAACTGGTGGAAACAGAAGAAAAGAAGGATGATGATGATCAATCATTGTCTCTCCATGCCGTTTTATATGATGCCGATTTTGGAAAAGAAGTACCTGGCCCAAGAGGTGTATTTGGTGGCAAAGGATTACTTCGTGCAACCATTGGTAAATGGAAAAGAAAAACAGATACCTCTTTTTTTTTTTTTTTTTTAATTAACTTGGTTTCTTTTTGTATTAGATGGGTGTCAACAATACTTTTACGTTACTCAACAAATACATGATGTGAATGAAAAATCCATTTTTGTTCATGATTTTATTCAAGGCCATCAAATCGAATTACTCAAGATAGATCGATTGAAGAGTACTACTGCTACTGGAGAAGATGATCGAGGTAATCGATATATATATATATATATATATATATATATATATATAAAATCAACTCCATTCATTTTTCTTTTTTATATATATTAGTGACACCATATACCTCCTCTATGCCTTGTCGTGTGCTCAAGATATTGGCTCCTAACGGCACCGTGGTCAGAAAGAATGATCCTTTGCTCTCCATCGAATCCATGAAAACAGAAATCAAGGTACTCAGTCGTCATGAAGGTGTTGTCACCATGCGTGTGGAAGAAGGTCAATTGGTCGATGCCCGTGTACTTTTATGTCAAGTAGATGAAATCAAGAAATAGTTTGATCGTAGCTACGTTTTTTTTTATATATTATACGATATATACAATAAAATAATACTGTTTTATTTTTGAATCACAATCTTATTAATTGTTGTTGAACACTGATGACGATGATGACAGGATAATATATGATTTCCAATGTTTCTATGCTAATCATTCGGGATGAAGGTGAAAATGATGATGATGTTTTTTGTTAATTTGTTTGTATAAAAAAAAAGATGTACTTTATTGATATCAAATTTGTAAACTACCCCTTAATAAAATACTATAAACTAATATGTATATACGACCTAAGATTAGATCTTGAGTTGAAGTTTATGTTCCATAGCAGCATGGACATCGAGCATATCTGTTGATAACGCAGGATCTACATAGAACAAAAGTATATAAAAAAGTCAATCATGATATACAACACAGTCTCCATCTTTTTTTTTTTTTTTTTTTTTCGTATCCAAACTTACCATTCAAAATGTCTTCAAAATCAATGGTTTCATCTTTACCAGTCAAAATATCCAAGTGTAAATTTGATGAAGGTAATACAGGCATACGTTGACGCTAATAATCATATCCACCCAAAAAAAAAAAAAATAGTTGGTTTCTTTTAGTAAATCATTCGATATAATGTTCACCTATTATACCTTTGATACGATATCTCGTTCCATCATCATTTTAACTGGTGCATGAAGTCCATAAGCTTGACGAGCCATATTCAACTTGAGTTCCCATTGATGATCGTTCCACTATTGAAAAGAATGATGAGTATTCAAATGTAATATTCCACATTGATATTGTCTCTTTACCTCGTCTAATCGTTGTTCAAGAGGATGACCGGGTAAAACTTCAGTTTTGATGGATCGAGTACCATAACGAAGAGCATCGTGGGATCCAAAATCGGCATGAGTTGTGTCGAGAGTAGATACGTTGGTGATGTGGTTACTAGGAGTGAGTTGGAAAGACTACATAAAAAAAAATAAGAGATTAGTAACTGTTGATAAATGGTATATAATGAATCAATAAAAATAACAATGATAAAATTGATATTGTCACAAGATCCAATTTGTAAAGAAATATAAAATAGATTGATTTACCATGACAATGTGTTGTGAAAAAGAGTAACAATAAGAAAAAAAAAAAAAAAAAGGTAAGGAAAAGGAAAAAGGGCGAAAAAAAAACAAGTGAACGCGAATCCGCTTACGTTTTCGCCAACCAGTTTTTGCTGTGTTTGAAACCGCACACAAACACAAAATCCTGGAGGCATTCCTTTGTCTTTTACTTCTTTTACTCAGGTTGTTTTTAGATCTTATATTCTTTGTTTTAAAAATGACATCTATTGTTCGACCATTTACTATCTCTCTCTTATCAACGACTATCAACTATGCCTGTGTGTTTCGTATACCATCAACCCATCTTGTACAGGAACCTATACCAACATTAACCACTGCACTACCATTATTACTATGTGCTCACATCATCCTACTTGCTATATCACTTACACTGAAACACAAGTTTAGCCTGGTAAAGAACTCAATAGGAAACGCGATTGAAACTTTGTATTATGATCGACATTATTATTTAACACGATCTGATTTTATTTATTCTATAGTCATTAATTCTCAAGTCCTTACTATCTACTGCTATTGCTACTGTTATTCTACATGGTGTTATTGTTCTTTTTGGTGCTTCCTTGTTTGAGTAAGTCAATAAATGAATAAAAAAAAAAAGAAGGGTTAGACTTTTTATATTCATGATTTTTTTTCTTTTAGTAAATTTTATAGTACAGCGTTATTTGCATCATTTCTTGCTATAGTTACCGTGATGTCCGCATTTCAATGTTTGGCACCAACTACCGGATCTATTTGGATGAAAGTCTATTTACAACATAGGTAAAAAAAAAAAAAAAAAAAGGGATCAATATCATAATTGTATTAAAAAGTGTGATTCAACAATGATTCATCTATATTGATTTGATTTCTAGTCCTACAACAACCATTGAAATTTATTCTTATACTCAAGTCATCTGTGCCTTGTTAGGAGCATGGATTGGTGCTATTGTATTACCTTTGGATTGGGAAAGGGAATGGCAGGTAAGCAGAAAGGAAATGGCAATAAGTATGGATCTCATATATTTCTATTAGGAATGGCCGATTTCATGTGTGGTGTCTACTTTCCTAGGTCATTTTGTGGGCGTGGTGACTGGATTTGCTTGGTCTTCACTCAAACTCTTATTTAGCAAAAAGAAAACTGAATAGATTCAACTATGAACAGTGACTTCAAAATTGATGATGGTGCTACTCAACATTTATCCTTTAGTATTAGAAATCTTGACTCTTTATCTATAATGATTCAATAAAATATATATATATATATATATAATTGATTACCATCATGTCCCCTTTTTTTAATTTGTTTATTTATATCTTGTCTTTTTTTTTTTTTTTTTACTTCTAGTGTTTGTGATGATTTTTTCTTTTTCTAACTGTTTTTTAAGTCATCGACTAATTGAATGGTAGGACTCATTCGCGAAGATTTGAAAATACTACACTAATGAGGATAGATGGCAATGTGGATGATCTTTCTTTTTTTTTTTTAAATTTACCTTATAAATGCGATGATCATTTATCAATTACGGAAGGTAAACTGAAAGAAAATAGTTTGTTTTATGTCCTGTTCCATTTTGGCGTGATGATGATCACTTTTGAGAGAAAAAAAGTAAAAACGTTTTTGCAAGCTTGTATGCAGAATGGAAAAAATGGGGATCGAGTTTTGGATTTTACAGCCAAAAATTTGGAACTCCTCAGCCAAAGTTTGGCTGTAAAAATAAATCGTCGAGGGGTCATCAGGCAGTTTTTCAAAAAATCGATGAAATCTTTTTGGTATTTATTGCACTATTAGGTGGAAAGGTAAGTGATAAAATGATATTAGATGATATTAAACTACTTTTTTAAGAGGAATCCAATGGTGATCATTTTATTGGCTGATGATCACTATTGGATGAGGGATGACAATATTCATTTTATATAAATTAAGTGAAAGAAAATGATTTCATCTATGCTCAGTCTAAACTTAGTATGATGATGATCACTTTTGTGTGAGTTACAAAAGTATAAAAAGTACCATATGCGATGTTACAAAGAGAGAAGGATGGACACAACTTCGACAACCACAAAAGTTTTTTTTGCCCCAGTTTTCAGCGGTGCTTAAAATCATCATTTAAGAAAAAAAAAAAAGAAAAAAAGACACTAGGTATTTTTTTTTTCTTTTGTTTCTAACATTATTAATATGTTTGCCATTCGTCGTGCTGCTACTTGTCTTCCACGTGCTACTGCTATCACCAGAGCCAGTCGAATGGGTGCCATCCGCCCTACGTCAGTTCCTTCTTTGAATGCCTCTTTCCAATCGAACAACCAATGGCGTGTTATGTCAACTTTTAGTGGAGAAATTCAACGTGCCTTTATCCAACGTAAGATATAACCATAAAATCAATTTCTTTTTTTATAAATCTCATTCTTTTTTTTTTTTTTTTTCCCTCTTCACTCTACTGTGTACTGAAATAATAAAAAAATAATAATAATAATTTAGAACCTGCTCCTCAATGGACTGCTCCTGCTGTGGTGGATGGTGAATTTAAGGATATTTCTTTATCAGACTACAAGGGTAAATATGTGGTATTTTTCTGGTATCCTATGGATTTTACCTTTGTTTGTCCCACCGAAATCATTGCCTTCTCTGATCGTATCAAGGAATTTGAAGCTTTGGATTGTGCTGTGATTGGCGCATCTACTGACTCGGGTAATCATAATAATAATCATCATTCTTTTGAGTGATTTTATTCATCTTATCTTTTTTATCATAGAATTCTCTCATTTGGCTTGGATCAATACACCTCGTAAACAAGGAGGTCTAGGTGACATGCATATCCCTTTGGTGGCAGACAAGACTAAATCCATTGCTAAAAGTTATGGCGTGTTACTTGAAAATGCCGGTGTGGCTCTTCGAGGTCTTTTCATCATTGATCCCAAAGGTGTTCTTCGTCAAATCACCATCAACGATTTGCCTGTTGGTCGCTCAGTTGATGAAGTCTTACGTTTGGTCAAGGCCTTCAAGTTTACCGATGAACATGGTGAAGTGTGCCCTGCCGGTTGGAATCAAGGTGACAAGACTATCAAACCCAGCGTCAAGGATTCTTTGGAATACTTTTCTACCCAATAAACATGACTTGCAAATGGAACTCGTAGAATAGATGATGCTTTTTTTTTGGATCTCTTTTTTAATAAATTTTTTTTATGTGTTTGACAGCTTATACATATGATGATATGAATGTGATAGTATGACGATTTCTATGATGATGATGATGGACGTAACGATCCATAAAATCATGATGCCATCTCATGATGGTTCACTAGGATAATCACTTTCATGACACATAGCTAAGAAGATATCTTTTTTTTTTTTTTTTATTATTCACAAGTTTGTAAAGAAATATAAAATGACGGTAGAGAGAGAGGATAAATAGACAATGTAGAATACTATTAACGAACTACCAAATCACCATGATTAGCCAGATATATATATATATGTGAGAAAGAAAGAAGGATGCCAATCCAGGAGAAGATCATCACAAAAAAAAGTATGCTTTCAACCAAGTTAAATCCTGTTACCTATGGTTCCATCTAACTGAATCCTATTTATTCCAATGTACTCTGTCGATCATTCATTGTCATATGAATTCAAGTAGAGGTAATAAGAAAAAAAAAATAAAAAATCAAAAAAAAAAATCAGACTATATAAAAATGATGAGAGTCCACAAAAAAAAAAAAAAAAGAATCAATGTTTATTAAAATAAAAATGAGTATAATACTATATATATAGATATAAAAGAAGATGGCTATTGCATTGCTTTTTTGTTGAAAGGTCGTCCAACAGTTGATTTTTTTGTCGTGGCATAACAAAGCATATTTTTTGTGATGGTTGTTTTTGTTGTACGAGAAATGGTTGTTGTTGTTGTTCGCTTGCGTCGTTGAGAGGTGACATCTATGTTTTCCTTGTCTTCAGCGAGCTCATCTTCTTCCCGTTTGATTGCTTCACGTAACCGGACCTTGGCGGCGGCCAGCGCTTTGGTATCCAATAATTTTTCTTCAGTGAGATTAACCCAGGTATCGGCATCACCAATGACTTCATAATCGAATACAGCGTCCCATTCCTTTGTTGGTTTGGTCTTGTTGATAAAGATGACTCTACCGGTACGAGGATGATTTATATGAATCGATTTTGCCATTTGCTTGATAAATTTCTTGAGTGCTACAATCTTGAGCGAAGTTCCCATGACAATGAGTAAATCAGGTCGCTTCTTGATATCAGTCGCTTGTGCAAGACCAATTGCTTCTCCATTTGGATGTTCCTCATTGTAAAGTACCACTGCCGGTCGCAAAGTTCCCATGGCTAATGATCGTTTGCCTAAACGTTGTCGTTCATTTTCGTTTGTTTCGCATTTTGGACACAGAGGTGGTGCACCGGATCGAAATTGGTCTTGGTATACAGTAGTGAATTCGTAGCTGGAAGAACAGAGTGTACATTGTACCTTATCCATTGTGCCGTGAAGTTGTACCAAATGTTGATCCAAATTGTCCTCCAAACAATCGATGTTTTGTGTATAACAACGTAGTAACTGGCCTTTGTCTTTCATATTACTAATAAAGTTGTGAGTTGCTGTTGGTTGTGCTTTATTGATAAGTGTTTTGAGTTCAGCCATAAAGGTATAAAAACACCGCGTTTGTTGAACATCTTTAAAAAGTGTTGCATCGAATAATTCTTTTCCGCGTAAAACTGTGTCTGGATGCTTTTTCTTGACAAGATTGTAAAGACCATCTGACGATCGGAAATCCTAAACAAATAAATAATAATAATAATAATAATAAGAACGGGAGTTGGTCAGATGAAATATTAATCATAAAGTAAATAAATAAATAATAGATTACTTACAGGTATACCACTATTGCAAGAAATACCAGCACCTGTGATGACTACTGTTCTTTTGCTACGAGAGATACAAGCTGCAAGGTCAGCAATATAAGGGTCAATGACTTCGGGAGGATCTGAAGTAGAAAACCGTACTTTCATTGAATTGTATATAGTTTATAGAAGAAGGAGATGGATGAAAAAAAAAGGGCAATAGTGTATATATGATGTCCAATTGAAAGAAAGGAGAATATAGAAGAAACAAGGATACAATGGAAAGGGAGAAGAAAGAGGGAGAGAAATACTTCAATTGGAAAATTAAAAGCAAGCGAAAATGCAAAAAAGACAGAAAAAAAAAAAACAATTAACCCAATCATGTGAGTCCGCTGGTGACGGCGAATTTATACATTAAAAAAAAATTTATGCTATGGAAAAAAAGATTTCATTTTTCACTGGCACATACCCATTATCGAAAAACTGATTTATTCATTAACTGGAGGGGTCATTTTGCTTTGTAATTCCGGTGAAAAAAAAAAAACCCTAGGTAGTACGACCTTTTCCCCTTGTTGAACGCGTGTGATTTCTCCATCCTAATTCATTTGAATGAATAAAAAGTTTATTTGTAGTTTGATTGTTTCAAAAAAAAAAAAAGAGATCGTCTAATCATATAAACAATAAGCATAGTTTTTATTGTTTGTCTACATCTATATAAATAAAAACTAGCTAAGAATATCACAACATTGTTTATCTATTTGCATATGACTTGATGTTTGTGTTTCCAAAAAGGATTCAAATGGAGCCAAATCGTATCGATTACAAGCATCCGCCAAATGATCCAGATTCAACCTATGACCAAAAAAAAAAAAAAGATTAACACCTTGATTTCATCCATCCATTGAGATCATCCAAAACTTTACATATACATGACCAACCGTAAACTTGACCATAAAGGAGAAGGCATCTTGTTTTCCAAGGTTGTTTCTACATGAGATGTTGAGTGTCGTCCCTGTCGTTGATGTTGTTGTTGTTCCTGTTGCTGGTAAAGAGCCGTCACCAAATGTTGCGCTGCAAGATCGTATTGGGCTCTCTTCATATATGCAATTGACAAATTGTAACGAGCTCGAACATAGGAAGGATTCAAATCCAAGGCGCTATAATACATATCCAAAGCGTCATCCTCACCATTTGATTGTGCCATCATAATCGATCCTAATTGATTCCAAAGTCGATAGTCGTGTGGTCGACATATCAGTGCTGCTTGAAAACAATCCCTAGCTTTTTCCATATCATCTGCCAGATAGAATAATATACCCAAGATCACTTGAACATCTTCATCCATTGGTGTTGATTCATCATTTGTTTCCAAGTTGGTTCTTACATGTGTTGTTCCCAAGTTACCCGGAGCACTTCTTGCCACTGCCAAATACTGATCCACTAGCGATGTATATCTGTCCTTCATGATATTGTTCTTATTACTTGATTTGGAATACATCATATACTTGCCATTATTTTCTAACCACTTTTCTAAACAGTCGTATGCCTTTCCCCGTTGATGTTCATTCGTGTAACTAATCGCTAATCCCAGCCAAGCATCAACCATAGATGGATCCAAAGCCAAAGCTTGTTGAAATGCATCAATGGCGTCTTTATCTTGTTCCATATCTTGCAGACTTATTCCGAGTTCGTACCAATATATAGCATCCACTGGTGGTATATCGTCATTGTTTGGTGTAAGAGTTGAGGGTATCATGGTGCTGCTACTGCTTTTTCCCATAATGTTCAACTGATTTGATATGATTGTTGTTGAACCGTCATTCTCCTCTGTTTTTATTTTTCGTATTTCCCCAACAGTATCTATATTTGTATCATTGTCAAGTATGACCACGTTGTCATTTCTATTTTCGTAACAGTCGAATACTCTATCCCAGCTTTCAGTTTCATCCCTTGTTGTTGATGATTGAAAATTGCTGCTTCCTATCAATGAAGGCTGTGTTGACGTTAGTGAAGTAAGTTGTGTGAATGCATATGTTTGGTTCAAAGGAGACAAAGAGCGATTGTGGCTGTGGTACTGTTGCCGAAATGACGATGTCGAAGAAATAGAGAAAGAATTGAAATCTTGAAGCCATAAGTGTTGTCCTAATAAAGGTAAAAGAGATTGATATCATTCAATGTTATGAATATGAAGTACAGCCTATACATGTCATTAGATGGTCTTCCTTTATTTACCTTGATCGTCCAGTTCATTTGATGGTATCCGCGACGCACGAGAAGAACAACTTGAGGAACTACAGGAAGGAGAATATCTGCCAGTTTCAAAAAATTCTAAGCAAGGCAAAGTCCAAATATTGGAGTAATCAGGATGGTTGTATTGTACAAATTCCTATATAGGCCATTTTCATGTGAAAGCAAAAAAAAAAGTTAGTCTCCATTTAAAGTAATATGCATTTTTTTTTCTTTCGCTTACTTTTATCGATAATGAAAAAGAACCATCATGTTTCGTGTTGTCTGTACGTTTGGATCTAAAAGACATCTATGTTATTTGAGACAAGAAGAAGAAAGAGACAAGAAAAGGTGCGTTATTAACATATGAGTTTATGTATAAAGTTCTTTTTTTTTTTTTACCGTGTTTTCGTCAGGTCGATAACTCCATTGTTGCTTTTGACTAAATTTATCAGAGTGAACATGCTGAAGAAGAGAATTGATGGGATTAATTCGACATTGAGAGGTTTCCATGAGGGATTGACAACAGTAAAAACATAAAAGGTAGAGAAAAGAAAAGAAAGGTAAAAAAAAAAGGTGGGGAAGAAGATTTTTTTTTTTTTTTTACTTTTTGTGAAATGCTAATTGAATTGGCACCGAAACACAGCTGTCCAATCATCATTCATTATGAGACAAGGATCTACTAATACTGTTGAGAAAAAAAAAAGTGGAAATTTTATTAAAAATCAATATAAAAATACAGTGTAATATGAATAAGGATATGGATAACTAACAAAAAAAAAAAAAAAAAAAAAAAAGAAAAGAAAAGACCTAGACTTCATCAGCATCTTTTGAGACTTGGTGAACTGTGGTGATTTTAGTTTGATTTGATGATGATCCATTATCCAAACCCATAGAAGAGATATCATAACCATTGTCTTGTAAATACTCTCTGAATTCAGCATCTTCTTGTTCAAGACCACCAGTACCAATATCTTGAAAAGCGAACCATGCAACTATACCAGTAAAAATAGCAATACCACTACCTACCAAGAAGGGACCCCTGACACCTAATTGTTCTTTCATAGGAGCAAAGGCCACTGTACCCACTGTAGCACCGACTTTTCCCATAGCAGCAGCAATTCCATATCCAGTTCCTCTTACAGCAACAGGGAAAGATTCCATAGCAATTAATCCCATTGTGTTACCAGGACCCATTTCAGCCAAAGCCAAAAAGACACCATATAAAATAACAAAGAGAGGGAAACAATTTTTGGATAAAGGTTCAAAAGCGCCACCAATGACCATACCAACAATACCAAGTGAGATAAGACCAAGTGTTAAAGTTTTTCTTCGTCCAATCTTGTCTACCAAATAAGCCCCAGTGATACATCCAGGTAAATAAAAGGAGTATAATAAGATATTCCAAGCAGAAGTAATAATCATTGGTTGACCAGCGGCGACTTGATTGATGATCACAGAAGAGAAAACACCATTAGGATAGGAGATAAAATCATAAACAAACCAAGTGAAGGAAACAGCTAAAAGTTTTCTCCAATAACGTTTGATGATCAACCAATAAGGTACTTTTTTCTTCATTGCATTTTCCCTATATTGTTTGGAATCAGCCATCCGTAATCGAACTATAATAAGAAAAAAAAAAAAAAAAAGAAGGAGAATGTCAATACATAAAGATCATCCCATGTAAACAATACAAATAAAGTAAATAGAAAACTAAACAAACAAAATAAAATAAGTAAATAAAAAAGAAACTCACAATAAAGAACGGATAGAGGAGGAATGATACCAAGCCCAAGAGATACACGCCAAACAGGTTCCAAATTATTTTCTGTAAAGATTGCTAAAAGAATTACAGGAATAATAGCAGAAATCACATAACCAAGATCAATGACAAAATTAGTGACCATAACAAAGAGTTTGCCACGATTGCCGGGAGAGACTTCATCAGCCGATTCACCTGCTGATACCGAGCTACAAGGATATTCACCACCAACACCAACCCCTATAATAACAAAAATCAATCATTAATATTATATATATATATATATATATATATATTATCGTAATATAATAAATTTACCTAATACACCTCTAGCTATAACCATCATCCATAATAAACCATCAGGAGTAAGACCACTTGAAGCAGCAGATAAAGCAGCACCTAAGATGACAAGAACCGTTGTAGCCACTAAGCCAGCTTTACGACCAATACGATCCACAAAGAGACCAAAACCCTATGAAAGGAAAAATGAGAACATGTGATGTCATGATAAAGTCTGTACTACATATCATTTTCGGCTAATCATCTACTTCTTTGAACTTACCAGTTGACCAACAACACAACCAACAAACATAGAATAGGATAATCGAGAAGATACAGTATCATTAAAAATAGTATCACCATAGATTTTACCCAATACTAAATTGATAAAACTAATAATACCAGATTGATATCCATCTGATAATAAAGCAAATCCACTAAAGACGACATTAAAAAAGGAAGCTGTTCTTGTTTTCTTCTTTTTCTTTTTTTGATCTTCTTCCATTATCACAACAGGAGATTCATTTTCAATAGGTTCATCCAAGGTTTCTGTCATCACATAACTTGCTTTTTTTGATGCTGTTAATGGTGAAGTGGCATCCATCATTTCTATTTTCTATTTTCTTCAGACAAATTAAGAAATAATAAATGATATAAAAAGTAGTAATATACTTTTTTATATCCCAAATCGTCAGATCAATAAAAAAAAAAATAATAGAAAAAAATAGAAAAAAAAAGGAAGAAAAAAAAAAAAAGATTGATTCCCATGTTATATGGTTTTGGGTGCATTCAAGACCCGAACCTGATTTTTTTTCAACCTGTACTCGGAGTTGAAGCCATTGGCATTAATGAACCAATGATGAATTGAATTTCTGCCTCCGTGAACTGTAGGCCATGAACTACTTGCATTTCCTTTTCTCTCTCTCCTCTCTCTCTTTAAATGGTAACTGCCGAGAGTTACCAATGGTCAAAAATAATAATAAAAAAAAACTTTAACCATTATGATTTCCCCGATTTATCATTTTAAACTGATAAACAAAAAAAAAAGAAAAAAGAAAAAACCAACAACAAAAAACTAGTCGGGCTATCAACCTTATACACGTGGGAGAATCGTAAGAATACCATTTGTATATATTTCAACTTATATCTTTTGAGAATATAAACTTTATATGATATGATCAAATGTCAAAACTATTTTTTTTTTAAAAAAAATGAGATGATTTCACTAAAAATACATACTTTTTATTATAATTTTTTTTTATTGATATAAAATGCTTCAAAAGACTAATCAACGATATCTACATCCAAATGTTCTTCACCATTCTTGATTGTTTGTTGTCCCATCAATACAGCTAATCTATCTCGAGATAAAGCAAAAGGAGTCCATGTCAATTTGCTAGGATCCACATGAGGTAAACATCTTTCATCCATTTTCTTAATATGTGCGTTGATAACATCCATATCCATCTCCAATCGATATGATTTGGGTATTGAAGTATTGTCTGGTAATATCATATTGTGAAGTTGTAAGGTTGAAATAATATCATCAGGTGTTAAACTTGTTCTTGAGCTAAGATCTATAAAATAGATATATCCAGTTATTCAAACCTATCAGTCTCATATAATTTTTTTTTTTTTTTTTTACCTTCGATACTAATCGGATCTACTTGATGTTGTAATTCTCGGAAGATCACGTTTTTCCAGTAGCTTCTATAACTAAGTAAACCCAGATCTGATAAAGGTCTTTCCGGTGAGCCAGTCTTGCCTTCTTGTTTGCTGAGTAGGTAACCTAAAAAGATTTATAGAAATATTTAGTTATTATTAAATAAATCATTTCATTCCTATACTTACTAAAATCAATCAAATATTGACCATATCCTTTTCGTTGATGAATTGGCATAGTCAAAATACAAGATACATTGTAATTCATTGATGATCGTTTTTCCTATTGAATAAATATTGATGAATGAATTTCATGATTTCTATGATGATTTCTTTTGTGTTACCTTTGAAAAATAACCAACAAAATGGCAACCATGTTTATCTACTTCCGTCATAACATAAAATAAGAAAGGTTCCACATCATAATATAGAGTTTTGTGATCCAAGAACATTTTGGCCAACAAACATAGATTTTGACAGTAAATCTTGTTTTTTCTTCCATCCACTTCAAATATAGAAATATTGCCATCTCGATAGATTTCATCGCCTGGTGGGTGATTAATGGGGCAGTTCACCTGATATATGTATAGATAGATATAAATGAATTAGTACCAAAAAAAAAAAATTCTATTTATTTTCTATTCCTTTTTTTTTTGTACCTTGTGTCGTCCAGCGACATACTTGCTCTTCATATATTTCATACAATATTCACAAATATAAAGTATAGGGTGTTGACTATATTCTTCAGGGTAAGGGGCTACATACCAAGTATCAACAAGATAATCACCAAAACGAATTTGACTGATCTTTGGTAAATCTAGTGCTGCAGACCAATGAGAATCACTTGAAGAAGGTATATGTTGTTTTGTCGAATGTTTCAAGTCGCATTTAGCCTATATAATAAAAAAAAAGAAAGAAAGAAATAAATTAAAAATAAATTTGAGATATTTGTGATAAATACATACCATTGCTTGAAGTTTTGCTCTGTCAAACATTTCTTTATCTGCTTTAGAAGGTGTTCCTCGAATGGTAGAAGATTCAAAGTTGCTTGTAGGTTGATTAGATACATCAGATATGATCTCCTTGTTCATTCGTCTTTGATTTTTGGTAGTGATAGTTGTTCCAGTCGAACTATCAATAGTATCCCGCCTTCGCTTTCTGGTACTTAGTTTGTGCGTTGATTCGGGGACTGGTGGTTTGAGCGATAGTTGACGTTGTCTTGTGATGATACGTCGAGGTGATAATGGAGGTGATTGAGTTGTAAGTGATGCGAATGATGGTGATACGGAATCCATGTTTGTTTCAGTTTCTTTTGATGATGTGATTTTTCCAGTTGTTTCCAGTTTTGAATTTCGTCGTGTTGTTGATCGTAATCGTAATGTATGCACTGGCTGATCTTCTCCTTTTCGTTTCTGCCGTAAACGTCTGGTAGTACTGTGATTTTCTGATAATGGAGTCAATGGAGGGTCTTGACAAGTCGATTTTCGTCTTGGTGCAATGTCGTTGTTTGATAATGGTGGAGAAGGATTTGAATGAATGGAAGATGGTGAAGGCATACTACTACAAATACTACAATACCAATCATCTAATAATGGAAAAAAAACAATAATAATAATAATAAAAAAGTAAGTTGAATGGAAATAGAGAATTCATTTTCATTTATTTTACCTTCTGGTATACTGTCTATACCAGGACAACAATCAACATGTAAAGCCCGATCACATGAAGCACAAATGAGCATTCTTTCCTACAAACATGTAAAAATAATAATAAGAAAGATAATAATAAAAAAGAAGGTTATTGAATATTCATAAAAGAGCAATATAAATATTTATTTTACCTCGCCTGTTTTCTTCTGACAAGCCATGCAAGTTTTACAATCAATACATTGCCAATCATATGTACGAGCCAAATTTAAAGAAATATCATTTAGTTCCGTACAGATTGCATGAACTAGAAAGTGATATATAATTAGTATTATTAGAAGAAGAAGAAAAAAAAAAAACCACCGATTACAAGATTTCTTTTTCTTACCATGGCGATGACAATCAAAACATATTAAACTTGGTTGCAGTTGGCCTTCATCATCGTAATCATTTTGACCATTACAATAATAACATATTCCGTGTGTATACTAGAAAAAAAAAGAGAGAGAGCATATAATGATTGAATGTACAAAAAAAAAAGTATATATATATATATATATATTTTCTTTTTTCTTTTTATTTACATCTACTGGGGATTTTTGACGATTTGACCTTGATAACCTTGTTATCATTGAGGGTGAACTATATAATAAGTAAGGTATAAGTAAAAAGAGATTGTCTTGATAAAAAGTATTGTATAAGGTATGTATGTTCACAGAGGAAGAAAAGAAAAGAATAAAGAAAAAAAAAGGAATTGGAGGCGTTTTTTTTTTCTTTTTTTCCCTCCGTCAAAACAAACCGTTGATTGGCTGGAAAATATAATTTATTAACTCAGAGGATAATCTTGTAAATCAGAACACATGCCATAGCGTGTTGAAGCATGAGATGTGGAGAATGAAAACATCACGGAAAAAGTTCATTCCTACTTTTGATGAAATGAATGATTACAATTTATAAATAATAATAATAATAAAAAAAAGAATAAACAAATGATTATCATTATACTTTAAAGACGACAAAAAAAAATAATAATAATAAAAGAATTGATCCAAGAAAAAAAAAAAAAGTCATAAGGTTGTGTCACACATTTTTACCTATTTTAAAACTTTGGATTCCTTTTTTCTCCACGAATCATATATCAACTTTGTGAAACTTTTTACCGACTATGTATAAAGTAGATCGATCAAAAAAAAAAAAATAAAATAAAATTCATCTTTCTTTTTTTGCCTTTTTTTTTTATATGTTTAAGAATAAGGAAGCTCAAAATATATTTTCGGTTACTTCAGGTCATGTTCTTCCACTTGCCACTGCAAAAGAAAGATTAATTGATATTTGGCATAGTCTTACTTGGCCTGTATTTAAAAAAATATTAAAAGCAAATATTGCACTTATCATTACACTTGGATTAATGTGTTATTATCCTATCATGAATCTAGTTGGTGTATCTAGTGCTTTAGCTCCTATTGCAGTGGAATTTATCTTACCATCCAAATCTTTAGGCTTCTTAGCGGAGGTAAAAAAAAAAAAAAAATAAAAACTATTTTTCTCATTTCTTCTTCTTTCTTTTTCTTTTCCCTTTACACATACTTTTCTTTTCTTTTTTTTTTTTAGGATGCTATCTTTGGTGCCTTCATGTGTTCTGTTTCTGCTGCCTATGCAATACTTGGTACTTACTGTGCATCTTTAGTACGCGATCCTAATAGTGATATTATGGCTCAACCTGCTGTATGTGGTATTCTTGTCTCTTTTCTTGCTATTGGTGCCTTTTTTCTTAATTATGTACGTGCAAAGGTTCAACAAGCGAATGTTGGTGGTAAAGAAATAAATAATAATGATTAAAACTAGTCTACATTTATGGCTCATATTCTTCTTTCGATATATAGGAATGCTCTCAGCTTTGATTATGGTACTTAATCTTACAGGTGCTGTTCTCGATCGTCAGTGGACTCCCATTCATGTGGTAAAGAAAGAGTATCCTTCCAAATACTATTTATTTTTAACGTGCCTTTTTTTTTTTAATTTAGGTTTTCTCATTATTATCTGCCTTGACTGGATTTGCTACTATCTTTTTGGTATTTCTCATTATATCCCCTGAAAATAGTACAACAGTTTATATTCAAGAACTTGTCAAAACATTGGAAACATTTGATATTATTACTCGCCAACAAGTGGAAGGATTTTTACATTCTTCTCGACAACATCTTTTGGAACAAGGTCATAATCCTGAATCTCCTACTGTAGTGCATAACAAAACAGATACCTTATTATCATCCATTATCGACAAGAAACGAATGACTCAACGTGAAATATCCTTCAACAAAATCTCTCCTGTAGATATTAGTGAACTAACCAAAATTGTGAAACGACTTCGAATACCATTACAAGGTATTGCCATTGCTCATACTATGGAATCCAACATGCGGAAATTATATTTATTAGAACGGGTCGATGATATTTATCATAACCGACATGATCATCCAAGGGAATCACCATCACCAATCAACATTGAAAAGGATAGTAGAACAGAAACAAATACCAATTGCCTAGGATTATCTTCAGCATCAGCAATACATCCAACATCAACCAACATTCGGTCCTCTTCAAATACTGATAACCAAAGAGACAGTATTAGCAACCTTTTGAACAATCGACCCAATTCTGAAAACTTTTCTCGGAGTAGCAACGAAGGATATCAAACCCATCCGTCTAGTAGTGGATCTACTCGACAACCAGTGACTTTGGATGCAACTGCTTTCAAATATGATATCTTACGACGCGAATATACCAACATTCTCAATGAGTCGAAAACTCTTTATATTGATCTTTTATCAGCTTGTTCTTTGGCAATGGCGGAAACTATCAAACGGCTTTTACGTATACAATGCATTGATCCATTTCAAGATAAACCTTTTTTCTACAAGTACCTCTTTGGCAAAAAAGGCATTCCCAACACCAATGTTACTTATGATCGAAACAAAGATCCTTCACTTCAGCTTTTGGCGGCCATTCAACATTTTGATGCTCAAAGGCTTAATGGATTGGCAAGACTATATAATGAAAATCATCATCCTCGACGAACTCTTCTACTCATTCTCAAATTCCAGTTTAGTCTTCGCACTTACGCCGAAATATTGTACACTTTATCTTCCCTTGTTTTTGAATTGGATCAAGTTCGTGATCAACGTCGATTTTGGCTACCTAGTGTATCTATTAAGAAAATGTTTTGGAAGAAAAGAGAAACATCTTATGATTTGGACTTACCTAGTGGAGTGGCCCAGCAACCAAGTAATAATGATTTACAGCGTACTTTGACTCAACACACCGTTTTGATGCATTCCATTGTTAATCCATCACAAGGCTCACCATCGACTTTTCCTGGACAAGAACAATATTTGGATTTAGAACATCAGCAAGGCAACGATAGCAATAATAATACATACGATATGAATACGGAAAGTGAAAAGAATGATGATGATAGCAGCAGTGACGGTGATGAATTGGACGCCATTTCAACAACATCTTCCAACTTGCATCCACCACATGTCAGCAAAGAGAAACAAACACGGTTTTACGATTTGGCGGGGCGACTATCGTGTCCAATCCGTGGTCAAATTATCTGCTTTCAGGACAATGACAAATGGTTCCATCAACATGATCGACAAAATAAAAAACAACGACGAAACACAATCGACACAAGGAATCGACAACGACGTGACTCTCATCATAGTGCCTTTTTACAAAAATTGATGACTTGGCGACATCATATTGGTCATCGAAAAACATCACTTACTCATACCATCTTGGTCGATCAGTCTTCGTATCATGATCCAGATTCATCCTATCCTATAACAAGAAGGCAATACTTTTTTTACGTCCTGTGGAAATTTGGAAGAAAGTATATCTATACCCGTGATACTGCATTTGCTCTTCGAGCTGCTATTCTTGTTACAATGTTGACATTACCTGGATTTTTGGAACAATCTCTTTATTGGTATAATAGAGCAAGAGGACAATGGGCCACTGTCGTTGCTTTGATTTGGATGGGTCCTTCCGTTGGAAGTAGTTTTTTTGGGTAAGAAAAAAAAAAAAAAGGAGAGTATTGTTTATTTTAATTTTGATTCATTCCTTTTCTTTTCTTCTTTTTTTTTTCTTTTCTTCTTCTTCTTCTTGTAGCACCATGGCGAGGACGGTTGGTACTCTTGTAGGTGCAGCAGTTGGTATTATCATTTGGGAAATCAGTCAAAACAAGTTATGGGCTCTACTGATAGTTACCTTTGTATTCAATATTCCATTCTATGTACTTTATACATTGTCAAGTTTCTGGCGTGCAACTGGATTATTCTGTTTGATCACCATCACTCTCAGTAAGTAGTCATAAGAACGGATGGTTTCCTTTTATGATGACTTAACTTTCTTTTATATATATATGTATATGTAGTTATTGGTTATGGATATGTTTATATGTCGACCGATGTTCCAATATCAGCATTCCAAGTCACTTATCAGGTATCCTCTTTATATACTAAAAAAAAAAAAAAGTAGGAAAGCAATGGCATTTTTAATTTGTATATTTTATAGAGAATTGCATCTGTTTTTGTAGGTGTTGGTGCAGCCATGATGATCAGTATCTTACCTTATGCTCAGACAAGTCGGGTTCAAGTACGATATAGGGTATCTCATATTATGAATGACATGGGTGTTTTATATGCTTCTTTGCTTGGGACGCTATTGAAAGGATCAAGATATGAAAAACGAATCAAGGAGACGAATCAAAAACTATTTCGTGTATTCACTAACAAGATTCGTCAACAAATTCAATTGACTCGTGCATTATTAGATCAAAGTCGATTTGAACCTGCTTTACGTGGTATATTTCCGGAAAAAAAGTATCTTAAGCTTCTTCAAATTTTGGATACCATGTTGAATTTGATGTTACATATGGAATTGGCTTTGGAAAAGGTGGATACTCAATGGCGAATGGAGATTATCAATCAATCTTGGATTGAACGAAAAAATATGGTAAGGAAAAAAAAAAAAGACAATTATGTGTAATAAATAAAAGCTAATAATTTATGATAGATTTCATCCATTTTGACTGCACTTCAATTAGCTTCTAATGCATTGATGAACAAAACACCTCTACCACCTTATATTTTGGCACCAACAAAAGCAAGAAGGGTATTAACTGATAAAGTCCTTGGAATGGAATCATTTGATATGAAAAGATTGGCTGATCCAGAATATACTTACTATAGTACATATATGATGAACTCTGAACAATTAGCTGTAGAAATTGAAGTATTGGTATCAACTATCCGTGATCTTGTTGGATCTGATAGTGTTAGTGTTATGTTAGATTATATATATTGAATTCCTCCCCCCTCTGCTATATATATGTATTATATTCCAATGATTATAAAATAATAAAAATTCATACTTATTTTTTTTTGTCATCTATTTGGTTCAACCCTTTATAATAATTATATGGAAAAAAAGGCCAAATTGGATTAGTTTCAATAACCTATACACTTTATAACACTATGTACTTGTAACATTGATGTGACCTCCAACTTTATATAGTTTAAAAATGATGATGGATCAAACTTAATAATATATAGGGTTACATCAATTGGTGACACCATCGACATTTCAATGTAGTATATATATTTTGAGCCATTGAAATAAAAGCTCTCTCATCACGTTTTTTTTACACATACTGGTTAATCATGGTAGTATGTAGATCGGTGGTTGGATGAACACCCAATGAAAAAAGATATGAAATGTTGAATCGCAGTTTACAATGACAAAAAAAAAAATACAAACTTTATTTCTTGTCAAAAAAAGGAAATCACTTCTATGTCTTTTTGTATGACATTTACTTTAGTTAAACATATAAAAAGTCATATTTAATTCCTAAATCTCTTTTTTTTTTTTTTTTTTTTACTTTCTTTCTTTATTTATTAGATTAATATGATGAAATTGATTTCTATTACTACAGCTTGTTTATTAGCTTTAGCAAGTGTGAATGCCACTGGATCTAATGATACCAGTAGATCTCAACTACCAGGACTTGAAAAGATCAAACATGTGGTATATTTTATGCAAGTATGTTCCTTTTTATTCAGAATCATTTTTTAGATGATATCTTATTATTATATTATTTTTCATCACTAGGAAAATCGAAGTTTTGATACTTATTTTGGCACCATGAGCGGTGTTCGAGGATTTGCTGGTAAAATTAAAAAAAAAATGATCTCTTATATGGAAATTGATTTCTTTTTCTTTTCTTTTTTTTTAATAATTTAGATCCTCATGTTGGCATTCAAAAAAATGGTCTAAACTTATTTTATCAACCTGATTCTCATTCTACGGATGTCAAGAATGGTACCAAATACTTACTTCCTTACAACTTGAAAGGAAATAGAGCTGGTTGTACTGTAGGTGGTTCTAATGGCTGGTAAAGTTTATGATCATTATGTACATGTATAAAGTAACAATAAAGGTTAACATCAGTTTCATCGTCTTCTTTCTCTTTTTTTTTTTTTTTTTAGGGTAATGTTATATAAATAGAACAAGAGAATTATATCTAGGTATAGTTCTATTGATTATTATTATTTTTCTATTAGACTGCTAACCACAATGCTATCAACGGAGGTACAAATGACAATTGGCCCGATGGCAATGCTCCTGAATCTATGGGTAAAGTGCGATGATAGATAAACCTACACAAGAAAAATACTGAACTCATTTTTACGCGTTTTATTTGTATTTAGGATATTTACAAAGAAGTCAGATTCCTTATCAGTTTGCTCTTGCTGAAGCATTTACTATTTGTGATAACTATCATCAAAGTGTTATTGCTAGGTAAATTTGACTAGGAAAGAATCAAAAGGAAATATCTAACTGTATATATCTCTTTTTTTTAAGTACCAATCCCAATCGTGTACACTGGATGTCTGGTACAGTTAAAGGTAAATTACTTTTTTTCATCCATTGATATAAGATGATTTTTGTCATGATGATAATAAAGATAATACCTACTGATTTGTATGATTTTTTTTTTTTTTGTTCTTTGATTAGGTCCTCCCTTGAACTACGTTCTTGAAGGCAATGTTGAAATTATTCCACTTGGATGGGAAACTTATCCTGAAGCTTTGACCAAGGCTGGTGTCGAATGGCAAGGTACAATATATATATATATCTTTATAAATGACTCTTTTTTTTTTTTTTAAACTGACTTGCATCTTCTTCTATAGTGTATCAGGATCAAGATAATTTTGATGATAATCCATTGGCATGGTTCGGGTAAGAAAAAGTTAAAAAAAAAAAAATGTAAACCAATCAGTGTTACATAATGGACTTTATAAAACTTATTACTTAATATATGTGTATATAGTTATTGGCGAAATCTCAAGGATGGACCTGAAAAACAAAAAGGACTTGGTTTTCTTGGTCTCCAGACATTTTATGATCAAGCCAAAAACGGTACTCTTCCTCCTTTCTCAATTATTGTTGGACCTACTGAACTCTCGGAACACCCAAAGTAAGTTTAAAACAGCTCAAATGCGTAGTGGTCTTTTTTTTTTTTTTATTTATATCATATATATATATATATATATATATATATCTTTACTTTTTAGTAACACTCCTGCCGCTGGTGCCTGGCTTCAAGAACAAGTTGTGAATGCTGTGATGCATGGAAAGAATTGGGCCAATACTGCTCTCTTTATCAATTATGACGAAAGTGGAGGTTTCTTCGATCATGTTCAACCAGAATTGGCTCCCAAAGATAAGTATGTTTGGGACTATCTCAACTTTAAGATGTCTCCCCTTGGTTTAGGTAAGAAAGAGAAAAGAATGATTTTTTTTTTAAAAAAAAAGGAATGATGTTGACTTTTTCTATTCTATCCTACTTTATAGGTCCTCGTGTACCAATGGTGATTGTATCTCCCTACACTAGAGGTGGTCATGTCTTCTCTGATGTATCTGATCACTCTTCTACATTGATGTTTATGGAAGAATGGGTTGGCAAATTCAACAATGGTTCTTATGCTGCTCCTGCTGTGAATATTGATAGCTGGTACCGAAATGTAACTTCCAATCTCGTGGGTGCTTTTGATTTTGCTAAACCTGATTTCTCCATTCCTACTCTTCCTACCAATCCCAAACCTGCTGTGGACTCCAATGGTAAATGGGATCCTACTGAAATGTGTGAAAAACTATCTGATCCCAAGACAACTCCTCCTGTAAGAAAAAAAAAAAAGGATAGATAATTATATTATATATCGCTCACTTTTTTTTTGTCTTCATTTTTTTCTTCTTACTATAGTATGGCAATCAAGTTTATCCTACCGTAAGTATCCCAAAAAGAATGAAGTGAATGGATGAGGGATGATTGACTACGTATTGACTCTTTTTTTTTTTTTTTTTTTTTTCATTAGGTGGAAGCTGGGTCCAAGAAACTTCGTGGTGCTAATCCTATTGGTCGTAAATTGGCATTTGTACAAACGAACGGCAAAGCTCTCCAAGTAGCTGGATCGGGTCAAAAATTGGTGCCTCGTCGTCTGCAAAAGAGGGATGTGAAGAAAGGTGCGATAGTGGTCGATCCAAGTGGACATTTCAAGGCAGTGCCTGGTGGCAATGGGCAACAATACAAACTTCAATCCATCCAACATCCAAATCAATGTGTCAATGTAGTAGGAACCGAAGTCCAATTGAATGAATGCAAGGAAACGTTATGGGAACTGGATTATCATAATGTCGATGCTCATCATCACCTCAAACATGTGGATTCTGGGCATTATCTTAGTCTTGGACAAGGAAAGATCAATTTAGTCCAAAATCATCATGATGCTCATTTTGATGTGTATTCCATCACTACTTAGTTCCTCTTTTTCGTCTTTTTTTTTTTTTTTATTACTTTATTATTTAGTCCATTTTAATCAATAAAATATCCTCATTTATGTATGTATATACAATCCAATGTATTTGGTCCTTAGATTTAGTATTGATTTAGTTCGCCATACCCAAATGTATCGCTTGATGGTCTTTTTTTTTTTTTTCCTTATGACGATAGCGTTGGATTTCTACAATCATTCCTCACTACGATGATTTATTTTATTGTATGTGATGACGATAAGAGACGTTGAAGGATTACTCTTCCTCAACTAACGATGAGATTTCTATGATCAAGTTTGTTCCGTGATGAGAGGAGATTCATCCTATGTTTTTTTTCTCTCTATATCTGTTTTTTCTTTTTCATTTACTGGTTTTTTTTTCCATGTGAAGAGCGTTTATTTTTTTTTTCTTCTTTTTTTTTTTTTTTTTTTGCCATTATGGTTAGAGACTTGTTTGCAATGGGGTTTGAATATATTTGCGGTGATTCCTTTTTTATATTACGGAAATGGGTGCTTGATGGTTAATGATATGAATATAAACTTTCCTAGGATGATAAAAGTTGCTCTTATCAAAAGCAAACCTAAGAAGATTGATCCTCCAACACACTATTTGGAGAGACAGTAATGCAACAACATCTTATCGTGTCATGCCATCTATTCATTCATTTCATCTTTTCATTGATGATGATGTCTTGTTTAGATTTCAGTTCACTTCCTTGATACAAAGATATATAGATATATAAAAAAAATAATACTTTTTTTTCCCTTTATTTCATTCCTAATACAAAAAGAAGGAGAATGGGCATAAACTAACTAGTAAGAATGAACCAATATATATATATAAAACCATACTATCATAAATAAATCATATAAAACTAAACAATATGGTAATGTCGCATAATCAATGTCATGGTGATACAAAATGTCAAAATGGATGCTGTGATGCATGTAAACCAAGTCAAATCCTAATCGTGATTTTTTTTTTTAGAAAATAAATAATGAGTCCATAATTCAATCATGGTTTTTTTTTATTTATTTATTTTATTACCTCTGTCATTTGTCCAGGCACCTGTACATTCATTCCCCAAAGACCAGTGACAAGGTTCATAGGCACTAATACACTACCGAGCGCCGTCAGTTTGGATAAGATATCGTTAATTTCATTGTTGGTTTGTGTCATTTCAATCGAAATTTGAGCTAGATAATTGCTATGTGAACGTGATGATATTTTTTCATAGTGATTGAGTGATTGTAACATGGTAAGAATATGATCTACAAAAAAAAAAAAAATTAGTCTCGTTTTCCTAAAATAAAGGATAAATTCAATTTTTTTTTTTTTACCTTGTACATCACCAAGGAAAAGAGAGACTTCGGTACTTAGAGCTGGTCGTGTAGCATCTTCTGGTTTTGTTTCCCCTCGTTTAATCAATGTCTTCACCACATCAGCCTTGGATACCAACAACCTGAGTAGACCCATCACACGTTTACGGCAATAACCAATACGTCGTAGCATGTCTGATTGTTCCGATTCTTTCAAAATAAGTACCAATTCATCAATAGAATCCACCTCGAATTCAATCGATTTAATCAAAGGTGCAAAAGAGTCCGTGATATCGTCCAATAAACCATAGCAAATCCAATCTAGATTCAAAAAAAAAAAAAAAAGTGTAAGACTTTCAAGATAATTGAAATATTTTCTTTCAATTTACCTGGAGTCACTTTGATATAATCTCGTAATTGCTTGATTCGTTTGCGCACATTATGCGGATGTGGCATGGGTCGAAAATGGAACTAAGAATCAATATATATATATATATATATATATATATATATATATATATATATAATCAATTATTTGTTATTTTTATATATCTATTGAAAACTTACTGATAAAACACCTTCTTTCAAAACAACAATATAAAGAGCTAGAGGTTGTAGGTACATAGGAGATAATGGATCTTGTTCAAAACTTCGGAAACATATAAAGTAATAGTTGTGAAACACATCACATTTTTCACGTTGTTCTTCCATAGTGATATCTTCCTCAGTCAATGGATGGATTCTAAATGCCTAATAGATATATATATAAAAGGAAATTATAAGATATATCACTAAAGAACTTTTTTTTTTGTTAAATGTTACCTGACATAATGTTCTCATTTCAGTATCTGTAGGATTCAAAATATCGATCCAGAAACAACCTTTTTTCAACATATCGCCAAGTAGGATTCCTTTTGGAGGAATTTCACAAAGATGCCTCGCATGAATAGTGGATGATTCAGCTGTGGAATAATAAGTCATACGATAGACATCAGTATTATCATCACCTTCTGGATGCTAAGTTACAAAAAAAAAAAAAAAAAAAAAAGTCAATCAATTAAATATATCCGTGAATATATGCTTTTTTTTTTTTTTTACCTTCATTCGATCACCATATAAACTAAATCGTCTAGAGTCGGCCATGGCAGATAAACGGCGTTGTCGAGGTTGATATGAACTTGGTGTAGTACTTGGTGTTTTGATGGTATAGGCTTCCTGTTCCACATACATGTCAAGTGAATGATAGTCAATCTCGGCTTGATCCTTTCGATCCATAGCTGAAGCACAAATATCATCTTGTGCATCCCCTTCTTGGCGAGATGCTGTTGTATCTGCGTCTGATAAATATCCATTGTTGCTATCAGGTGGATGAAGGGCAAGATAAGTGAGATGGTCAGGATGCAATGGTGGAAGATGATTAGCGTTATTATTGTTATTGTCATTGTTGTTGTTATGCTGTAGAGGACCAATATGATTGTGATTACTATTGTGTACATCAATAAGAATATCATCTACTCTGTTCGGTGAAGAACTAAAGTAATCATTTCCTAAGACTCCTGTTCGTGGTTGCTTTTTTTTTTTTTTTTTTTTTTTTTTTTAAAAAAAAAGTCAGTTCAATGATTTTTAACATTATTATTATTATTTCTATTACCTGTGAAGAATAAAAAGGAGGAGTGGGATCTAAGGTTGGTGAAGGTATCAAACTATATTGATTATTTTTAGGTCTATGAGTACGTTTTTTGGATTTTGGCATAATTGGAGGAAGCTTGATTTGGTAAAGGGAGAGAGAAAAAGAACGAAAACAGAAAAAAAAAATAACAAAAAAAAAAATTCATTTATTTCTAAATTTGGATGATAAGACACAAAAAAAAATCACGACATGCATAAATCTAAAACTATTTTTTCGTTTTCTTTGTCTCGGGTTCTTCTTCTTCATCATCACTGGCAAATACAGGATTAGGTTGAGTATGTTTGTATACTATTTAAAAGAAATGATTAATATAGTGTGGCAGTAAAGATTACTTTTTTTTTTCTTTTCTTTTTCTTACCATTGCTAACCCATTGATCATCACCACCCATTGCTTCTGTAGAATACTTGAGTAACGCTGCACGAGGATCTTCGTCTATTTTCATCAATAAATAATAATAATAATAATAAAAATCAATAAATATATGGAAATCATCAATAATTTTTTCTTTTTTCTTTCTTTTTTTTTTTTTTTTTTTTTTTTTTTTTTTTTTTTTTTTTTTTTTACCTCTTCTAGTATCTTTAGTAAGCCCTTTAATAATAGCATGTTGTTGACCATGTGCAACTCTACCACCAACACCGTGACTACCCACAGGCATATCTAATCATGAATCAATATATATATATATATATATATAATGAGTGATGAATTACAAAAAAAAAAAAAATACTTTTTTTTTCTCTTACCTGGACGATGAGATGCAATAGGATCTTTTCGTAATTTACTAAGCTTGCGTTTCTGACTCTTGACCCGTTCTGTCTTAAACATAGGAAGTGCATGAGGTGTAATAATGGGCCGGTTGATCTCATAGTCATCCACAGCTCTCTTCTTTTGTTCTTTGACCACACACATCTTGACACCACGAGAAGAATGTTCAGGACTGTAAAACACATGAACATTTCCATCAGCACTACCAGTGACAATTTGGTTGATTCGAGGATGCCAAAGTACCTTCACTACACTTGATTGCCCAATATCTAATATATATATATAAATGAATAATCGATTTCAAGAAAAAACCAAAAAAAAAAAATTACTTACGCATTGTCCTTCGGATTTCCAATGTTTGACGATCCATCATGACAAGTTTTCCATGACCTTGGCCTTTAGGACATGCAGTACCAGTCAAAATCAATCTTTCATCAGGACTAAAGATTACATTGGCTTCAGGGTTTACAATATCGAGATTGTATTGTGTATTGACAGGTTTCTTTGTATGTCGAATATCCCATACTAAAAGTATATGTGTATAAATAAAAGAATGATGAGTATTCCCAAAATGATTCTTTTCAAGATATACTCTTACCTTTAACAGTTTCATCACCACCTCGTGATACCATAGTAAAGTTGTCCCTTGAGAATAATAAACTTGAAGTTTCGGAATGTTTTTGATGAGCATCAGCAAATACGATAGATGGACGAATAAATGGACCATTGGAAGACCATAGATTGATAGATCCATCTTGGAAAGCACCAGCAATCAATTTTGTATCATGGGTATAGGCCAAAGCGGTAGCAGGAGAACGACCACCACGTTCACGAGATTTGTAAGCAATCACTTGTTTTTGTTTTCTCTTTTGATCCACATCCCAAATCCGTATGGTACCATCTTGTGAAGCAGTAGCAAATGTTTGTCGATCGGTTGGATGCCATGATGCACTAGTAAGAGCTCCCACATGTCCTGCTGTATGTCGTAAATCACGAATATAAGGATCACCTTTAATATATTCTACCTGTTCAATTCCATCTCTGTTGAAAAGTTTGATAGCAGCGCTGCCAGATACCCCCAAAAATACATCGCCAGAAAGTGAGTAGTGTATATCACGGATTTGATGATCCCCAAATGGTTGCAAACTGCGAAAAGGTCGAAATGTTTGATCCATACCAGCAAAGTCCCATAATTTCATATCATAGTCATAACCACCAGTAACAAGTCTTGCTCCTGCAGGATCCAATGCTAATGCTGATACAACCCGTGTGTGTCCCTTCAATACGACTTCATGAGAGATGGGTAATTCTGAACCATTGGTTTCCATATCTTCTTCTTCCTCTTCTTCATCATCGTCAGACTTTTCATTATCATTCGTATCGGTTTTATGCTTGGATTTGATATCATTTGCTGTTTCATCTTCAATTTTGGTTTGCTTGAGATCTGTTGATATTGAATTTGTAGTTACTGCTGATGTATCTTTAGATGTTTTGATAACATCCTAAGTTCGATATAAAATAATAATAATGAATAAAAAAGGATATGTATTTCAAGTGATGAATATTAAGAATGTTTTTTTTTTCTTTCTCTTACCTGTCGTTTCGTCTTTTCAAAGTTGGACATGTTTGTGTTCTTGTTCACCTTTTTCCCAAATGACGTAGGGAACATGGCTGCAAAACTATCCCAGTCATTACCATTGGATGCCATAATAAAATTAGTATTGGAAGCAGTAATTTGGAAGTTTGAATAAATAAATCGAATACGATAGTATTCAAGTAAAGAAAAGAATTAATTTAAAAAGAATGATCTTTTGATCTTGGAAAGATATGAAAAAAGAAAAAGAGAAAGAAATGGGATTTCATATTCCGACCAACTTTTAAAGAATCGAAGTGACAATCGCGTCCGCGATCCTATCTTTTCTTCCTTCTTTGTTACTGATTTTTTTTTTTTTTTTTTTTTGATAATGGTTAGACAAGAACAAAATCGAATACAAGCAATATCAAGGTTATCTACAACAATTCCTCAATTATTCAATGAAGCACAGAAACCCAACGCTGTTCTTATGAGGTTATCTGTTTCTCTTCGAAAAGTCCAAGAAACATGTGTCCTCAAAAGTCCTATTGTTGAAGGTCAACCTCAAGATATAGATCAAGATGGTGAAGCTGCTTTCAATAAAGAATATATTAGAAACCTCAACAAAATCTTACCTATTCGTCGAAAAGAACCTCATGCTGATAATATTGTTCGATATGTAGCTACTTTTTTGCAATACACTCAAAAACAAGGTACTTGATCTATATATATATATATATATATATTGTGAATACTAATTCTTTTTATTTCATCATGAATAACAATAGATAACGATGGTCAGGAAGATGATAGCGAAGACGAAACTCAAGACGATGTTCAAGAAACAATCTCTTCACGATTTGCTAGGATATTAATGGTTCATATATTGAAAGGACTTAATGCGAAAAGTTTAAATGTACGGTTACGGTGTTGTCAAATCATTGCTCTTAGTGTCAGTTGCCTGGGTGAAATAGAGTAAGTAAAAAAAAAAAAAAATATGATGTGAAAAAAAAAAAACTCTATACTAATATATGTAATGTTTGATGTTGATAATAGCGAAGATCTTTATCAATTACTGAAAACAGCACTATATGAACGAATCAAAGACAAAGAAGGTCCCGTTCGCGTACAAGCAGTGACAGCATTATCAAGACTTCAAAGTGCAGATGATGAACCTGATGCAAACGATGGACTTACTATCATTCAAAAATTAATTTGGATATTGCGACATGATCCTAGTGCGTAAGTATTTTGTTATATCTTTTCTATCGATTGATTCAATGATAAATTTGTATTCTACTCTTAATGTGATTTATTAATGGATTTCTATTATTATTATTATTATTTTTTAGTGAAGTACGGCGTGTGGTGATTGTGAATTTGGAGTTGAATTCTCAGACCTTACCTTATATTATTGAACGTGCTCGGGATGTCGACTCTCTAAATCGCCGTATTGTTTTCCAGAGACGGTTATCTAATATCCCTGATTTTCGTATGATATCAAGTGAAGATCGTCTCAAGGTGATAAAGTGGGGATTATCTGATCGCGACTCTTCTGTCAAGTTGGTGGTTGGTAAAATGATAGCCGATTTTTGGATCAAGCATGCAGATCACAATTTGTTGGAGGTAAATAAACGACATATGTGTGTATTTTTTTTTTTTTTTTTTTTTTGTTATTCACTGTTTATTGTTACATTTTTTTAATAGTTTTTGGAACGTATGGATGTGATGGAAGGTGCTGAAAATGGTGTTTCTGAAAAGATGTTGACTACTCTATTGGAACTACGTATGCCATCCATGAATTTGACTTTTGATGGTAAGTAACAATGGAAAAAGGACAAAAAAAAAAAAAAAGTGAACTAATTTTATCATTCAAATAGATCAATTTTGGGATAACTTATCACCAGAAAGTGCATTTTTGGCTCGCGTGCTCACCAACTTTTTGCATTCTAAAAAGGTAAGCTAAAGTACCAAAAAAACAAAAACAAAAGAATTTCTTATTCATTTGATATTTTTCATTTTTTTTTCTTTTTATTAGATGGAAGATGAATTGGACAAAGTATTACCAGAGGTGACAAGACATGCATTCTATATTCAACATTACAACAATTTATGGCAACAAGCATCCAAAGAAACGGAGGGTGAATATGAATTTATTGTTGGTCAATTACTGGGCCTTGCTACTAGATTGGATTATGCTGATGAAGTTGGAAGACGCAAGATGTATAGTATTCTACGTAAAGTATATATAAAAATAAAAAAATAGAAAAAAAAGGAGGAAAATGTCTTGTAATAACTTTTGATTGGAAACCTTAGGTGAAATTATTTTAGTACCTGATCTTCCTGATGAACATTTGGCTGCTTTGGTGGATTTACTTAGTATGACGGCAACAGATGAATGTGATTTTACAAGAATCATAGTTGAAGTTATTGGTGATATTCAAGAACAAGCTGATATAGACGAAGAGGTATATATAGATGTAGGATACGAAAAAGGAAACTAATCTTTTTTTTTTTGATTTTAATTTACAAAAGGAAACACAGAACAACATTAAACGATTGAAATTAAGCGAAGAAGCAATGATGAAGACGGAATATACAGAAGAAGCGGATCCTCGTATGCTACAAATCATGCTAGCAAAACTCAAATGTCTTAGTATATGCAAATTCATGTTGGAAAGATGTCAAGAAGTAAGGTCATTATTGGAAGAAATTCAAATAAATGATCTTACTTTTCTTTTTTCTTTTTTTTCTTCTTACTAGTCATTACAAGATAATTCATCTATTTATGGCCTTTTGAATCAACTGGTAATTCCTGCTGTACAGAATAAAGAAATCGTCTTGCGTGAAGAAGGTCTACATTGTCTTGGTCTAGTTTGTCATCTAGATAAGGTAATAGGAAATGAAATCAACTGGTTTGGGTTATTTAACTTCTATCTTTTATTATTATTATTATTACTATTATAGACTCTTGCAATGCACAACATACCCCTTTTCGTTCATTGCATACAAAATGGAAATGATGAATTGAAGAAAAAGGCTCTCAAGGTAAAATATTATAAAACAAGACAGTAGATTTAGATGTATATACTATACTGACCTCTCTTTTTCTTTTTATTGATTTCTAGATTTTGTTTGATATGATTATGAAATATGGATATAACATGATTTCTGAAAAGATGGAAAATGTAAGTAATTAAATGCAAATGAACGAAAACCATCCATAATCGTATATTCTTACTCATACAACCTTTTTTTTTTCTTTTTCTTTTTTTTCTGATAGCCTCCTGAACTTTTTGAATATTGTCTAGACCATGATTCTCCTGAAATACAGGCTATTGCATGTGAAGGTTTGGCTAAACTTATCTTGTCTCGTTCTTATAAGCATGAAGAAGTAAGTACATGTGTATTTATCAATTAATATTGTACACTAACTACCTTTTTTCCCTATTCCAAATATATATAGACCCTTAAGCTACTTGTGATCCTTTACTTTTTCCCTACCTCCATCGATAACAACAAAGTTCAACAATGCCTATCCTACTTTTTCCCAGCATATTGTCATTCAAGCACTGAAAATCAACAATGCATGTCCAACGTAAGACAAAACTACAAATCAATTATCATTTCTCAAAACCTTTGTTATTATTATTATTAGATTGGAGTTGCTGCTCTTGTGGAATTAACTGAAACTTTTGTTGATTTGAAGGAAGGCGAACATATGGTGGAACCAACTGTGATTGCTGAAATGTTGACTCATTGGACTGATCCTCGGCAATTATCAGTGTAAGTTAGACAACTTAAAAAAAAAGGAACAATGATCAAATGATATATCTTTACTTGTTTGTAGACATCGTCGTTCAGATGATGAAGTGGATATAGCTGTTCAAGGCAAAATGGCGATCGAGATTCTATTGAAGCTTACTCAATGTCCCAGTGATGAAGATGGTAAACCATAAAAAAAAAAAAAAAGAAGCGCAACTGGCTATGGAAAGAAGTGGGACTGGAATTGATCTAAATATTTTATAGTATTACGGAAAACCATGTGTCATGCCTTTTTACGATTATACTTGGACGACATTGATCAAAAGACTATTACTAGACTACTTGCATTGGCTGAAGTGATCGAAAAGGTAATAAATAGTATTGAATCCGATCGATTTTTAACTTGGTTTTATATATTAGGAACGACCGATTATTGAATCTCTTTATCGTACCCATTTCAACAAAGCAATCCGACGTATACAGACCTTGCATCGACCCACCGTAGATGAACTATCACAAGAACATATAAATGAAGAAACAACAATTCAATCATCGTCATCATCATCACTATCACCGCGACCTCCACAATCGATAGAATCTATCACTTCCCGAAGAACCAAAAATAGTAAACACATGGACGATGATTCTGCAGATGATATGGGTTTTGATAGTGATAGTAGTAGTTCGTGATCTGTTTTATTTATTTTTCAATATAAGGTTACCAATACAATCTTAATAAAAAAAAAATTAATCTTTTCCTTTTTGATGTAGATAGGGTCTCCATTTCCTTTTTAAATATAAACAGAACTTTGAACGCATTTGAGGATCGAAAAGGATTCATCATCTTCTAGACATCAGTTATATATTTATTTTCTATGTACATACAGAAGATTATTTATTTTAGTTTTTTTTTTTTTTGTTGATGAAGTATGAAAAGGAGAGAGTGGGAGTATCATATCAAACCAAAAAAAAAAAAAAAAAAGGAAATAAGGAATTATCTATTTTGGTAAATATGAAATGGGAGTAATAATAAGGTAGTTACGGAAGGAAAAGAGAATGAAGTTAACTAAGTCTAAAGGGAAAGGGGGATCGGATGGTAAATAAAGGTTGTAATATAAAAAAAAAATGTATAATGATAAAAAAAAAAGCCAAGAAAGAAGACCAGCATAATCTTGCGTATTTGTATATATTGTTGTTATTAATGATTGACGATCTAGTGAGGAGATGTACTGGATGAATCTGGAGGAGATGAGGAAGTTGTAGAGGTAGCACTAACATCGGCAGTCATAGGAGTCGCAGTAGATGACTGTAATTTTTTGCCTTTCAGCATATTCTTCAAAGCACGTAAAGCAAACACAGTCAAACCAATTCCACTCCAATCTTCATCATGGAGATCTCGTAAATCACCTACTGTCATGATATCTTGATTTTTAAGTTTGTTGATCCATTGATGAGCTTTTTCTGCATTTCGATGAGTAGCTATGGCACAATCCCGCACAAATACATCAATCGTGGTATCATCTGAATATTCTATTATATCAAAAAAAAAAAAAAGGTGAGTATATTAATATTGTCATTTTTTTTTCTTATTAGAAAGTTCTATTACCTTCCAATATGTGAGAAAATAAAGCTTCACGCATTGCGGACATGTTTTCTTCAGATTTCCGTGGCTCATCACTTGGTTGAGAAATGGATTGGTCTTCTTGATGAGTGGCAGGAGGAGTATCGTATCGTTTGGAGGAGGTGTCGATCTTCAAATCTTTTAGCGCACGAGTGGTAGTATTCACAGCAGAGGAAGTGGATGTAGGAGGTGTTGGGGCTGGAACTGAAGTTGGAGTAGGTGCAATTATCGATGATGAAGTTGGAGCATTGGCTATAGATGTTGAAGATGTAGTTGATGTTGATGATGATGACGATAGTTGAGGAGGATAAGTAGATGTTGTGGTAGTTCCAGGAGTAATTTGTGTTGACATCACTCCATTTTGCCCATCCAATGTTGTGATATTTTTCCTATTACTATTATTGACATTGCCTTCTTGGCGTTGCTGTTGTTGTTGTTCTTCCATGTCACGAAGATTCCGTATAGTTTCTCTGTATTTTGCTTCAGCTATTCGAGCTCTTGATTCAAAATCTTCACATTTGTGTTCTACATCGGCAATACGTTCAGTAGCTAATTCCAATTCCTTTCGAGTACGTTCCAATTCTGATCGAATATCACTTTCACGACGCCAAACAGATTGTCGTACTTGTTCAGCTTGTTCAGATTCACTTGGCTTTTCTATATCCCGGAGTATACGATTGATTTCTTTGGTGATGTGGTATTGGTATCGTTCAGGTAAGACTTGTTCTTCAATCTATAATGTAATATAAAAAAAAAGAAATGAGAATGCTTTCTTTATGTTATTATATTATCTCTTACCATTTCTCTAACGACTTGTTCTGCAGTATCAGTTTCCACATTAAAATCAAATTTGACAGATAATTTGTCCATTCCTTTAAAGACTACTTGTAAAGTCAGATGTACATGAGCAGGATCAGCGGTCAATAAGACAACATCAGGTTCCACGGCCAAAAAGGAGTGTTCCAGAATTTCTTGAGCAGACATTCTAGAATTAAAAATCAAGAATAAGCGATCTACTAATACTAAAAGGAAAAAAAAAAAAAAGGATAATATTCTAGTTCACCTTTCTTCTTCAGGACCAATACAATTTTCAATCACTTTCAAGACTTCATCATTTTGAATTTGATCCAAACAAGCAGGTTTGACTCCCTAAATCAAAAAAATAAGATGAGTTACCATATAAAGAATATATATCATATATATATATTTACTTACAGAAGACACTTTTCGATATATTTGAGCAGCATTTCGACATTCACCGTAAGGATATTCACCAGTGACCATTTCTAATAAACACATCCCAAATGCATAGATATCTACCTTTTCACTATAACCTAATTCTTCATACATTTCAGGAGCCATGAATTCTGGAGTGCCAATAATGGTATATTTCTTTCCCATTTTCATTTCAGCTGTTCCCATATCACCTATCTTGACTTCACCATGAGCACCATTGATAAAGATATTATCACATTTGATATCACGATGAATGATAGGAGGAGTATAACCATGAAGATAAGCAAGACCTTTGAGAATTTGACGAGACCACCGTTTTACTATCTTGAGATTGGGAAGATTCAATTTTCGTATATATTCACGCAATGTCCCCGATGTCATGAGTTCCGTTACAAATACAAATTCATTTTTGGTACACCAAGCATCATGAAAGGCAATAACGTTGGGATGTCGAACTGATTTAAGAATTTCTATTTCATGTTCCATTTCTTTGTTGTCCGGTGAATGAACGCCCTAATACAAAAAAAAAAAAAAAATATCGAAGTTAGGAATTGAGATAATATATATATATATATTTCTTTTTGGATACTTTACCATCATAGAATTCCAAGCTACTTCATATCCCTCTATTGAAAATATATATATATATATATAAAAGATGTCAATAAGTGTATTATATATAATGAAAGGTGATAAAAATTTACCTTCTCGGTCAATAGCTTTATAAACTACTTTATAAGCACCTTTTCCAAGTAATGTATTAAGTCGTACATAACGTTCATTGGGAGAGACTTCTATAACTTTTTCAGTATCCAAAGATTCAGATTGGTCGTTGATATCGTTCGTTTGTGACATTGAATAAAACCCGACAATATAATGTGTATTCGTAGGTATTGAGAGAGAATAAAAGTAAATAATAAATATATATATAAACAAAGGAATTTGAGTGTTTTTTTATAAGAAATCAAATAGTTCCCCTATAAACCCGCACAAAGATGTAATGCAGAGAGGAATATAAGAAAAAGAATAAAAAAGACAAAGCAAAAGACAAAGAAGGATGAAGAGAAAATAGAGAAGAAAAAAAAAATAATAATAAAAAAAAACAAGAAAAAAAAAAAAACAGAGTTCGGTCTTTCAAAGTTGATTTCTAATAGTTTTGTGTGTGAGTTTTTTTATTATTATTATTGTTCAATAATCAATCAATTTGTAAGGATTTCCAGTATATTCTAATAATCTAGTCCAATAAGTTTCTAGGTCATACTTGAAAGGATAATTACCTCCAAAATCAGTTTCCAGCTGATCATGATGAATAAAGTCTTTCAAATGTACCCATTCATTTGTTGTTGCCTTGGTATTTTCTTGTTTTCCATCCATATTATCATATACAAATTTGATCTTGTTTTTTGTCACTGGATCCATAAAAGGTGAGATCATTTTGAATGTAACAAAAAAGAACCAAGGTGCTAATAATAAAATACAGTAAAAAGATCATCATTATTTATTTCTCATTTATTCATTCATTCTTTATATATATATACTTACATTTGACCACAAAAGCAATACCTAATCTTTCAGGGTAATGATTACCAAGTATATCCAAAAATTTTTTGCAAGTATTCAAACTTGGATTATGAGAAGCAGAAGAATCTTTGAAATCCACAATAATGGCAATATTTTCTACTTTATCAGGCATCAATCGAATCCCTCTTTCCAAACTAAACACAATATTTTTCACTTGTCGATCAGCATCTTTGGAATTTTGTAATCTTGGTCGCATGATCCATACTGGTCTTCCACTTTTATCGAATCCATTAAAATACATTTTCCCTGTTTCGGCCTATAAATAATATAAAAGGAAAAATCAACATAAAAAAAGTCTTTCTTTTTTTTTAAATATCCGTTTCTCCTATATCATACATCACTCCTTCATCTTAACACTTTTCATTCTCCCTATTCCTTTTTTTTTTTTTTTACCTCTGGTTTAATATAATCAGGATCTAATTGATCAGGTCGATAATCTCTTCTCCATTTCACAGTATTTTCTAACATTGTTTTTGCTGCCTACAATTTTAAAAAATTAGTATAATTATATGTGTGAAACAAAAGATGATTACCTCATAGTCCCATTTTCTAGCCCGCATGTAACGTTTGAGTGTCGCAGTAGTCAAAAATCGTATTTCATTTTCATAATATTCATGACTTTCAGGTAGTAAGATTGTTTTGATATAATCAGCAAGTTGTTCCAATTTCTTTTCTTGTTCACTAGTTAAAGTAGGTCCAATCACTGGTTGATAATCCTTTGGTGGAGTCAAAATAGGTTGAGAAGTTATAGGTTCTTCTTTTTCCATATCAGGAGAATTGGGTATATTGTCATTATTATTATTATTATTATTATTATTTGATTTGAATCGAAACATATTCATAATCAAAAAAAAAAAAAAAAGAAAAAGAAAAAGAAAAAAGAAGAAGAAAAAAGAAAAAGAAAAAAAGAAAAGGGAAAAAAAATAAAAAATTGAAGCCGAACAAAAAAAAAAAAAAAAAAAAAAAAAAAAAGGTATCTGTAGAATTATTTACCCGTTAAAAGTTTAAATACCCGGATTCCCGATCTTTATTGGAGCCAATCAATCATTCCTTTCTTTTTTTTTCATTTAAACTATTTAATTAATCTTTTAGTTTCTATTTGTAGAAAAAAGAATAAAATTGATCATCATTCAAAAAAAACAAAATAATTTTTTTTTTTTAAATCTTATTCCATTATATTGAATATTAAGTGTCCTCACAATATTTGCAGGAATAAACTATGAGGGCACTTACCAAACATTCAAACAGTGTAACATAAATTATCATTTTTTAATACTCAGATCTTTGACACTTATTTTTTTGGGCTAAATTTGAGCCAGGTAAGGCATGTTTTTTTTTTTCTTTTGCGACAGGGGCAATCAAGTCACGAATTCAAGCCTATTCAATTTTTTTTTTTTTTTTTTTTTTTTTTGCTGGACTAAGATTTTTTTTTTTTCTCTCTCTTCACTGGTCTTATTCAAATTCCTATTTTTCCTTTCTCTCTTTCTTTTTGTTCTCAAAACAAATACCCTTCTCTCTTTTTTTTTCCCTCCCCTCTCCATTTTATTTTATAATCATGTTGAGAAACGCTACTCGTCTCGCTCGTCCTACTTTGGCTGCCTTCTCTCGTACTGCTGCTGTATGTTTATCAATATAAAAACTAAATATAAAAAATAATCAAAACTAAAACAACCTTCTGATGATTTTATTTACTGTAGTTCCGTCCTACTGTTAGTGCAGCTGCCAATGTTTTGCGTACTTATGCTACTGCCAAACCTTCTACTTCTGAAGTTTCTTCCATCCTTGAAGAACGTATCTTGGGTTCCTCTTCTGAAGCTAACCTTCAAGAAACTGGTCGTGTCTTGTCCATTGGTGATGGTATTGCTCGTGTTTATGGTTTGAAGAATGTCCAAGCCGAAGAAATGGTTGAATTCTCCAGTGGTCTCAAGGTAAAAAAAAAAAAAAAAAAAAGAATTTATATGATTTTTAATTATTTTTCTTTTCTTTCTTTAGGGTATGGCTCTTAATTTGGAAGCTGACAATGTTGGTATTGTGGTATTCGGTAACGATCGTTTGATCAAGGAAGGTGATACTGTTAAGCGTACTGGTGCTATTGTCGATGTACCCGTTGGTCCTGGTATTTTGGGTCGTGTTGTTGATGCTCTTGGTAACCCTATTGATGGTAAAGGTCCTTTGGAAACCACTGGTCGTTCTCGTGTCCAAGTCAAGGCTCCTGGTATTTTGCCTCGTCACTCTGTTAACGAACCTATGCAAACTGGTATCAAGTCTGTTGATTCTATGGTCCCCATTGGTCGTGGTCAACGTGAATTGATTATTGGTGATCGTCAAACTGGTAAGACTGCTGTTGCTCTTGACACCATTCTTAACCAAAAGAACTGGAACAATGGTTCTGATGAAGCCAAGAAGTTGTACTGTATCTACGTTGCTGTCGGTCAAAAGCGTTCCACTGTTGCTCAATTGGTCCGTACTTTGGAAGAAAATGATGCTATGAAGTACACTATTGTTGTTGCTGCTACTGCTTCTGAAGCTGCTCCTCTTCAATACCTTGCTCCTTTCTCTGGTGCTGCCTTTGGTGAATGGTTCCGTGATAATGGTCGTCACTCTTTGATCATCTATGATGATTTGTCTAAGCAAGCTGTTGCTTATCGTCAAATGTCTCTTTTGCTTCGTCGCCCTCCTGGTCGTGAAGCTTACCCTGGTGATGTGTTCTACCTTCACTCTCGTTTGTTGGAACGTGCTGCCAAGATGAACAAAGACTTTGGTTATGGTTCTATGACCGCTTTGCCCATCATTGAAACTCAAGGTGGTGATGTATCTGCTTATATTCCTACTAACGTCATTTCTATTACTGATGGTCAAATTTTCTTGGAAGCTGAACTTTTCTTCAAGGGTATTCGTCCTTCCATTAACGTCGGTCTCTCTGTGTCCCGTGTTGGTTCCGCTGCCCAAACTAAGGCTATGAAGCAAGTCGCTGGTTCTCTTAAGCTTTTCTTGGCTCAATATCGTGAAGTCGCTGCCTTTGCTCAATTCGGTTCTGATTTGGATGCCTCCACTCAATTCTTGTTGAACCGTGGTGCTCGTTTGACTGAATTGTTGAAGCAACCTCAATACACTCCCTTGTCCATTCAAGTTCAAGTCCCCATCGTGTTTGCTGGTGTCAATGGTTTCCTCGACAAGATCCCTGTTCAAAAGGTGGTTGAATGGGAAAAGGATTTCATCTCTTACATCTCTACTGAACACAAGGATGTCCTCGAAGAAATCCGTTCTCAAGGTGTTTTGTCAAAGGATTTGGAAGGCAAACTCCGTGATATTTGTGATACTCATACCAAGTCCTTCATTGCTTAGATTAGACAAATAAAAAAAATGACGTAGTGATTTAGTTTTAGTTGTAGATCATCATCCATCATCCCATTTCCTTCGTATTTTTTTTTTAGTTTAGTTTATTTTTTATTACATTTGTATCAATCAAAAAGGAAAAAAAAATATCTCTTATTTATTTATGACTTGTGTTGCTCCATTCATTCAATCTCTTATCCTTATATATATATTGTTTCTTTTACAATAAAAGTGATGCTTTAAAACAAGCTCAATATGATTGTTATGCAAATAGGTTTAGATCTGTGATTATTTGCTAAAATGGGATGTAAGCCACTTTTCCTATATCTATTAAAAAAAAAAATAGGAAATTCAAAAAGCGATTTGTCTTCTCTCTCTTCCCCCTTTACTTTTTTTTTTTATTCTTCCTTTTTATACATTACTTTATATCAATATGGCCACTCCAAGGAAAAGAAGAACACAAAAGTCTGGAAAGAAAAATACAAGACGTACAGCCAACAAAACAAAAAAGATCACCTTCAAGGTAGTGTATAATCAATCTATGGAAACAAGGAAACACTCTTTTTTTTTTTTTTTCTTACGATCAGATCTTGGAACTCAACTCTTTTTTCTTTTTTTTTTTTTTTTTTTCTTTGGATCACAGGGTAATGAATATGTCAAGGCAAACTGGAACAAGAATCAAACATTGATACAAAAGTAAATAATAAAAGAAAAGACGGGAAAAAAAGGAAATGATCAAACAACAGAATGATTGATTCACCTAACTACTACTACTGTTTTTTTTGGATTAGTTATCGACGTTTGGGATTAATGACCAATTTGAATGGAAAGCCTGCAGGAGGTGTTGAAAAGTTATATCCTGAACCAAAAGTAGAATCGATGGAAACAGAAACACAAGTGCCTGAAGATCTTCGAGAATTGACTGAAGCTGATATTGAACAATTGAAGAAAACTTTACGACCTGATGAAGGGTTGATTCAGCGGGATGATGATGGAAATATTATTCAGATCATTACTGGAGAAAAACCTGTGAGTGAATATTCAAAAAGATATTAATAATAATAATAAGGATATTTGTCTTACTGATGGTTGTTTTTTTTAATCTATTAGAGTCACAATGATATTTTGGACGCACCTATTGTACCAGTAGAAGCTAAAACTGACTTTGTCCGTGGATTGGAAGCTCAAGCCGCTGCTGTCAAACCTGCAGATCCTCATACATCATCTTCTGAAGTGGAATGGTTGGAAAAATTGAAAGCAAAACATGGTGATGATTATCAAGGCATGTTTTGGGATAAAGATCTCAACCGTAATCAACTCACTGTAGCTCAAATCAAGAGACGATTCAACAAGTACCAAAAAACCCTTCTTTTCAAACAACAACAGCAACAACAACAGCAACAACAACAACAACAATAGATTATAGACTCCCTTTACATCTTAAATTTTTTTTGTTATCCCATGTCTTTTCATTTTGTATAGTCCATATCATCATCTTTATCACCATCATCTTCTTATTTACTTCATTTTGGAAATAAATCAATACTGATTATCTACTTTTGTAATAAACTTATCATTCTACTGTCTTCTATAAAGTTTTTATAAAAATGAGTATTAGTAATTTTATAATTATTAGTTTTTTCCATGCGAAGCGCGTTTATTTTTTCTTTCTTTATCCTTTTCTTATTTGACACTCATATACTGTCTTGATATATTCTTTGATCATTTTCAAACAAAGAAAAATAAAAAGATGATTTTGGATCATATATAAAACTAATACCCTTTGTCGTATTTTGAGTGTGTAGAACGTTCAATTCACAAAATCCCCGCCTGCGATGATTTATAATCTATCTTTTCCTTTTTTTTTTTTTTTTTTTTTTCTTTTTCTCTTCTTTATTTTTTTTGTTTTTATTTTTATTATCATTATTGTCATGAGTCAAATCAATCCTGATCGTCCTCTTCTTGTTGGTCCCGAAGTACCTATTGCTCCTTTTCCATACAAAATCATCGGCACAGTTGTCAAAGGATATGGAAGAGGATCTCGTGAACTTGGTATTCCGACAGGTAAGACTTTGTCGTATAGATGGAAAGAAATACAAATGGGTGTATATAAAACAAAGCACTAATTATTTTTTTTTCTTTTGTAGCCAATCTCTCGGACAATACTCTTGAAATGTTTCCTCCAGAATGCCATACAGGAGTTTACTATGGCTTCGTTCAAATTGACCAACCCAAATCTACTGTATACCCTATGGTGATGAGTCTAGGCTGGAATCCTTATTATCACAACGAAAAACGTTCAGCAGTAAGTATGAATCAAAAGGAAAGTGTAACCGATTTCCAACTCATATATATTCTATCCTTGTTATAGGAAGTACATATTATTCATGAATTCCCTCAAGACTTTTATGGTGTAGACATTCGAGTATTAGTATTAGGATATATCCGACCTGAACAGGATTATCCATCCTTAGGTAAAAATGAATCATATTATTACTATACTAACTAAAGAATACTAAATTCAATCCCTTTTTTTTTTTTTTATTAGCTGCTCTTATCCGGGATATCAAGACTGATGTGGAAGTGGCAAAACATTCATTGAAACGACCGGCTTATGAACAATTACAAAATGATGATTTGTTTACTACTTAGACAACCCTGGTTATCATTAGTTAGTTGATATATAGAATAGCAAACTTTATTTTTATATTCATTGATAGAGAGAGAGAGACTGGTTCTTTTAAAAGGGGGGACAAATAATAAAAAAAGTGTGATTTTTATTTTTTATTTTTATTTTTATTTATTTTTTTCTGAATTTTTTGTTAACGGCTAAAGGAATACATATAAAAGAGAGGTTATATACAAAAAAAGACAACTGTATAATATGAAATAATAATAATAATAATAATAAAAGAGGGTAAAATAAGAAGAATGGAAGAAAAGAGTCTAAGACAATAAGTGTAATTGTGAAGGAAGATGAATATCAAACAAATCAAATAATATAGTCAATAAAAAAAAAAAGGCGTTGTACATCTACATCAAAGATCAACTATCTAAGGAAGAAAGAAAAAAAAAACCATCAAATCAAGCATTATCCAAACCCAATACTTTTCGTTTGTAAGCAATCAAATCCTTGATAGTGATCATTGGAATACCATGTTTCTTGGCAAAAGCATAACAATCATCACGTCTGGCCATACTTCCAGTAATATCGTCTTCTTTGACTAATTCACCAATACAAGCAACAGGAGGCAAGTTGACTAATTCACAAAGATCCACAGCAGCTTCAGTATGTCCAAATCGATTAAGAGTACCACCAGCGACAGCGCGTAAAGGAAGAATATGACCAGGACGAGAAAAATCTTCAGGTCGTACCGTAGGATCGGCAAGTTTGCGAGATGTCAAGGCCCGATCATGAGCCGAAATACCGGTAGTTGTTCCATGAGCATAATCTACTGAGATCGTATAAGCTGTACGCATCAATTCTGTATTCTTCGGCACCATCAATGGTAATTTCAGTTCATCTAATCTTTCTTCCGTTGTAGGTACACATATATAACCACTAAAAATCAAAACAAAAAAAAAAAGGTTTCCCATTCATTTTTTTTTTGTTAGTCATTGTTCTATATTCTATCCATTTTCGTGTCTTTATATGTGTGTGTATTTTTCTTAGTCATACTATATTCTTTTTTTTTTCTTTTTCTTTCTTTACCTTGAATATTTAATCAAAAAAGCCATTTGTTCAGTAGTGACATTTTGAGCAGCAATGATCAAATCGCCTTCATTCTCCCGGTCTTCATTGTCCATAACGAGTACAAACTTGTTATTGGCTAAATATAGATATAAAAAAAATTAATAAATGAACCAAATGTTAAAAAATATATTGAATTCATCCAAAAAAACCATCCTATATATATATATATATATATATGCACCACACACGTATATTCACATATACTAATATACCTATTCCCTTTTTTTCTATCAATAAGTCAACTTACCAAAGTCCTTGAGAGCATCCTCTACAGTATTGAATTCAGCTTCAGAGTATTTTTGTTGCATTGAAGTTTAATAAACTGATTAAAATTACAAATAGTTTAAAATAGTAATAGAAAGAAAGAAAGAAAAAAAAAAGAAAAAGGAAAAAAAAAGAAAAAGAGAAAAGAAAAAAAGAAAAAAAAATGAACAAAAAAAGTGACAGCGTGGTTGTTTCTGGACTACCCGTCCCCCCGCCCAAAAAGTTTTGTAATTGCTTACACTTTGATGACACATGAAAAAAAAAGATATCAATAAGCCAAAAAAAAAAAAAATCCCGCGGAGATCAAATCCCGTTTTCTCCCCACACATAAAAAAAAAAAGGCACAACATCATTGGTCTTTCTATAATAGTAGAACAAGGAATCCGGGAATACAAAGTCATCACACTTGTCACTATTTCAATGATACTCTCTCTCTCTCTACTGCCTCTCCCTTCTTTATCTCGTTAAATAATAGAGAATATGTGGCAATCAAATAAAAAAAAAAAAAAGAGCTTATTATCAAATCACACATAATAGATACATTGCGAGCTGACCATCATCTTCATAATCAGATCATATCATACTATCAGTATGATGGCAAATAATATTGTCTTGTTATGAAACAAACAATTTTTATCTTATTGTTCAAACTGTACGAAATAAAGAAAAACCTATATTCTTTTTTATATTGAATGTTTATATATATATATCTATTGGTCTGATTGTACGTTGATGCAAGTCAATGACATAGTTACTCAACATGTGGATACCGTTTTCGAAGTCATCCTCATGTCCAGCATAAAAACCAAAAGACGGATGACGACGACAACGACGATGATGATGATTCCTAAGTTGATAATAAATAATAATAATAATAATAATATGATGATCCAACTTGCCACTGCCAGGAAAAAAACCTATCACTGATGACATATTATTTCATAAAAGAAGTTCCCAATTCCAAAAACGGATGATGATTGTCTTGATTAATGAATATAGTAGACTGATGATTCATTCTGACAACAACAACATAGCAACTAGTCCTAATGGAATCAGAAAGAGATATTTTCCAAGTATTGTCTCTTCCTTTTTTTTTTTTTTTTTGTCACAGCATCCAACAATGATGTCTGCCCCCTTAAAATGATACCATATGAAGACATCCGATTGAATAGATAAAATCGAAATCCAAGATAATAGTAATAAAAAAAAAAGAAAGAAAAGAGGATGATGTCAAACAAGTAGGATTGTAAATTGATCATTGATATTACGAACCAATCATCATCTTCGCAAATCAATGGTAACAGAACTCTCAATAAGATGATAGACTTTTGATTAAGAACGAGCCGAAGCAATAAAAGCTCAAAGAAGAAGAACATACGGCAAATTCAAGGTTGATGGAACACATGATAACATATATTCAGACTGAAAATTGATTTGATTTTTTTTTCTTCCTTTCTTTTTTTTCATTTTTTTTTTTTTCATTCGATTTGAGTAATAAAAATGATGGATTTTACAACGTTAGCAACTACATCTGCAAAAGCAACTATAGGTAAAAAACGATCAATCATCCTTGCTACAGCGGCTATCGCGGCGACGAGTATTGGAACGCATTATTTTTCTTCGTCAAAAAAGGAAATCGACAAACAACATTTCAAGGAGATTCCAACTCCAAAGCCAAAATGGCCCATTGTTGGTCAGTTGGAGAGTTACAAGCGCGGATATTGAAATCACTTGGAATTCACCACATTAAAAAGGTTCTTTTTTTTTCTTTTTTTTTTTTTTTCTAGGGCATCTTCTTTCACTTGGTCAACTTCCTGGACATACAGTAGCACAATGGAGTAAAGAACTTGGCAAGTGATTTTTTAATAATAAAATATATATCATATCATATTATTGACCTTGGTTTTATTGTTTTTTTTTTCTCTCTATCTCTCTTTTTCTCTATTAGGGCATATTATTCAATTGAAAATGGGTGTTCAAACTTGGGTATTGATATCCGATCCTGTACTTGCTCAAGAGATTTTTATGACTCATGGTGTTACAACTTCTGACAGACCTCCTCATACATTCTTTTATTGTTATAGTCATGGTGGAAGGTAAATGTGTTTAGTGTTGTAGTAGTTAAATGATTGATATTTTGAAACCGTTTCCTTTGTTCTAACTTTATCACCTTTTTTTTTATGTCTTTCATTTATTTTGTTAGAGGCGTGGTTTGTTCTGATGCAAACAAACGATGGAAAAGAGCAAGAACTGCTGCATTATCTGTCCTGGCACCACAACGCGTCAATCAATTTACTGATGTTCTATTGTATGAAGCAGATGCTGTGGTGGAAAAACTTGTCTCTCATAGTCAATTGCATGGTCAAGTGGACCCTAGTACCTATGTACAAAGTGCTGCCATGAATGTGATTTTAACTACTTGTTATGCAACTCGTGTCAATTCAGCGGATGATCCATTATTCAAAGTAATTTAATAATTCACTTATTGACCTTTACTTACTATCTTTTTTTTTTTTTTTTGGAAAGGAAATCATGGAATGCGTACATGTAAATATGAAAGTGGCTGGAGCAGAAGGTGATATTTCTCAGTTTTTCCCCATATTCTCGATATTGGATGGACTTGTGGGCAAGAAACGAGCGTTTATTGACTTCCTTGCTAATATTCGTGATCCTCTAGTTACTCGATTGATTCAACAAGCTGCATCAAGTGACAAAGATTCGATGGTTAAAACTTTTTTGGCCCTCAAGGACGAATATGATTTGGACGACAAAGATATCCTTGTGATTCTAAGTAAGCTATACTTTCTTTACAATCTAGTTAAATAATCTCTCATCTCTCTCTCTCGTTTTATTATTATTGTTTATAGCGGATCTTATTGTCGGTGGTACTGATACTGTTTCTGTCTCATTGTCTTGGATGATCGCTATTTTATCCCATCATCCTGATGTTCAAAAGAAAATACAAACAGAACTTGATGCCTTTATTCAAACACATGGTCGTCTCCCTACCTTTGAAGAACGAGATCAATTCCCTTATATTATTTCCGTACAAAAGGAATGTATTCGTTACAGATCTATCACTTCCTTTGGTCTTCCTCATATGGCTAGTAGTGATTGTAAGTTTTAGTTCTACCTATACTAGATAATGTACTCAAAACTCACTTTTCTTCTTTTTTTTTTCGGTTCTCATGTTTCTTATTTATAGTGGTGGTTCGTGATTATTTTATTCCCAAAGGTACAATATTGGTGAGCAATCTTAATGGTATGCACATGAATCCAGATGTCTACTATGACCCAGAGATATTTAAACCTGATCGTTTTTTGAATAACACTCGAACAATGTCATCTGCAGCCAATGGTAACATCAAACAACGTGATCATTTTATATTTGGATGGGGAAGGTAAATAAAATAAAAAAAAAAAAGAAAACAGTATACCACAGAGTGGCTCATGAGGATAGGGATCATGCTAACTACTTACATATTCTTTCTCTGTTTGAAATTAGACGTCTTTGCCCTGGTATTCATTTGGTAAGATATACATTTATATAAAGGAAGAATAACAGCTCTGATGGATGAAAAAAAGGAAAAATATCATCACAAATAGGAACAATATGTACTGATAGTGGGATATTTGTTTTATAGGCTGAGGTAGAAATGTTCCATATCTTTATTCGAATTTTCGCATATTCAAGTATTGCAGCCCCACTGGACAAGGATGGCAAAGAAGTACCAGTTGATTTGGATTCTGGTATCAATGCTGGCCTAGTGACTTTACCCCTACCTTATCAAGTCAGATTTATCCCTCGTACTGATTCCCCTTTGAAAATAGATAGTTTTAATACTCAATGAATATGAAATAAATAATCCCTTTTTGTTTACATTTTTATTTTTGTATTTTATTGATTTGTTGAATCAAATGGATGATGGATTGACAATGGATGACACGCGACAATGGACGATAGATGATGATGGATGAATGATACGTCTTACTGGTAAAACTAAACATGGTAATCAACGCGCGGAGATCAGGATTTTCTCGTCTAATGAACACAAAAGAATGATCCCGATTTCAAGCAATCATGACCCATGTTAACCAGCAAAATACGAATGAATCCGGAGAATGGAAGAGATTTTGCCGTTTCGCTCTTTCTTTTTTTTTTTTTTTTTGGGATCTCACATACACTGATGTTATATCGTTTATAGAACATCTGATCAAGCAAATAACAAGCTAAGCCAGGTTAACAAGCCTGAAAAAATAAACAGACACTATAATCAAACACATAGCATTGACGACTCATATTCCTGGCTGATCATCATCTTTGCTACACTACCATAACTTGATGACACATATATGTATAAAAATAGGTAACCATCACAGACAAAAGTGGAATGAGTGGTAAATTCAAGATTGATGCAACGTAGGACAAAAGTTATTTAAATGATGTTTTTTTATTTCTACCCCTCTTTCTTTCTTCCTTATAACTTTTATTTCCCTGGTAGTAATCTAACCCTGGTAAAAGTAATAAAATGATTGATTTTACAAAGATAACAACTACATCTGCAATGGCAAGTCTATCCGAAAAAAGACAAATCATCTTGGCTACCGCCACTGTTGTGGCAACTGGTCTTGGTGTACTTTACTTATCTTCTTCAAAGAAAGCAGCAGATACACCTCGTGGATACAGAGAAATACCTACTCCAGGGTCACAATGGCCATTTTTCGGTAAGTAGGGCTGGTGACAAGTTGACCAAAGAGTCTGTGCAACACGGACATTGAAATCTTAGATTTACTCCAATCCTTTTTTTTTTTTTATAGGACATCTTCTTTCACTTGGTAAACTTCCTGGATATACCGCTGCAAAATGGAGCAAAGAACTTGGTAAGCGACAATGTTAACTAACGTAATATAATTACGTATCATATTGATATCATTTTTTTTCTTTTTTTTTTCTTTCTATTAGGACCAATCTTTCAGTTGAAAATGGGCGTACAAACTTGGTTCGTGATATCTGATCCTGTCCTTGCTCAAGAAATCTTCATGACTCATGGTACTGCGACATCTGACCGACCTCCTCACACGTATTTTACCTACTATAGTCATGGTGGAAGGTATTTTTTTCTTTCTTTATTGAATATTTCGTGCTAACAATGATTCTAACTTTTTTTCTTTTCTTTTATTAGAGGTGTTGCTTGCTCAAATGCTGATAAACGATGGAAACGAGCAAGAGCTGCTTTATTATCTATCTTGGCACCACAACGCGTCAATCAATTTACCGATGTTCTTTTGTATGAAGCCGATGCCCTAGTGGAACAACTGATATCTCGTACGAAACTATTTGGTCAGGTGGATCCTAGTCCTTGTTTACAAAATGCTGCCATGAATTTTATTTTGACAACTTGTTTTGCCACTCGTATCAGCTCTGCGGATGATCAGCTATTCAAGGTATTGTTATTATCTTAAACTATGTTCTATTTTTGTTCATTTTTTTTTTTTTTTTTTTTTTACTCATCATCACTCCTACATTTCAATTGTTTTTCTTTTTATGAAGGATATTATGGCATATGTGCATGCAAGCATGAAAATGGCTGGACCTGAAGGTGATCTCTGTCAATTTTTCCCTGTTATGTCAGTATTGGATATACTTGTGGGGAAGAAACGAAAGTACAGTAATTTTATTGCTAAGGTCCGTGATCCTCTTTTCACCCGATTGATTGATGAAGCTGCTTCAAGTGACAAAGACTCGATGATCAAATCTTTTCTGGCTCTCAAGGAAGAACATGGCTTGGATGACAAGGATGTCATTGTAACTATGTGTAAGATGAATATTCCATCTGCTTTACTGAACGAGGAAAGGGTTCTCACTTCCCTTTTTTTATATATATAGCTGATCTTCTTGGTGGTGGTACTGATACTAGCTCCGTTTCTTTATCTTGGATGATCGTCATTTTATCCCATCATCATGATGTTCAAAAGAAAATACAAGCAGAACTCGATGCCTTTATTCAAACTCATGGACGCCTCCCTACCTTTGAAGAACGAGATCAAATCCCTTATACGATTGCTGTACAAAAGGAATGTATGCGTTACAAGTCCACTGGCTTCTTTGGCGTCCCTCATATGGCAAGTAGCGATGGTATGCTTTGTAGTTACATTTACTGAACGATATATAACAGTCTTGCCAACTGATCTTATTTTATTTATAGTGGTGGTTCGTGATTATTTTATTCCCAAAGGCACTGTATTGATAAGTAATATGGTTGGCTTGCACATGAACTCTGATATCTATTCTGATCCAGAAACTTTCAAGCCTGAACGCTTTTTGAACAACACTCGAACAATGTCATCTTCGGCAAATGGCAATGTCAATCAACGTGATCTTTTCATCTTCGGTTGGGGAAGGTAAAAAAAAAAAAAAATATATAAGAAAGAAGGTTCAGTAAATAAGACTATATACCATACTTACTACTCCTGTTTCCATTTTTCTCTTTATATTTACTGAATTTAGACGTATTTGTCCTGGTATTTATTTGGTAAGAAAGAAACGAGCAAAAGAAGAATCGATGAATGGAGGAAGTCAAGATACAACAAAGAAATAGAGCACTGACACCTAATATTATTTTATAGGCAGAAGTAGAAATGTTCCATATCTTTGTTCGGATCTTCGCAAACGCAAGCATTGCACCTCCTTTGGATGGTGATGGTAAAGAAGTACCTATTGATATGGATGCTGCTTTGGATGCTGGTCTTGTGACTTTACCCCAACCTTATCAAGTTAGATTTATCCCTCGTGTTGATTCCCCTTTGAAATAGATAGTTTTATTATTTAGTTTATACGAAATAAAGAAATAGCTCCTATTTATCTTTTATATTGTACTTAATATCGTGCTTGCATTTGTACTTGTGGATTTGATTGATCGGGCATCTTGATTACAGGCCAATGACATTATTATGATGCTCGACTTTTAAGTACAGAATACAAAGAACATGGTACATTACGTCAAACTCAATGATGCTAACGAATAATCATACCGTTGATGAAGATGATGCCATCAAAAATCTAATTTGACCCTGCCGAAGTAAAATCAAATACTGAGAAGAGATGATATTCCCACCCAATATTCAATTGCCATAAAAAGAAAGAAAAAGGAATGATGAACCAATGATGATTCCTTTTTTTTTTGTTTTCTTTCCAATGATGTCTGCCTTCTCGAAATGAGATCATCTATGGACATTCAAATATGTAGATAAAACCGAAATCCAAGTTGATGGGTCTGGAAAATAAAAATAAAAACAGAGAGAGAGGATGATACTAGACAGGTACGATTGCAATTTCTCCATTCACATTACAAAACAATTACGATCATGGCAAATCAATGCTATTTACTACATTATCACCAGACTTGTAATCAAAAAAGCCGAAGAAGAACAACCGGGAGAACTCAAAGATGGTGGAAAATACATGATACCTTATATACAAAGGCAAAGATGATTTAGTCTTTATTTTTCTTTATTTTTCTTTCTTTCTTTCTCTTCTTTTCTTTCGTTGACTCACTCCGGATTTGAGACCGATATATGATTGATTTTACAGCAATAACATCAAAAGTACCTCTGGGAGAAAAACGACAAATTATTTTGGTCATGACCACTATCATGGCAACGAGTACTGGGTTATATTACTTCTCTACTTCAAGGAAAAACGTGATTGACAAGAAACGTTTCAAAGATATCCCCACTCCTAAGCAACGATGGCCCATTGTAGGTCAGTAGGAAAAAAAAAATGGTGATGGTGCCTGAGAGGACGCGGATATTGAAATCATCAGATTCACCTCATTAAACATTCGCTTTTTTTTCCTTTTTCTCTTCTTTTTTTCCTCTCTTTTTTTCTTTTTTTTTTTTATTTTTTTTTTATTTTTTTTATTTTTTTTATTTTTTTTATTTTTTTTATTTTTTTTATTTTTTTTATTTTTTACAGGACATCTACTTTCTCTTGGTCAACTTCCTGGATATACTGTGGCAAAATGGAGCAAAGAACTTGGTAAGTGACTTTTAATAACATAATCGAATTACATATCATATTAATGATCTTGTTTTATTTGTTTTTCTTCCTTTCTTTCTCCATATTAGGACATATAATTCAATTGAAAATGGGAGTACAAACTTGGTTCGCGATTTCAGATCCTGTTCTTGCTCAAGAAATCTTCATGACTCATGGTGTTGCAACATCTGACAGATCGCTTCATACATTCTTTGACTATTATAGTCATGGTGGAAGGTAAATTTAGCAACTATTTGAATAGCATGTTAATACTATTTGTTCTGACTTTATCATTAATTTTCTCTCATTTACTTTGTTAGGGGGGTTGCTTGTTCTGATGCAAACAAAGGGTGGAAACGAGCAAGAACCGCTGCTTTATCAGTCCTGGCACCACAACGCGTCAATCAATTCACCAATGTTCTTATGAACGAAGCCAATATCCTGGTGAAACAACTTCTTTCTCGTAGTCTACTGGATGGTCAAGTGGATCCTGCTCCTTATGTTCAAAATGCTGCCATGAATGTGATCTTGACAACCTGTTTTGCAACTCGTATCAACTCTGTCGATGATCAACTATTCAAAGTACAATGTTAAATTATATCTATTATCAATTATGCTTGTTTACTCACCCTCACTCTTTCATTTCTCTTTCTTCTTTTTTTTTTTTTTTTTTTTTTTTTTTTTTTGCGGAAGGATGTCTTAGGATATATGCACGGTGGCATGAAGATATCCGGAGAAAGCGACCTTTATCGGTTTTTTCCTATTATATCTGTATTAGATGTGCTCCTGGGAAAGAAACGAATATATAGGGACTTTATTGCCAAGGTTCGTGACCCTCTTTTTACTCGTCTGGTTGATGAAGCTGCTTCCAGTGACAGAGATTCGATGATCAAGTCTTTCCTGGCTCTCAAGGAAGATCATGGTTTGGACGACAAAGATATCATTGTGATTATGTGTAAGCTGAACGTTACTTTTATATTGAAGTACAGTCGAGTGGCTAAAACATCCTCACCTCCTTTTCTTTTTCTTTTTTTATAGCTGACCTTCTTGGCGGTGGTACTGAAACTAGCTCAACTCTATTGTATTGGATGATTCTAATCCTTTCCCATCATTATGGCGTTCAGAAAAAGATACAATTGGAACTCGATGCCTTTGTTCAAACACATGGTCGTCTCCCTACCTTTGAAGAGCGAGATCAAGTCCCTTATATTATTGCCGTGCAAAAGGAATGCATCCGTTACAGACCTATCTCTTCCTTTGGTATACCTCACGTAGCTAACAATGATTGTACGGTTTGCGGTTTTACTAATCTTGAATGATGTATGACAATCCTCACCTTTTTTTTTCTTTTCTTACTTCTAGTGGTGGTTCGCGATTATTTTATTCCCAAAGGTACTGTATTGGTTAGCAACATGTTCGGTATGCATATGAATCCCGATATCTATTCTGATCCAGAAACATTCAAGCCTGAACGCTTTTTGAACAACATTCGAACAATGTCATCGGCAGCAAATGGCAATGTCAATCAACGTGATCATTTCATTTTTGGATGGGGAAGGTAAGAAACAAAGAAAAAAAGTGTAAGAGGGATGATGCATGGAAATAGGGAGAACATTTTGTACTTACCACTAATGTTTTCTTTCTCAATGTATATTTGGATTGGCTGAATTTAGACGCACTTGTCCTGGTATCCATTTGGTAAAAATAAAAAAACGACAACAAAACGTTATCGATGGACGAAACGTCTTATCGAGTGTAATCAAACACTAACATCTGATAATATCCTATAGGCAGAAGCAGAGATGTTCCATATTTTTATTCGGATCTTCGCAAACGCAAGTATTGCACCTCCTTTGGGTGATGATGGCAAGGAAGTACCTATTAATAATGAAGTTGCGTTAGATACTGGAATTGTCAGTTTACCTCACCCTTATCAAGTTAGATTTATCCCTCGTATTGAATTCCCTTTAGAATAGATAACCTTATTATTCAGTTTATATGAAATAAAATATTTTTCCTTTGTGTGTTTATATGCTGCATTTTACATTGTTGTTAAGATCTATATGCGTACGTGTGTGTGTCTGTTGTTGATTGAATTGAGAGGTGAAAGCATGGATGATATCTATGATAATGATGTCGTACTCTACATAAAGATACTGAATTAAGAGGTGGTATTTCATCACATCTAATACAAAAATGCAAATGAAAGACGAAGATGGATAATAAGTACGGAAGACATTCATACTAACAAGAGGATGATAGCAAATCCTGATGAAAGAATTTAGATCTTTTCCCGCTATAATTTTTTTTTTTTTTGATTTTTGCCTAATGATAACTTTACAACTTGATACGATACCCGGATACCCAATTCCAAATATAAAACTTTCTCCCAATTAGTTGGCACATAAAAAAAAAAAAAAAAGGAAGGATGATCCCCAGTTGGTATGATCATAAAATGACTAATTGCTTTATTAAGTGTGCATCACCTTCCCAAAGCAATACTGTTATACTATCAGTAAGACGGGATATCGGTATGATAATGAACTGAAGCAACATGAATAACAGCACAAATAAACGGCAAAATCAAGGTTGATGGTACATATGATAACGTATATTCGGCAAGAGGCTTGGTTAGTCTTTATCTATTTATTCATTTTTTTTTTATTAATCTCATTTTCTTTCATCGGTTCATCCAGCTTGATTGATACAACATGATTGATTTTACATCGATAGCGACAACACCCGCAAAAGCGGCTCAAGGCGAAAAACGACAGATCATCTTGGCCATAGCTGCTATCATTTCAGCCAGTATTGGGTTGCATTGTTTGTTTTTCTCAAAGAAAGAGCTGATTCATAAGCAACGTTTCAAAGAGGTCCCCACTCCTAGGCAACAATGGCCCATCGTAGGTCAGTAGATGAGGAAATGGTGGTGGTGCCTGAGAGAGCGCGGATATTGAAATCACCGAATTCACCAAATTGAACACTCACTATTTTTTGTTTCTTTTCTTTCTTTTTTTTTTTTTTCTTTCTTTTCTTTCTTTCTTTCTTTCTTTCTTTCTTTCTTTCTTTCTTTCTACAGGACATCTTCTTTCTCTTGGCCGACTTCCTGGATATACTCTAGCAAAATGGAGCAAAGAACTTGGTAAGTGACTTTTAATAACAGAATTTGAATTACCTGTCATGTTAATAGCCTTGCATTATTTTTTTTTTTTTCTTTCTCTCGATCAGGGCCTATCATTCGGCTGAAAATGGGAGTTCAAACTTGGTTCTTCATATCTGATCCTGCGCTTGCTCAAGAAATCTTCACGACTCATGGTGTTGCAACTTCTGACAGACCTTCACAAACATTCCTTACATATTATAGCCATGGTAAAAGGTAAAATGAGCTTGTTGCTGTAGCAGTTTGGCAGTTATTTAATGATAGGTTTTGACCACTACTTCTTTGTTCTGACATCAATTTTTTTTATCTAATTGTTAGGGGAATTATTTGTTCTGATGCAAACAAACGATGGAAACGATCAAGAGCTGCTGCTTCATTCATCCTAGCACCACAGCGCGTCAATGAATTTATGGACATTATTATGCACGAAGCTGATATCCTGGTGAAACAACTTCTCCTTCTTTGTCAACTTGATAGTCAGGTGGATCCTACTCCTTATTTACAGAAAGCTTTCATGAATTTTATTTTAACAGCGTGCTTTGCGACTCGTTTCAACTCTGTGGAAAACCAACACTTCAAGGTACTGTTAAGTAAATCTTCCATCATCGCTTGTTTACTCATCCTCACTCTTCATCTCCCTTTATATATAAGGATATCAGGGAAAATACTCTTGTAGCCTTGAAATTGGCTGGAGCTAACGGTGACCTTTATCAGTTTTTGCCCTATATCTCTGCATTGGATGTACTTCTAGGAAAGAAACGAATGTATCGTGACCATATTGCGAATTTCAGTGATCCTCTCTTTACTCAGTTGATTGAAAAAGCCTTGTGCAGTGACAAAGACCCAATGGTGAAGACATTAGTGGCTCTCAAGAAAGAAAATGGTTTGGATGACGAAGATATCATTGTGATAACGTGTAAGATGAACATTGCATTAAAGCTATACCGGAGCTGGATCATCAAAAGGTTCTCATCTCTTTCTATATATATATATATATATATAGCCGACCTTTTTGGTGCCAGTACTGATACTAGTACTGCTACATTTTCTTGGATGATTGTCATTCTATCCCATCATTATGATGTTCAGAAGAAGATACAATTGGAACTCGATGCCTTTATTCAAGCACATGGTCGTCTCCCTACCTTCGAAGAGCGAGATCAAGTCCCTTATATTATTGCCGTGCAAAAGGAATGCATGCGTTACAAGCCCACCACTTCCTTTGGTATACCTCACGTGGCTAATAATGATTGTACGGTTTGTGCTTTTACTAACCTTGAATGATGCATGACAATCCTCACCTTTTTTTTTTTTTTTCTTACTTCTAGTGGTGGTTCGCGATTATTTTTTCCCCAAAGGCTCTGTATTAGTTAGTAATATGTTCGGTATGCATATGAATTCCGATATCTATTCTGATCCAGAAATATTCAAGCCTGAACGCTTTCTGAACAACATTCGAACAATGTCATCGGCGGCAAATGGCAATGTCAATCAACGTGATCATTTCAACTTCGGATGGGGAAGGTAAGAAAGAAAGAAAAAAAGTGTAAGAGGGATGATTCATGGAAATGGGGAGAACATTTCGTACTTACTACTAATGTTTTCTTTCTCAATGTATATTTGGATTGATTGACTTTAGACGCACTTGTCCTGGTATTTATTTGGTAAGAATAAAAAGAATGACAACAAAACGTCATTGGTGGACATAACGTCCTACCGCATGAAAACCAATCACTAATACCTGATACCTGATACTATTCTATAGGCAGAAGCAGAGATGTTCCATATTTTTATTCGGATCTTCGCAAACGCAAGTATTGTACCTTCTTTGGATGGCGATAGCAAGGAAGTACCTATTGATATGGAAGTGGGGTTAGATACTGGAGGTGTCAATTTGCCTCACCCTTATCAGGTTAGATTTATCCCTCGTGTTGATTCCCCTTTAGAATAGATAATGTTATTGCTTAGTTTATACGAAATAAAGGTCTTTTCCCTTTTGTCTTTATATGTTACATTTTATTGATCATCGTCCATCTTTTGTTGTTAAGACGTGTATACTTACATATGTGTGTGTTTTGCCGATTGATTTGAGAGACGAGCGCATTGATGATATCTATGACAATGATATTTACTCTACAGAAGGATACCGAATTGAGACTTGCCATGCCATCGCATGTAATGCAAAAAATACAGATAGACGACGATGACGATAATAGCGAAAACATGAAGTTCATATTTTGCATGACAACAAATCCTGATGAAACAGGTTAAATTTTTTCCTATTATACAATTTTTTTTTAAAAGCCTTGCCTATATGCCTAACTCCAAAACTTGATGCCGTACCCAGGTATTTGATTCAATAGACAAAGCCCAATATGATTGACATAAAAAAAAAAAAAAGGATGATCTCCAATTGGCATGACCATAAAATGGCCAATCGTTTTATTAACTCTGAATCGTTTTCTTAAAGCAATATTACAGTATTATATTATCAACAAGGTGGTGCGCCGATATGATTATGAAAAGCCGAAGCGATAAGAATAAAGGGAAAAATATACGGGACTTCTCAAAGTAGATGGTACACATGATAACATATTTTCAGAATAAAAGATGATTTAGGGCTTATTTCTCTTTTTTTTTTTTTTTTTTTTTTTTTTTTTTTTTTTTTTTTTTTTTTTTTTTTACATCTATTGGCCCAGCTTGAATAACAGCGTATGATTGATTTTACAACGATAGCAACCACATCGGCAAAAGCAACTCTTGGTGATAAAAGACAAATCATCTTGGCCATAGCTACTATCATCTCAGCGAGTATTGGGTTGCGTTATCTGTTTTTCGCAAAGAAAGATATGACTAGCAAGCAGCGTTTCAAGGACATCCCCACTCCTAGGCAACAATGGCCCATTGTAGGTCAGTAACGGGAAGTGATGGTGCCTAATAGGACGCGGATATTGAAATCACCAGAAAATTCACCACATTAAATATCCACTTTTTCTTCTTTTCTATTCTTTTTTTCTTTTCTTTTCTTTCTACAGGACACCTTCTTTCTCTTGGCCAACATCCTGGATATACCGTGGCAAAATGGAGTAAGGAACTTGGTAAATGTTTTTTTAATAACAGAATAGAATTAAATATTATGCTAATGGCCTTGCTTTATTTTTCTTTCTTTTCCTCTCTACTAGGACCTATCATTCAGCTGAAAATGGGTGTACAAACTTGGTTCGTGATATCTGATCCTGCACTTGCTCAAGAAATCTTCATGATTCATGGTGTTGCAACATCTGACCGACCCTCACATACATTCCTTACCTATTATAGCCACGGTAAAAGGTAAAATGAGTTTGTTGCCGTAGCGGTTTTCTGACCTTGTTACTACTTCTTTGACCTTGTTACTACTTCTTTGTTCTGACTTTTTTTTATCTAATTGCTAGGGGAATTACTTGTTCTGATGCGGACAAACGGTGGAAACAAGCAAGAGCTGCCGCTTTGTCCATCCTATCACCACAACGCGTCAATGAATTTACCGGTGTTCTTATGTATGAAGCCGATGCTCTGGTGGAACAACTAGTCTCTCGTAGTCAAGCTGATGGTCAAGTGGATCCTGCTCCCTATGTGCAAAACGCTGCCATGAATTTTATTTTGACAACTTGCTTTGCCACTCGTATCAACTCCGTGGAAGATCAACGATTCAAGGTATTATTATCATAAGTAAATCTACTACCTCCCAACGCTTGCTTGCTTACTCACCCTCACTTTTTCATCTCTCCTTTCTTCTTTTTTTTTTTATGAAGAATATCAGGGAACATGCAATTGCCGGCCTGAAATTAGCAGGGACTGAAGGCGATCTTTATCAGTTTTTTCCGTATATATCTGCTTTGGAAGTGCTTCTTGGGAAGAAAAGAATGTATCGTGATTTTATTGCGAACTCCAGTGATCCTCTTTTCACTCGGTTGATCAAAGACGCCTTGTCAAGTGACAAAGATTCGATGGTCAAGACTTTGATGGCTCTCAAGGATGAACATGATTTGGATGATGAGGATGTCCTTGTGGTTATGTGTAAGATGAAAATTAAGTTTACTTTATGTCATGACTGGATGTTCAGAAGATCTTGGCTGACCTTTTTTTTTTATTACTTAGGTGACCTTTTTGGCGGTGGTAGCGATACTAGCTCTGTTTCGATATCTTGGATGATTGTCATTTTATCCCACCATCCTGATGTCCAGAAGAAGATACAAGCAGAACTCGATGCCTTTACTCAAATACATGGCCGCATTCCTACCTTTGAAGAACGAGATCAAGTCCCTTATCTTATTGCTGTGCAAAAGGAATGTATGCGTTACAAGCCCCTAATAACCTTTCATCTGCCTCATGTTGCTAGTCGTGACTGTATGGTTTGTAGTTTTACTTGTATTGAACGATATAAGATAAATCTTACTTCTTTCTCTTATGAATAGTGGTGGTCCGTGATTATTTTATTCCCAAAGGCACTGTATTGGAAACCAACATGATTGGATTGCACATGGATCCTGATATTTATCCCGATCCAGAAACTTTCAAGCCTGAACGCTTTTTGAACAACACTCGAACAATGTCATCTTCGGCAAATGGCAATGTCAATCAACGTGATCTTTTCATCTTCGGTTGGGGAAGGTAAAAAAAAAAAAAAAGAAAAAAAAAAGAAAAAAAAAAGATATAAGAAAGAAGGTTCAGTAAATAAGGCAATATACCATACTTACTGCTCCTGTTTTCATTCTCTTTATATTTACTGAATTTAGACGTATTTGTCCTGGTATTTATTTGGTATGAAAAAAAAGAACAACTGAAGAATCGATGAATGGAGGAAATCAAGATACAAAACAGAAATGCAGCACTAACGTCTGATATTATTTTATAGGCAGAAGTAGAAATTTTCCATATCTTTGTTCGGATCTTCGCAAATGCAAGTATTGCGGCACCTTTGGATGGTGGCGGCAAGGAAGTACCTATTGATATGGATGCAATTTTGGATACTGGTGTTTCCTATTTACCCCAACCTTATCAGGTGCGATTTATCCCTCGTAGTGTTTCCCCGTTGAAATAGATAGTTTTATTATTTGGTTTATACGAAATAAAGAAACAGCTCCTATTTATCTTTTATATTGTACTTAATATCGTGCTTGCATTTGTACTTGTGGATTTGATAGATCGGGCATCTTGATTACAGGCCAATGACATTATTATGATGCTCGACTTTTAAGTACAGAATACAAAGAACATGGTACATTACGTCAAACTCAATGATGCTAACGAATAATCATACCGTTGATGAAGATGATGCCATCAAAAATCTAATTTGACCCTGCCGAAGTAAAATCAAATACTGAGAAGAGATGATATTCCCACCCAATATTCAATTGCCATAAAAAGAAAGAAAAAGGAATGATGAACCAATGATGATTCCTTTTTTTTTTGTTTTCTTTCCAATGATGTCTGCCTTCTCGAAATGAGATCATCTATGGACATTCAAATATGTAGATAAAACCGAAATCCAAGTTGATGGGTCTGGAAAATAAAAATAAAAACAGAGAGAGAGGATGATACTAGACAGGTACGATTGCAATTTCTCCATTCACATTACAAAACAATTACGATCATGGCAAATCAATGCTATTTACTACATTATCACCAGACTTGTAATCAAAAAAGCCGAAGAAGAACAACCGGGAGAACTCAAAGATGGTGGAAAATACATGATACCTTATATACAAAGGCAAAGATGATTTAGTCTTTATTTCTCTTTTTTTTTTTCTTCTTTTTTTTTTCTTTCTCTTCTTTTCTTTCGTTGACTCACTCCGGATTTGGGACCGATATATGATTGATTTTACAGCGATAACATCAAAAGTACCTCTAGGAGAAAAACGACAAATTATTTTGGTCATGACCACTATCATGGCAACGAGTACTGGGTTATACTACTTCTCTACTTCAAGGAAAAACGTGATTGACAAGAATCGTTTCAAAGATATCCCCACTCCTAAGCAACGATGGCCCATTGTAGGTCAGAAGGAAAAAAAAAAAAAAGGTGATGGTGCCTGAGAGGGCGCGGATATTGAAATCATCAGATTCACCTCATTAAACATTCGCTTTTTTTTTTTCCTTTTTCTCTTCTTTTTTTCCTCTTTTTTTTTTTTTTTTTTTTTTTTTTTTTACAGGACATCTACTTTCTCTTGGTCAACTTCCTGGATATACTGTGGCAAAATGGAGCAAAGAACTTGGTAAGTGACTTTTAATAACATAATCGAATTACATATCATATTAATGATCTTGTTTTATTTGTTTTTCTTTCTTTTTTTTTCTCCATATTAGGACATATAATTCAATTGAAAATGGGAGTACAAACTTGGTTCGCGATTTCAGATCCTGTTCTTGCTCAAGAAATCTTCATGACTCATGGTGTTGCAACATCTGACAGATCGTTTCATACATTCTTTGACTATTATAGTCATGGTGGAAGGTAAATTTAGCAACTATTTGAATAGCATGTTAATACTATTTGTTCTGACTTTATCATTAATTTTCTCTCATTTACTTTGTTAGGGGGGTTGCTTGTTCTGATGCAAACAAAGGGTGGAAACGAGCAAGAACCGCTGCTTTATCAGTCCTGGCACCACAACGCGTCAATCAATTCACCAATGTTCTTATGAACGAAGCCAATATCCTGGTGAAACAACTTCTTTCTCGTAGTCTACTGGATGGTCAAGTAGATCCTGCTCCTTATGTTCAAAATGCTGCTATGAATGTGATCTTGACAACTTGTTTGCAACTCGTATCAACTCTGTGGATGACCAACTATTCAAAGTACAATGTTAAATTATATCTATTATCAGTTATGCTTGTTTACTCACCCTCACTCTTTCATTTCTCTTTCTTTTTTTTTTTTTTTTTTTTTTTTTTTTTGCGGAAGGATGTCTTAGGATATATGCACGGTGGCATGAAGATATCCGGAGAAAGCGATCTTTATCGGTTTTTTCCTATTATGT